TCGCTCAGTATACCGTGACGCGGGGAAAAATGTGGATGAGGGTTCCAGAGTCTTGGACGATAGAATCAGCAGCGTCGATACCTGTGGGAATATGTACCGCTGGTTTAGCTATAAAGTCGTTAGGCTTACCATTGCCAAACGAGCCTGTTGCAAAAGCCAAACATGTGCTCGTTTACGGCAGTAGTACTGCGACGGCGACAATTGCTATGCAACTGCTAAGACTGTAAGTCTCCTCACTTGTTGGGCGGTTTACCCTTTCGAGCATTTCGGCGCTGCCCATCTGACCACGTACTCCGTACACAGCGCGGGCTTGATCTCAATAGGGATTTGTTCTCCAAAACATTTCGATTTGTCGAGGAATAATGGTGCTCAGGACGTGTTCGATCGCTTCGACAAGGACGTTGCGCAAAAAATTGTAAATGGACTCTACCGCTCTTCCCTATGTCACCCAAACAGACTCCTGAGGCTAATCGCTCTCCGTAACTAAGAAAGCTCACACGAGAAACAACTTGAAATATGCATTGGACTGTATTTCTACCGTTGAGTCTACAACCGTGTGCTATAACGCAATGGGGCGCGCGGGAGGAAATTACGTTGCACTCGAGCCATTCCCTGAGCATGCCGCAACCCGTGCGGTAGTGACCAAAGACTTCGTTGTCGGTCCCTGTATCTTTGGCGAAGGCTGTACGTATCCAGCGCCATATGGGCGCGAGCCGGATGAGAAGATGCGTGCATTGGGCGTTGAGTTATGGGAAATTGCGGAGAGACTGGTGCATGAGGGCAAACTGAACCACCATCCCGTCCGCATATTGGAAGGTGGATTCGAGGGTATCCGGAAGGGCCTGGAGTTGCTCACGCACAAGGGTGTATCAGGAGAGAAGATTGTAGTCCGAATGGAAAGCTGACGTCGCATTTAAACCTCAGGGCGACAAACAGTGTCGTACAAACTGCACATCTTCCAGAGTTGAATTACTACGTAGAAAACAACACAGCGCTGCTTTCAATCATAAACCGTACGACCACTTGCATATGCTGCTGTCTCCCGAAAATAAGAACCTTGTTCTCGGGAAATCCACACTAACTTTAATTGTCCCTCTCCGTCCAGCTGTCCGATCCCTTCGTTGCCCCTTATTTCTTTGCGACTTACTAAGCTCCACTGCCACAAAGCTTGAATAATTACTCTCTTATTTCAACCATCACCTCGAAAGCTGCGATTCAGACTAGCTCCATCTCGGTCACAATCATATGAGTTATCATGACTTACCATCAACACCATGTTTGGCACGTTTGGCCTGCCTGGGGCCATGTCACCAGTACCATTTCCCTCATCAACGAGATGCTTGAAGTAAATCAGTCTTTAGTTGTGACCTTCGTATCTCACGCTTTTCTAGGTAAGATCTCATCCAGGTTAAGTTCCAATATCTGCTGCATAACACAGCGTTGTGCCATGAAGCACGAGTGACGCAACGGTGCGATGTTGACTTCATCAGATCTCAGCCAATATTCAGATGCGCCACGAGAGCGATTCCATGCTGTTCTAGTTGGGGACCCGAAGTGAGTATTGCAGTATTTCTTTGAACCAGTCAAGATCATTGATCAAAATCATATTAGTCTGCTCAAGAATAAGGGTGTGACGGTCGAAGACATCACAAATCAGTTGTCCAAGGGATGGGTAGAGACGCTACAGCAGATCAGCAAACCGGGACGCGAGTGGCCAAGGCCAACAGCGCTGATGCTGGATCACATCGGGTCATTAGACACTCTGCCGCAGGCGCGACGAATCTCAGGCACAGAATGTAAAATTCTGTTATACTGGGCAGGTAGTGCTGCCCGTCTCTTCTCTTACCTCGCACACTCCTCGGAAGGGGGATTCAGCGACTGGGAATCGATTGTCCACAAGTATTTCTCCAACGAGACCCTGCGCCAGGGAAGGAGCCTTGATGAAATAGTTGAGCAAGTGAGTATACGAACTCTTATTGCCCAATCACCATGTCATTCTGATGGGTTGGCTATCATTTGTAGGTCTGCGTTGCCAAAAATGGACATGATGCTTTCAATGGAACCGTGATAAGCATTCCTGGTTGTAAGGAGATTTATGACTATGAACGAGAATTCGGCGAATTTGGCATGATTAGAACAGGTGAGCTGCTCATTCCGTGGGGGAACTGATCCCGTGGGCATCAATCATACTAATTCTGGTTGAAGTCGTCTCTTCATTGCTCCGGGAGACCGTCACGCTTGTCCAAGCCACTGATGGCATCATCTGTGCTTCGGCGATGGCACTAGAAGGAGAAACCCTTACTGCTTGCAATAAGTATACTGCTGTATATCCTGTTGGAGTTCAAATAGGGCCGAAGAACTGGTCTCGGGACGGATTGATTGAGGATGAGAGAATACGATCTTATCTTGATCGCCATGCCAAGGACGAGGTACTCGTCATCTCATTTGGGTAAGAAGCCCCATCACTGTTACACCCCCGGGAGCCGCCACACGCTCTTAAGTGTCCTCCATTCCATCAGTCTCACATTTTTACCCTAGGTCTCTGGTCTTCCCAACCAACCGGGCAAATTTTCAGGCTCTTGTATCCACTTTGAATGAGATGAAGTATCCATTCATCTTGATCATTGGGGGCATGCATGCGAAGAAATTCATTGATGCTTCAGACGTAGAAAATATTCAGAGCAGTGGAGTCGGCCTTGTGTGCGACACATGGGTTGATCAACAAGCAGTTCTCCAGCATCCGTCGGTAGGATTTTTACTTGCCCACGGTGGGTGGAATTCGATGATGGAAAGCTTTGTCCAGGGCATCCCACTAGTGGGCTGGCCGCTAGCTCCTGGAGACAATGCTATCAACGTGGCATTGGCGTCAACGAGGGATAAACCTATTGCATTTGAGATCATGCAGGTAAGCCTTTCGATATGCACCAGCTTTGGCAATACACGCTTGTGACGGTTCAGCGACTAAGTTTATAATTGTTATTTAGATCAGGACCGGCAGCGCCAAAGCCAAAGCAAGACGAGGAGGCCCTGATATCATTGGTAGCGAAGAGGCTGTAAGACAAGAGTTTGAGGAAATCTTGCGCAAGACAAAAGAAGCCGAAGGCAAACGAATCCGTGAAAATACCCAGATTCTTGCTTCTGAGCTAAGAACAGAAAAGAGGGAAGCTGCTCGGCAAGTGATTACCACCTTGGCATTTATTTGAAGTGAAGGAACCATACAGGATTCGCTGGCATCGTAGCCAGTGGGATGCAAGATCGGCGAGTGTGAGCTCTTGAGAGAAGGGAATTGAATGATGTCCTTGCAGTATCTTTTAAATGTATGCTACTGCTGAATCACTAAATACGCCACGGACGGTGCGGGTCATTGTCATAGAGAACTAGGTTGCAACATTGGTTGTAATGCAACTAGGTACGGTGAAAGGTTTCGAAGTTGTACATGTTCTATTGATTTTCTTACGGGAAATATAGCAACAGAGTAAGGTAAGTACAAAACAACGTAAAACTCAGATGCACCTCACTTTGACTATCATGTGGTCAGTTACCGCAAAGTCCCTGATTTTCTCAAGGTCATCTTTGTCTCGGGGAAGCTCGTGCCCTCCATCGAAGCTTTCCAATCGCGCCCTGTCTTCCACAAAATGTGTTGCAAACATTTTCTTAGACGATGGAGCGCCGAATACGTCCTGCCGTCCATATAGGTGCAAAGTAGGTAATCTGATTGTCAAGGTTTGACCCCCGCGTTGGTCGTCGTTGCCCAGGTCCCGCATACACGTCTTCATGGCCTCGGAATATCCCGAACAAACCAAGATGCCGAACTCCAGATCCGGAAGCCATGGTATGAGGCCGGCCTGTTGCTCCCACAGCAGTAGTGTCGATGCAATGGCACCTTGAGAAAAGCCCAATACCCCAACAATCGCTCCTGAAGGGTTATCAGCTTTCCAGGCCCGGACGGTGTTTTCGATGCAGTGATTAAAGATTGCAATCTCGTGTCTTGTTGCTTCAATTCCCTTCCTGAACCATGTGAAATAAGGCGGCATTTTGGCGAAAAATGGCAGCACTCCCGGGCCGGGCTCCGAGGGGTGAGGAGCTCTTGCGAACACGAATGTGAACTTGTCCTTCAGAGCAGCCCGAATTCTGGAAGTTTGGAATTTGTATATAGCATCAGACGAACCGCTGCCATGTAGAAGAAGTATCGCACGAGTTTGACGAGAGCGATTCATTTTGTTCATAGTGATATTGCACTCTTCTGCGGAATAGATTGCAGATCTCCATTTACAGCTGCGTGTGGTTTGGCATATTCTTTATCACAACTTACAACCATCGATCGAACTGGGAGATGCGCGCTCGGAATCGGCTAGAGTGATTTACTCGAGGATGGCATCGGCGAAATTTACCCGTATTGAGCAAATATGGCCCGCACACGTACTTAGATGGGCAAAACTCTGTTGCTGAATAACATACCATCACAAGATTCTCACTAAAGTAGAGGTAAAGTCTGCTTAAACCTACATATTGTTCTAGCGTCTTGTGGGATAGTCGGAGTTTAACTTGGATTTCCGCGCTAAAGATTTCCCTCAGACTACGAGGACAAGCGGTCGAGAAGTCCCTAGTGCGCATCGGGAGCTGAGCGATTTTCCGCCGCGTGGAGGCGGAAGTCTGAGTATTCCAACGGCCACCCAGAAACCTTACCGCAGTAGCGGTAACCGTCACGGCACCTCGCCGATGCTATCGGGGTTTGTTGGCGCTCGAGGGGTTGACGGACAAACGTCTTTCTTTCGTTAATTGAATAAAGATTTCAGTGTATGTTATGCGGTAAGAATTTCATACCGAGTATTCGTACGGCTGTGCCCTCTTAATTGCATGCGCTGATACATGCACCCATACTATGACGCCCTCACAGAGTGGCTTTGGAGTAGCCAACTGCAACAAGTTTGAGTCCTCAATCATCATTTACAATTGCAAAACACGGTATTGATCGAAAGTCTGGTTGCGCAAATTCAACAATGGGCGAACACGTCAATGTCAGTCGAGGTCCCGGCGACGACCCCGTGGTCGTTTGTGGCATGGCAATGAGACTACCCGGAGGCGTCAGCAACGCGGATGACTTTTGGGACATGTTGATGCAGAAGCGCTGCGCATCCGTACCGGTGCCAAAAGACCGGTTCGACATTGGTGGGTATTATAGCGAGAAGCCACGCCCGGGGACTATGCAAACCAAGAAGGCATACTTCCTGGATCACGTTCAACTCGACCGGTTCGATGCCTCGCATTTTTCCTATGGTCGAAGTGAGCTAGAACAGATGGATCCTTTGCACAGATTGCTGCTGGAGGTTAGTTGGGAGTGTCTTGAAAATGCTGGCGAGACAGACTGGCAAGGCGAAACGATTGGCTGCTATGTGGGCTCGTTCTTTGAGGACTGGAGTGTCGAGATGCAACGGGACCCTCAATACTACAGCAACTACCCAACTGGAAAATGGGACATCATGCTTTCAAATAGAATCTCGCATGCATTTGATTTCCGGGGCCCAAGGTACGTCAAGCTAGAAACCCGGGATGTTCCTATTTACTACAGTCAGAGAAGCAATCTAATCAGTGTCTATACACAGCATGACTGTGAAGACTGGGTGTTCATCGTCACTGGTATCTCTGAACCTGGCTGTTCAATCTTTAGAGTTAGGAGAATGCACTTCTGCGCTTGTGGCTGGCTGCAGTCTATTTTTATCGGCGCCCCTTTCTGCCGCGGGCGCATCTGGAGCTTTAGGAAACATCGCCTCCCCAGATGGCGTCTGCAAGACCTTCGACGCCGCCAGCGATGGAATTGGACGGGGTGAAGCCATCAATGCCGTTTACATCAAGCGACTGTCGCAGGCCCTTCGAGATGGAAATCCCGTCCGGGCCGTGATCCGTTCAATTGCTACTCAGCATGACGGCAGAGAGCCCGGCCTGATAATCCCTAATGGGTATGCACAAGAGGCGCTTATTCGGCATACGTATGACAAGGCCGGAATCACGAAGTACTCTGAGACGTCCTTCTTCGAATGCCACGGCACGGGCACGCGGATTGGGGATCTTACTGAAGTTGGAGCCATAGAAAGGATCTTCAGAGAAGAAGGCGTCATTATCGGTGCTGTAAGTAACATTATTACACCAACCGGTTTTAGCAATTCAAGAATTGACCAAGCTTTGTTTTCTCTGCGACCATAGGTGAAGCCCAACGTCGGACATTCAGAGGGTGCCGCTGCCCTAACGAGTGTCATCAAGGTGATACTTATGCTTGAGAAGGGCGTCATTGCGCCCAACACCAACTTCAACACACCCAATCCCAATCGTAAGTGCTTATCGAGATTCCTGTCCATACACATTTTGATCATACACTCATATCCACGTGTAGTGCCATGGGCCGGTGGGAAAATTAGGGTTGCTTCAGAGCCTGAACCGTTTCCTCTGAATCGTTTGCGGAGAGCTAGCGTGAACTCGTTCGGAATGGGGGGTGCCAACTGCCATGTATGAAATGACCTTCTTTTCCTATTCTGCCGCAATTCCTGATGTCAAAACTCGACCGGTAATCTCAGCCATAGCTAACACTCATAGGCTATCTTAGAACATCCCCACCTGTGGTTCGAAGCTGATTGCCAGCCACGGATGGAAACGTCTTCAAGAGACACAGATGAAAGTAACGTCCTGTTGCTTTCAGCGTCGAATCCAAAGTCGCTAGAGCTGCTCCACCAGGCTTACGAGCAGTATACCATTGCAAGCTCAGGGCGTTGTAAACTGTCGGATTTGGCATACACTCTCGGCTGTCGACGAACGAAGCTGAAATACAGAGGTTTTTTTATCGCTCGAAACGATACAGTCGGGCAGCGCACGACGACCCAGCCAGAGCTGCGACTTTCTGTTGCTAGTAGCGATGAGCCAAAGACGCTTGTTTTCGTGTTTAATGGCCAGGGCGCCCAATGGCCCACGATGGGCAAGAATCTGATCCTGAAGAACATTGTTTTTCGCCAGTGTATTCGTGACTTGGACGGCGCGCTCAGGAAGTTGAAATCTGGTTGGACGATTGAAGGTATGGCGCCCTCGCCTATTCATTGACGTCTATGGCTCTTACACGAGATCCTACAAAGGCTCTGGTAATGCTGATATCTTGTAGGGGAACTTCTGAAATCGGAAACAGACAGTCGTATCATGAAATCGGAGTATGCTTTACCGTGTAGCATCGCTATTCAAATCGGACTCCTCGCTGTCCTGCGAAGTTGGGGCGTGATTCCGAACGTAGTGACCGGCCATTCCAGTGGCGAGATCGCTGCTGCCTTTGCGGCTGGTGCCATAACAGCAGATGAAGCGATCATCGTCGCATATTTCCGAGGCTACGTATTGAACAGAACCGGGACACAGCACTCAGGAGCTATGGCTGTGATTGGGGCCGGCTCCAAGGACATTTCTGAGCGGCTACTACCCGGAGTAGTTATCGCTTGTGAGAACAGCCATGTCAACACGACCATTTCCGGAGACGCGTGTGCGGTTGAGGCTATGGTGACAAAATTCAAAGCAGGTGGCATATTTGCTAAGCTTCTTGATGTGGACCTTGCGTTTCATTCCGGTTAGTACCAATCTTAGATGTACTTGGATTTAATGATGTAGTGCTAATACGGGGTGTGAAACCTCTAGCGCATATGAAGGACTTTGGCTTAGCCTATGAAGAAGCGATTCGCCCGTTTCTCAGCGCTGCCACACCTCGCATACCTATGTTCTCCAGTGTCACGGGAGGTCTCATAAGGACCGTCAACTCCTTGGGCGCTACACACTGGCAACAGAGCCTCGTGCAGCCTGTGCTGTTTAATAAGGCCCTTAAAAACCTCCTGGAGCAAATGGAGACACCAAACCTTGTCATCGTTGAGGTTGGTGCTCGCCCTTCTCTCAAAAGCCCAATCAGACAGGTGATGGAAAGCATGTCCACCGACAAAGCCAGCTACCTTCCAACATTAGAGGAAAATAAGGATTGCTACGAAAGCCTTCTCAGACTTGCCGGGCGGCTCTTTTGTGAGGGCGTCAAGTTGAAGTATCAGGCCATCACACCGCCAGGAAAAACGTTGTTCGATGTTCCAGCATATACTTGGGTCCATGAACAATCCTTCCAGGGACAACACCGTTTGTACAGGGCGTACAGAGACTGCAAGTACCCCATGCATGAACTACTTGGAAGCCAGGTGTTTGAAACCAGTGCTCTTGAGCCGAGATGGAGGAAGGTACTGCTTCTTGAGGACATCCCCTGGCTTGGAGACCACGTCGTCAACGACCAGGTCATCATTCCTTTTGCAGCGTACATATCGATTGCCGAACAGGCGCTTCGTCAAGTCAATGGAGGCCTTCTGGAGTCCTTCTCGGCCCAGGATTTCTCTGTTTCCGCGGCACTGCATTTGGAGCCTGGCCGTCCAGTTGAGATACATACCAGACTGCGACGTCTTGTTTCCGACGAGAATGCGCCTGTCAGCTACGACGTGCAAATCACTTCCTGGAAGGATAATATTTGGACGGAGCACTGTCACACAGTAGTTACCGCGGAGCCTCATCGAGCCCACAGAGGCTTTGCAAAACGCGAGTTTCCTCGCCAGCTCTCTCGAGCCACCTGGTACAAGATTACGCAAGATCTAGGCTTTACATATGGGCCCTCTTTCAGAAGGCTGGAACACATTACGGTCAGTCCCAGTGTGCAGCAAGCAACAGCCCGTGTGAACCCACCGGAGAACACATCAAAAGACTCAACCTGCAGCTATCTTGTGCATCCCACCGCACTCGACCAGTGTTTGCAGACTACAGGCATCTCACTCTGTCATGGTCTGCAGCGAAAAGCCAAGTATATGGCTACACCTACCTACATCCAAAGGATCTTTGTTCGTCAGTACGCTGGGCCCTTTTGGGCAACGGGAATGATGAATCAGGTTGCGCAGGACCACACTTCCGGAACGGTCCATGCATACGCAGATGATGGGGAGGAGATTGCCATCATGGAAGGTATTGAGGCCCATCAGATCCGTAGTTCCTTGCAGGGCGAGACGGAGGCTCCTCCGATTGTCAGCGCGCCTCACTGGCGTCCCCACGCAAGCTTCTTCCCTTTCCAGACCCTGAATGAGGCTCCCTTCTTCGACGCGGATGACATCAAGAGAATTCTCCACTTGTTGTTTCTCCTGCTATTGGAGATGCAGTCTAGTTACGCTCAAGTCGACAATGACATTGGCAACATTCCCGACCAGGGCGCAACCAAGGCGTGGGTTGATCAACAGATTCAAAGGGCGCAGGAGGCAGGGTACGGTGTATTGTCTGCGACTACCTGCCGAAATATTGTTCAAGACAACATAAAAAACCGCCAAGCCGCACAACAGAAGATACGGATCGAGTTACAGAGCAGTCGTCTACACGACATGGATCTGACGATGGAGAAGTTGTTCAAGAACCCCCTGCAGCACACGAAGGACACGCTCCGAGACTCCATCGTGTCTCAAGGCCTCTGGTCGCTTCGAGCTAAAAGGCTTTTAGAAGTTGCGATGCCTATTCTGACACACACGAATCCTCAGCCGAAGATTTTGCAGATCGGCTCAGCTGACGGGGCCAACAGTACAACTTTGGCATTGCTACAGCTTCTCCAACCTAAGAGAGGGACTCAGCTTTTCTCAACATACACGTATGCGTCTATTTCACCAAACTCTCTAGAAAACGCAGAAGGCGACTTTTCAGATGTCCAAGGCTTTGAGGTGCGAAGCTGGGATGCCATGGGCGGGGACAAGAATCTCGCTCAGTCGTTTGACATTATTGTCTGTGCCGACGTGCGTCTTCTCACTTTCTGCAATATTATGAAAGCATTTACTGATGTATACATACGCAGATACTCTCTACCGAACGTGACACTTCTCAAGACTTGCTGCACATCAAGCAGTTACTTCGCCCTTCCGGAGTGCTTATTCTGCCGGAGGCTCTTTTTGGTCAGTACATAGGACCCGTCACCCGAAACATGCGCCGCGTTCAACAGCGGTAGTTAACTTGTATATTTAGCCGATTCATTTCTGACGTCTTTTGATGTGAGTCGAAGAAAGCGTCGTTCTCATTTGCAAACAGACATGTAGATACTCATGGGCATAACAATACTTGCTCTGAGCCTGAACAAATCTCCAGGCCGTGCAGACACATTATTCAAGGCATTCAGGCTAACATATTCCCAGGTTCTGTTACAAAACCAAACGCCACACATCTCAAAAGATGTTCTGTTTCCCATTATACACGACCTTGGCTTTGATTTACCTAAAGGTGATCAACACAAGAACCAGGTGAACCCCATCCTGCGGCTGCGTCACCTCAACCAGCTCGAGTCGAGCTCCACACCCGTCAGCATCGTCACAAATAAGGAGGATAGCACCTTGATAGAAAGTTTCAAGTCGGTTCTCCACTCGTATTCAATTCCTGTCCGGGCATACAACGCAGATATCTGTATTAGTGAGTCTGGCTCGCTACTTACCGATGGAACCCTCGTATTCTTCCTTGACCTGGATCGCCCTTGGATCTACCACCTGAAAGAGAGTGAGTTCCCCGCATTTATCCAACTCCTAAGCACCGGTACCTCAAAACGCCCTATTGTCTGGGTCACTCCATTTTCTCAGATTGACTGTAATGACCCGCGCTCTGCTATGATTTACGGACTGGCTCGTACGCTGCGATCGGAACTGAAGGCCGACATAACAATTGTCGAGGTCGACCTGGCAGACGTTTCAAACAGTGACAAATGTGCCACGTTTCTCATGCGCATCGTCCAACACCTGCCGCACCGATGCTTTGATGGCGCACTCGACCCGGACTTTGAGTTTGCGATTACTAGGGAGCATGGCATCGTGGTACCGAGACACCAGTGGACAACAGTGCAACAGGAACTATGCCGATGCTCCGAACAACAACAGACAAGCGGAGTGTCGACGTTTGCAAAGCTAGCTCCAAGGATCACGGGCAATTTGAGTTCATTGCGATGGGTTAGATGCCCCTTGCCGGTTCTGGACGCCCGCCAACTGCGAGTGGAGGTGAAAGCAGCCGCGGTAAACAAAGAGGTGCGTATCAGACAATGGCCAGCGTATGGAGTTCTTGTGTTGGTGCTGAGGATGAGTCAATAACTAATCGCTGGTACTTTAAGGATGTAATCATAGCCCAGGAGGCTTCCAATCCAAATCAGGTCCTGTTCGGACAGGAAGCTGCCGGCATCGTCACGGTTGTGGGCGATGATGCAACTTCTTTCCAGGTAGGAGACCGAGTCGTCATTCTTTCAACTGGCAAAGGCGCCGTAGCCAGCCATCTGGATGTCTTGCCGTCGAGTTGTCTGCGTTTGGGTGAGGATTTCGCGTTTGAGGCCGCGGCGGCTATGCCACTGGCATGCGCTGCGGCCGAGTTCACAGTAGGAGGTTTTGGGAGAATAGCAAGCGGGGAGGTCAGTATTGCTGTCCAAGTATATGTGGGATATCCTAAGAGTTACCTGTGTTTACTAACCCATCGTCTGATTGAAGGATGTTATTGTGCTGTTTACTCTGAGCGATCTGTGTCTCGCAACCGTCGAATTGCTGCGGAAAAGAAGGGCAGAGGTAAGGACGTGAAAGCGCAAATTCTGGTTCACGCACACGTTCGCTGACTGATCATTGTTCTTGACAGATCCGCTTCATCATCACTTCCGAGTCCGACAGACTGCTATTGGAAAATGCTTTCGGCATCGCTGTAGACTTCATCGTGTCAAACCCGGAAGATGCTCTATCGTGGCCGAAGGCAACCTGCATGATTGGATTCGGCGGCCTTTTTCCTGACTGGGCGCTGCAATATCTTTCCCCTACTGGCATCTTCCTCGACGTTCTAGATCATCCAGTCAAGGCAAAAGACTTCCAAACAGTCAAGATCTCTGCAAGTCAGGCATATCGCATCGTCGATATGCAGGCTCTCAGCCACCACAGTCCAGAATCGGTGCAAAGGTACGCGCACCATGGCTGCGATGCGTTGATGCAACTTCATGACTAACTTAGTTAGGGTATGGAAACTCTGCGAAAAATATTTTCTCGGAGACGCACAGCCAGGAGATTGGGCGCGACTTGCCAAGATCTTCAAGCCAAGCCAAGTCCACGAGGCGTTCCGTGCTGCTGCTGGACAGAAGAACCAACCAACCACCAAGGTGGTGCTCCAAACTCCAACAACCGACCCGCAGAGCGATTCTCCGTTGTCGTCCGTTGAGGTCATGCCTGCATCACCTCAGTTTCGTTCGGATGCTGCTTACTTGCTTGTCGGTGGCTTAGGCGGCATTGGCCGCGCTGTGGCAACGTGGATGGCAGAGCATGGTGCTGGGGAGTTGATTTTCCTCTCTCGCTCTGCAGGCACTGAACCCCAAGTAGAATATTTTTTGGGTGAGCTTCGAAGCCAAGGCTGTGTCATCAAGGCGGTTACGGGCAGTGTTGCGATCTTGGAGGATGTCTCGAGGGCTGTGAAAGCGGCGGATCGCCCCATCGCTGGTGTGTTCCAAATGTCAATGGTCTTACGGGTACGTGAATACTGACGACAGACTTTCTCTCAAACTTACCATCATCTAACGGATTTTACAGGACAACGCAATACTACGCATGACATACGACGAATGGCGAGCATGCATCGAGCCCAAGATCCAAGGCACGGAGAATCTTCATAAGGCCTTGGCGCAATCTTCCTTAGACTTTTTTGTGCTGTTCTCTTCTATCGGCGGGCTAGTCGGGAACATTGGACAAGCCAACTACAACGCCGCCAACACCTACCTGGACGCCTTTGTCCGGTACCGTCATAATCTTGGGCTCCCAGCATCGGTCATCGATATTGGGATCATGGGTGGCATTGGGGTTATCGCTAGTACAGGCAACATGCAAGACAGAGCTCAGGCGGCGGGATACCACGTTCTTTGCGAGGAAAAACTCCTGGAAGCCATCACTATCAGCATACACCATTCTCGTGCAGGCTCATCGTCCAATCGAGACGACGCATATTCACATCTTAGCCAGATGGCCCTCGGTCTGTGGTCGGAGCAACACCTAGCAGACCCTTCGACGCATGTCCTTTGGAAAAAGAACGCCCACATGGGCGCGGCACACAGTATCCATCCGGAGAACTTGACTTCGGGAACAACAGAGCTTTCCTCTACAAAATCGGAGTTGGCAACGATAATGAAGATTGCGAAGAGCACACCTGACCGCCTGCTACACGAGGAAACAATTGGACTGATCGTCAAGCTGCTTGGGACTGCTATTGCACAATTGCTTGCACTTTCCAGCGCTGAAATCGGGCCGGAGGCTGCCCTGGACGACCTTGGGCTTGACTCATTAAACGCAAATGAGCTAACAAGCTGGATATCACAACATCTGTTGGTCGATTTGCCATTGCCTGATCTCATACAATCGACAACTATACACGACCTTGCGGACAAGATTGCTAGATTGCTGGAGGATAAGTTCGGAGAAACCCAGATATAGTGAATTATATAGCTCGAAACAACGTCTTGTTTATTTGCTCATTGTAGACCTGCCCTTGGGCCAACTTGCTTCTGAAGTAATGTTCTTGCTTCCTGGCCTTTTTGCCGACTTTCTACTGTGCCGTCCTCCGCAGCATCATCAAACTATCGAAGAGCTATTTCATTGAAGAAAATGTTGGGGTGGGCCGTGATACGTCCCCAGGTGCACTTGGGCATGTTGTAACCGCCATGAGTTTAAATCGAATTCATCTAACAGTGCGCCCCGGCTTTCGATTTATCTCTGAACCAAGTCAACGGCAAGTAAAGAGCAAATCCCTGATTAACGGGGCAAGAACACCTCATCTTTGTCGTCACCAAAAGTCAATTCAGAATAATCTGAAGTGGTTGAAGTTTATGAAACAGGGTTTAGGAGGCAACGGGCGGAAAAGGCCCACATTTCCGATGCCACATTTTGACTTTGTCGGGAGTTGTGTTCAAACCCAAAATGATGGGCCCGGTTTAGGTTAGCCACGAAGACAAGGAAACCAGGGAGTTGATATCTTGCAGTAAACATGGTATCTTAAGGTTAGGTGTTAGAACAGAGTTCTTCCCGCCACTCTGCCGGCATGGGCAGAAAGGACAAAGAGAGTACGAGGTTCTCGGCTTTTTTCAGAAGGGCAGTCACGTTTCGGTACATTATCAAAGCATGTATCAATTGTTGGCTGTTGTTTCAATAACAAGATTGCAGCATGAATACTTTCATCGTGCTATCTAGGGCTTATTAAGATGGAGGCACACCCTGGTTTATCGCATGGCTACTCTGTATTTGCAGTGATTCGAAAGTTCAGCTGGCTCCACTGCGTTCCCAGCCGTGGGTTTGGCTCGCTTCAGCTTTGCTCATCAAATGCGTTTTCATGAGCCCGAAGGGACCGACGAACCGGTCCGGAACGCTGGCTTTTGACTTTGCTACCAGTGTAAATATCCTTCAAAACAGAACCAAGATGTTTTCCCTGATTTCTCTTCTAATGCGATAGAAGTTTTCGACTTGCTTATGCAATATTCTGTACCCACCCTCTCCGAATGGAAACAGACATGTGCATCCATAATCTCTCCGACCAGCGTCATTATAAATTATACGTCTGAAATTTGCCGAGTCGAGCATCGGCAGCACCTCAGTACTACGCGACGCAAGACCAAGATGACCTCTGGGTCTCCACAAAAAAGGCCCCAGGAGGAGTCGCCAGAGATCGATGCAGTGGAATGGGCAACGCAAGATGTCGAGAAACGTTTTTCAGTTGGCTTCAACCCAGGCCACATCAGGGCCAGCATTTGTTCTGTTTCGAGTAACATCGACGGCCTGAACCAAGCTCCGGCACTTCCAGAAGCAATGAAGCCTCCACGGCACATGGTGGCAGCAACAGTGACGGGGCTACTTATTGCCGTGCTACTTATGGCACTTGATGTCAACATTCTCGGTATGTATAGGTAACCATACGGATGAATGTGGTTTTGCAACATATGTAGTGAACACAAATAACCCGTGATTGGTGGTAGCCACGAGTGTTCCTAAGATTACAACGGAGTTCAAAAGCCTTCGTGACGCGGCTTGGTACGTCGCAGCTTTCTCGCTTGCTCGGCTTGCAACTCAGCCCATTTATGGCCAGTTGTATACCCTCTTCTCTTTGAAATACACATTCTGCTGTAGTCTGGCTACTGTCATCATGGGTAAGTTGATTGTGCAGCGTCTTGTAGATTTCTCGGCCGTTTGATTCCACGTTCAGTTAGTAATGTTATACCAGGTTCCACCATTTGCGCTGTCTCACCAAATTCTATGACCTTGATTATCGGCCGAGGCGTTCAAGGTCTAGGGTCCAGTGGCGTGGCGTCAGGTGCTCTAAATATCGGCGGTTACATCGTTTCGAAAGCGAAGATGCCTTTGATGATCTCGCTGATGGGCTCTATGATGATGACAGCGGCCCTCGCAGGTCCAGTACTCGGAGGTGCTTTCACGGAAAGCGTTCTGACTTGGCGATTCGGCTTTTGGCTCAACCTGCGTAGGTGTTCAATGGAATCCTGTCTAATTGTTGGTTATAGGCTGACCGTAATCTGATGGAAGCACTATCTGCTATTAGTATGGTCTTGGTTTGGATGACTTTCCTAGAGCCTCACAGACCTTCTACCAAAATTCCACTCAGAGACAAGCTCATGAGGCTGGATCCTACAGGTAGCATTCTAATATTGAGCTCCATGATCTGCCTAGTTTTGGGCCTTCAGTGGGGTGGTAATCTGTTGCCGTGGACTAACAGAAACGTTCTTGGATGTTTGATCGGGTTTGGGATATTGTTTTCTCTATTTTTATTACTGCAAATCAAGCAGAGAGACAAGTGAGTTAGACATGACTATCATCCTCCTTCATAAACCTTGTGCCCGGCCATTCATCACGTTCATTCAAGAGGGGTATACCTGCGCACGCTAATTTCAAATTGCACAAAGAGCTCTTGTGCCTCTTCGTATCGTCACGCAGCGAACTGTCGGACTAGGCTGTATCGCAACGACGTGTACGTATCTGGCTGTCACTGTCTTGGCGTACTACATGCCGTTCTACCTCCAGGCTGCCAAAGGCCTGTCTCCAAGCATAGCTGGATTATACATGCTCGCACTGGGGGGTCCAGAGACGCTGGCAACCATTGCTTCTGGAACCTTGATTACGTACACCAAGCACTACGTTCCAATGCTGGTGCTAGGTGGAGCGGTGTTCTCTCTTGGCAGCGGACTCCTGTCGACCCTCACCACCGGTAGCAATGCTGGACAAATCATTGGGTATGAAGTTTTGACCAGTATTGGCCTCGGCTTCGGCGGTCAGGTTCCGCTCACTGCCTTACGGAACGTCCTCTGCGAGGCAGATATACCAATTGCGAATGGCTTGAATGGTTTCTCGCAAAGCTTGGGCGTCGTGCTAGGAGCACCCATCGCCCAATCGGTCTTCATGAACACACTGACCAGCCATCTGGGATCGCGGCTTCAGCCCGGAAATGTTACCAAAATCACCGACCTGGGAGCGTCAAATATCAACCCTTCACATATTGACCCGCAGCTTCTACCGTTCGTTGCGCAAGCTTATCGGGACGCCTCAACTACGTCCCTGTACGTGGCTGTGGCATCTGCTGCAATGGTCAGTGCAGCCGGGCTTTTAATGGAGTGGAAGAAACTTAAGACTAAGGAAGAAGGAGATAGTTAATCTAGGCTAAGATAGGTTTGTCGAGCAGATTAGACCTAACTTAGTTATATCCTGCGGAAGCTACTGTTGAAAACTAAACAAGACTGCAGAGATGACAGCCAAACAACGATGCCAAGATCGAACTAGTGGATTCTCCAAAATCTATAAATAAGCGAATAACGCAATACCATTACATCTTCCCAGGTCTGCACCGATTCAATTATGATGCCAGCTCTACAGGAGGTTGACCTTCCACTTCTGAAGGTTTTGTCTGTGAAGATAATTCTACCGGCGGCGGCGATATTGGCTGAAGTTCTCGTGATTCCGAGCCATGACCAGGAAGCTCCTGCTTAGTGTCATAGCCCAGCCCCTTGTGGTATGCGTCTCCTTCAACAGCGGTAACCTGACTTTGAGCGAGACGCCTTTCCTTCCTCTTTCGCAAGCAGACGAATATCGTGATCCCTATTAGAATAAGAACAACGACAACGATTCCGACCGCGATACCAGCAATTGCTCCTGTCGCCAATCCTCCCACAGCACCGTCTTTGCCGTCAGATGGAATTACTCCATATAGCGGGAACGGGGGGTGCTTTATCTTGATTGGACCAGAGCTGGCAAGATCCGACAGAAAGGTCTTTTGCCAGGCCGTGGCCACCTTCACCTCTGAGGTTCCGCTTGTCGTATACACGTTGACCCAGACATCGGTTGGTGTACTGATGTAGCTCACACAATCCCGATAAGGAACGTCGAGTCCGCTGACTGTCAAGCATGTCCACCCCCCAGATGGACAACACCACGTCTGAGAAATTTGGGAGCCCGGTAAGCGAATGGTCGTATTGCAGGCCGACGTCCAGTCACTGATACAAGCTGTGCCCGGATAGGCCAAGTCGGGTAGATTACCTGGTGTGAGAGACGGGTCAGCAACAACACTTCGAGATAGGTACAACCCGTATACTAGTCTACTGACTAAATTCATTGTCTCCTGCTGGTCTCCAAATTTTGTCGTAGCTTGCTGGAAAGCACTCGGCCGGTAGGCTTTGTGTTGACTCTGCCACATTCATGTCTCCATAGCAAATTGCACCCGAAGTTATATTTGCTGGCTTGGCCGTGCATCTTATGGATCGAGGAATTATCGAACAAGTGCCCAGCGGCGGTGTGAATGGTGTAGTTTGTGGCAAAAATGTGTACACCAAGTTGTTCTCAAAGCCTTCTTGCCCTTGCGTGACTGTGAGTGTTGTCACAAACGGCTCGTAGCTTGTTGACTTGGGCATGGCTTGTTCTGAAGTTTTCGGGACCAGTCTGTGTGAGTATTTAAGAGCTTAGGTATCCTCGCGTGTGCGTGCCGGCGTAGGGACAGGAGGAAGAACGCATGTGCGAGCTCTGGGGATTAGCATATAGCCAGGATCTGGTTTTATATGAGCTCCTGTCAGACGAGGAGCGACCGAGGGCTTTGTAGCTTACGGTGTCACGACACTTCCAGCTCTGACAATCGGCCCATCCACCATCTAGATTCACCGCCGAGCCTTATTTCGGGCACTAATATTATCTAGCTGCATACCTTGTACTCCAGTAAGACAAGCTTTGAGTCGAATACGGGAAGACCGTCGGCGTTTCGCCTCGTCAGACGGACAAGCACCGAGCAAAGAACATGGCAAGTAATATTGGCCATTGAAAAATCATGCTTGTGACTTTTACTGTGTTTGTCATTCATGTGTCTATACATCAACGCTCAATCTATCCATCCTCCGCGGTATCCCTCAGACATGTCGAGATGCTCCTCATGCACAGTCGTAATTCTATATTCATACCCCTTTCTCTCCTACTCCCCTCAAGCCTTCTTGACGAGCTTCTCCTTGATCTCCGCCACAACAGCGGCAGTAACCTCCTTCGTCGTCGCCTTGCCGCCAAGGTCAGCGGTGACAATGCCCTTGCCGGTGACGCTCTCGACAACCTCCATCAGCTTGTCCGCGGCGTCCTTCTCGCCGAGCCAGGCGAGCATCTCGGCGGCGGTCCAGAAGGTGGCGACGGGGTTGGCGACGCCCTTGCCGGTGATGTCGAAGGCGGAGCCGTGGATGGGCTCGAACATGGAGGGGTTCTTGCGCGTGGGGTCCAGGTTGGAGGTGGGCGCGATGCCGATGGAGCCGGCAAGGGCGGCGGCCAGGTCGGAGAGGATGTCGGCGTGCTTTGTGGTTTGTTAGCCTTGATGGTTGAAAAATAGGGGTAGAGGTAGCTAAGACTTACCAAGTTGGTGGCGACGATGGTGTCCAAGCTCTTGGGGTTGAGAACCATCCTCGTGGTCATGGCATCAACCAGCATCTTGTCGAGGGTGACGTCGGGGAACTCCTTGGCGACGTCGTAGACGACCTCGTCCCAGAGAACCATACCGTTGCGCTGGGCATTGCTCTTGGTGACAAAGGTCAGGAGCTTGCGGGGACGGCTCTGGGCAGTCTCAAAGGCGAAGCGGACGATGCGCTCGACGCCGTGGCGGGTGAAGATGGCCGTCTCGGTGGCAGTCTCCCAGGGGAGACCGCGGTGGGAGCGGCCGCCCTGGCCGGCGTACTCACCCTCGCTGTTCTCGCGGATGATGACCCAGTCCAGGTCGCCCTCGGCGCAGTTGCGGAGGGGGGACTGAGTGCCGCGGAGGACGCGCGTGGGGCGGACGTTGGCGTACTGCTGGAAGGGCTGGCAGATGGCCAGGCGCAGACCCCAGAGGGAGATGTGATCGGGGACATCTGCCGATCGGTTAGTCCGGGGGATGATCGCGGAGGCGGACATGGGGCTACTTACCGGGGGCACCGACGGCGCCGAAGAGGATGGCGTCGTGCTTCTTGAGCTGGTCGAGGCCGCCGTCGGGGATGTACTTGCCGGTCTTCTTGTAGGTCTCGGAGCTCCAATCGTAGTCGGTGAAGTCGAGGTCGAAGGTGCCCAGGGTCTCGGACAGGGCCTTGAGGACCTCCACGCCGGCGTCGATGACCTCCGGGCCGATGCCATCAGCCCCCATGGAGGCGATGCTGTAGGATTTCTTGGCGGGGAGCGCGCTGGGCGACATTGTGGCGGTTTTGTGAGGGGGCTAGGAGAGAAGACCGGATGCTCTGTGTGTTTGGTGTTGAGGGATGTGAGGGGATTTGTCTTGCAGCTCAACTTGAGTTCTCAGACGACGGGGGGGAGGGTCAAGGCAGATGAGGCTGTATTGGAGAATGCAATGGGAGTTGGAGACACGTCGTGATGGTGTCTTCTTTTGTAATCGGTCGAGCTTCGCCGACAACGGCTAGATCTTCAGCGTGAACGCGAAACATCTTCGGGATTGATGCCGCCAACATCGGGAGATTGTGGAGTTGGCAGATGTGTGTGGTGGAGGCGGCGATCTGGGGTCCGGGGAGCGGTGTTTCGAATGTCCGCGGTCTTTCCTTACCCCGCGGACCAAGACCACCCCGCACTCACTCGTGTGATCCTTCGACACGGCATTGAGTTATTTCTCTTCACGACTCAACTCACTCAACACCGGCGGCCGCTGCAAGGAGTTTCATGCAGCTATTCTGGATCTCGATTAGTTTCAGCGGCGGTCGACTTTTGCAACCTTTCTCCAAAAGATAATAACAGCCGCATTCCGCTCTCCCGCGTGGACCATCTGTCGGGGCTCTTGCGCGGAACCTCTCTTATCTCATCTTCCCCCTCCATCCTGCCTCTTGAGGTAGGTTAAGGTCAGCAAAGCCATGATCGACGCATCCGCCGTTGATGCCGTGCTGCAGCACATCCTGCCGGCCGTGAAGGCTCACCAGACGGGCTCCTCAACCCCGTTCATTCTTGGCTTGTCGGGGCTCCAAGGAAGTGGCAAGTCGACATGGGCAGCGGCTCTGACGCAGACCCTCAACGCCAAGCACGGCGTCAACACGCGGACGCTCTCACTGGACGACCTCTACCACGACCACGACCAGCTCGTCGCCCTGCGCGAGTCCAACCCGGGGAACGGGCTCCTCCGCACCCGCGGCCAGCCGGGTACGCACGACGAGGCGCTCGCGCGGCGCTTCTTCGACGACGTCTGCCAGAGTGCTGGCGGAAGCTCTGAGGGCATCAAGTGGCCTGCGTTCGACAAGAGCCTCTTCAGCGGCGAGGGCGGCCGCGTGCCTGTCGCGGAGTGGGACACCGTGCCGCGGAGCCCGCCTCTGGAGGTCCTCATCTTTGAGGGCTGGTGTCTTGGCTTCCAGCCGCTCTCAGCTGAGCAAGTCGAGGAGAAGTGGAACAAGGCCAAGGCAGCCTCCTCAAACAGCACTTCCTCCGACGGGGAAGCGCAGCTGTCGACGACGACGTTGGCGGGCCACAGCCTGGAGCACCTGCTGCTCATCAACAAGAACCTGGAAAGGTACTGCGAGGCCTTCATGGGCCCCTGGCGCTTCGACGCGTTCCTCCACCTTAGCACAGACCAGCTGGTGAATGTGTACTACTGGCGGCTGGACCAGGAGAGGGCGTTGCGGGAGAAGAAAGGTGCGGGAATGACGGACGCGCAGGTCATCCGTTTCGTGCAGGGCTACATGCCCGCTTATGAGTTGTACCTAGACAGACTAACGCAGGAGTCGTTCTTCACGGAAGGGAAGAAGGCTCATGTCCGCGTTATTCTAGACTCTAATAGAACAGTTCTGCGCGTTGAGAAAGCGTAGACTATGAACTTATGAAGCCACTATTTTGCCCCCTCACTTTATATCCGTACCCTACATTCCTAGTGAAATCCAGACCACCATGTTACATAGCTCTGGTGACCCAGCAGCTTTCAAAGATCAGTTGACAGCTGCTAGGCCAACTCACAGACCTCAACTGACCCGACAGTATGTTTTACCCCAGATTCTTCACCCATTACCCACCGTTTGATACGTCCAGGCCACGTTCTCACGACGCAGGATCAACAAAACCCCACGCTCGAGTCTGAACTAGTAGCCATTTTAGCTATCCGGGGTAAGTCAGGCCCACGCCTCTGGATCCGGGCAAGCCTCCACACACCCATCCAACCGGGTTCACAACGCGATGGACCCGTCAACCAACCTCAGCCAGACCAATCTCAACGAACATGTGTCCCTAGCGTAGCACTCCCCCTCATGGAGAATGCAAAAACAGACCTGTAAACCAGGCCCGTCCCCCGCATTCCCCGCAAAGTTACCCCAAATGCCCCGGCGCTGTCTTTGTCCGCTGGAGCTAATCTGGGTCCGGGGGAACCAGGGTAATGGTCTCATTGTTGGGACGCGAAGAGACCCCAGAAAACACTTGGTCAGAGTGCGATAGCGAGCCAAAGAGCGCTTGACCCTCCCAGAAACATGGCATGATCGAATACAACCCCGTGGAGTTACCCCGGACTGAGGACGGTGAGATTCCTGGTAAAAGTTTGGCCGATCGAGACATACTTAAGAGCGAGCTGCAACTGGCTTCCTGTTCAGTCTGATCTTCTCTTTCCTGAACTCACGGACCAAAGCAGTCTCTTGTTTCCCCCCCTTGCTGCTCCTTGATTCGCCAGCCAACCAACCAGGCCCCTTTCTTTGATCGTCTAAACTTTCGCCCGAACTCCAACATCTCAACTTGGATCACCATCATGGCGTCTGAGAAGCACCACGGGGACCTCGAGTCCAAGCCTCATGACAACTTCGTCGAGGTGTCGGGCGAGGACGAGAAGGGCGGTGTACTCCAGGCCGGGGGTGATTACTCTGGTGCGGTCAAGAAGACCAGCGCCGAGGAGATTGCCCTTGTGAGAAAGCTTGATTGGAGAATCATGCCAACTCTCTGTAAGAGAAACTGTTACATCAGACTGGAAGACTAAAACTAACGTGATTGAATCCAGGGGCCATGTACTTTCTCAACTACGTATGTGAGACGCGAAATAGTAATATCCGTTCAACCAACTGACGTTGCATGTAGCTCGACCGAAACGCCATCGCCCAGGCCCGTCTCGACGGTCTCGAAGAAGACTTAGGTCTCGAGGGCTCACAATACAACACATGTATCTCAATCCTCTTCGTCGGGTATGCTCTTCTACCTCATTCTCGCAGAACAAGAGCTAACTTCGTCTTCCCAGCTACCTCTTAATGCAGATTCCCTCCAACATGCTCATGTCCTCCCAACACATCCGTCCCTCCATCTACATGGGCTGCTGCATGATGGCCTGGGCCGTCGTCTCCGCCTGCACCGCCCTCGCAAAGAACTACGCCGGCCTCGTCGCCGTGCGCTTCTTCCTCGGCGTCACCGAGGCCCCCTTCTACCCGGGCGCCATCTACATGCTCTCCATCTTCTACACCCGCAAGGAGATCGCCACGCGTCTGTCGGTGCTGTACACGGGCAACATCTTCGCGACCTCCTTCTCGGGCCTCATCGCCGCGGCTGTCTTCAACACCGTCGACGGCAACCACGGCCTCAGCGGCTGGCAGTGGCTGTTCATCATCGAGGGCTGCCTCACCTTCGGCGTCGCGCTCATCGGCATGTTCACGCTGGCGGACAGCCCGCTCACGACGCGCTGGCTGAAGCCCGAGGAGCGCCAGCTCGCGCACGAGAGGATGTTAAGGGACACTGTTGGTCTGGAGGAGAGCAAGGGCGCGATGGCCGGGTTGAAGCAGGCTGTTCGTGACCCGAGGCTGTGGCTGCTTGCTTTTATTCAGAACATGCATCTGTCGGCTTGCGGGTTCAACAACTTCTTCCCCACGGTCATTGGGTCTTTGGGCTTCAACTCGACTATCACATTGGTGCTGACGTGCCCGCCCTACCTCGTCTCGGGCTTCTTCGGCTACATGGTCGGTCTGTCCTCCGGCAAGTACAACGAGAGAACGTGGCATATCACCGGATGCATGGGCCTAGCCATCGTCGGCTTCGTTATCTCCTGCGCGACGCTCAACACAGCCGCGCGCTACGTCTCCTGCTTCCTCTTTGCTTCTGGTAAGTTCCCCATTCCCCTTTCAATAAGACACTCTCCTAACACAGCTCCAGGCGCCTACGCCGTCAACGCCCCCATCCTAGGCTGGGTCTCCGCAACCCTCGGCTCCACCCCCGAGAAGAAGTCCGTGAGCATCGGCATCGTCAATGTCATCGCCAACGCATCCTACGTGTACACGGCCTACCTCTACCCCAAGAGCGACGGGCCGCGCTACCTGACGGCCATGGCTAGCAACGCCGCGTTCGCGTTCGCGTGTATTGCAGGGACCTGGGCGCTGCGGTTCTGGCTGATGCAGACGAACAAGAAGCTGGGCGCGAGCACGACCAAGTACGCCTACTGATTGGATCAAAAGAAACGTGGAGCGGAGAGAATTAAGCTACTGGGGCGAACGTGGAGCTTAAAGAGTGGTTCCATGGGACGGTTGGCATACCGGCATGAGGGATGCTGATGTACATGCTGATGGGTCTGGAAGGCTTGGATTTGACGAATCATTTAATGAAGCTGGCGATTTGATACATGAACGTGAGCCATGATTCGGTTTCTCGTGAACTTGGAAATCATTCCTTCTTAATTGTCAACTTTTACCCTGCGTTTCACTCTTCAAAGACATTTACTTGTTTATCATTATTGCCGTGAAGCGTCTTATTCAGATCTAGCCCTGCAGTTTCTGCATTGTGACCATAACTCCTGGTACGTTCTGGCGCACATATACGACCCAAATATCTACTCAAAGCTTTCCCCCTTCTGACGGAACGCCGAATATCCAACCTGCCTAATCTTCACCTCATCGCAAATACGACCACGTAGGATCCACCGACGGATCAAACTGCGCCGCCGCCAGAAACGGATAATCAATCGCCCCAAACGAATTCGCAAAGAGCTGGTCATACCACACCATAGACTCCTGTCCCTCACCCGGCGCCCCCGTCTCGGCATTATTCACAGCCGGGAACGACGTCGCCGCCAGCGCCAGCGAGAACGGCTGGCTGTCAAAGTTGGGCGAGTCCTGCGGCGCGGTAGCCTGGAACGACTGCGCGCCCGGACTTGCGGACCACGCCGCGAGAGGCGGGCCGGAGGCCGGGGATGCTTGCGTGGGCCACCTGCCGCTCGCGTCCTCCAGCCCATCGCTCTGCGTCTGCGTCCAGGTCATGGTATCCGCGGCAGCGGGGATGGTGTCGTCGGGGCGGCCGGAGGATGCTGCCACCGACGGGGAGAAGCGCGTTCGCAGGTTCGAGGTGCCCGGTTGACCGCTGACGGACTGGGAGCGCGGGTGGCGTGAGCGGCTTGGGCTGCTCCCCGGACGAGTCGCGTGCGTGGGTTCGCTGGATCTAGGCTGGTGGTTTGGGGGGTGGTGTTGTTGGCCGCTGGTTTGTCTGCGCAGCGGGTTATGGGGCGCGGAGAGTTCGCGTACGGCGGCTGTGAGCTCGTCGATGGCGGAGAGGCAGTATTCTGGCCAGGAGGTGTCGCGGGAGGCGATGTGGCGCAGGATGTCTTTTCCTGATTCGACGTGTCTGCAACGCTTGTCTTAGTATACGCAAGTTTCCTTTCATCGCAGGTGTGTTCACTCACTTCAACGCGCTTGACAGCGGCAGTTGCCTCTCAAACGCCGCATATATGAGAATGAACGCGCTGATCCAGACAGCCCACGTGAACGAAGGCTGCAGCATCGGCTCAGAGAGACACGCGCTCGTCGGATCATCCGACATCTTGTGCTGCGTCAGATACCGCTTCAGAGCGATAAAAATTGACTTTGCCGCAAAGATGCAATTCTGCAGTCCCGCAGAGTACGCCGGGCTCGATGGGTCCGACGTCATCATCGGCCTGTTGAGCGAGATCATGGACTCGTATTTCAGGAGCAGCAGGAACACACGGTGGCTTGACGATATTGGGGGCTGCGGCGTGTTCTCGTCAGCGGACTCGCCCGGGTGCGGCTCGTCCTCGACCGCATCATGGATCTCGTTGGACCATTTTGCGAGCTCCGCCTGGACGTAGCTGGCGCGGTCTGCGGTGTCGTCACGGGTGTGTATGGACTTGTTCCGCAGCTCGAGAATGAGACCTCGGATCCTGGCGTGTTTGACGAGGTAGGTTAGGAGTTGCAGGCGGTTGTCTTCACCATCGAGTGGTGTCCCATGTCTTTCCTCCCCCGGGTAGCATACGTCAACGTCGTCGTCTCGGATGTCCAGGGGCAGCCCTAATGCCTGGCAGAGGAATCTTTCGTTGCAGTAGATGCACCAAAACACCCTTCGACGCATGTGGGCTTCCTCCTTGGTGAAGAAGGGGTATCGTGAGGGACAGCGGTGGAGACCGAGGTGGAAGGCCATGCGGACAATCAGCCCGCCTAATCGAGATGCTGAGTTGAGACGTAGCATCGATACGAGAAAGAGCTGTATGGCAAGCGCTGCTTGGGTGGCCTGTATTGAGGCCGGTTTGTAGAGTGCAAACTGCGATGCAGACATTGCCTCTTCGACTGTTCGAAAGACAAGGGAGCTTGGTACCGGCCGAGCAAAGGGAGCTCTTTGCCTGCTATCAGCTAGCGAGATGGACAATATCGACTTGACAATCGACCTCTCGAGGTGACCGAGAGCAGCGATACCATTCGCGCTCACCTCTTCAAAGAGGCCCAGCACATCAGGCGCGCTGAGAAAAGGCAGCGTCGGGTGCCATGCTTCAAAATAGCTTTTCGACCACTCGACGAGCTGCTCAAACGAAGGGTTAGCATCATTACCCTCGCCCTCTGGCGCCAGCTCGTGCGGCCGCCACAGGCTCAGGTCGTCGCCATCTCGAGAAGAACTCTCGCGCTGCAGCTGGTCGTCCTCGCCGGGAACGAGGTCGTTGATGTTGTTGGCCTGGGAGGACGAGGAGGTGCGGAGGGCGGACTTGCGGGCGAGGCGGACGTAGACGCCCCGGATGAAGTGAATGCCGCTGCCGCTGCCGACGAAGCGGGCGGTGTCATGCTTGCCCGTGTCGCGCATCAACCCATACTCGCGGGTGGGACGGTCAGTCGAGCCCGAGTGCTTGCGCTTGCGTGAGTGGTTGAAGTGCGCCGGGCTTAGGGTTCCAGACTCGGAGGTGGCATTGGGCGACTCGACAGCGTCCATTCGGGGAGATGGAAGGTCAGTCGACGCCGACGGGCGATCCTGAGGGGAGGGGGTATGGGCAGGTTAGGGTGAGAAAGGGGGTAGAGGTAGTAGAGAAGCAAGGAGTAGGGACCAGAAACAAGCCGTCTTCAGTGGACGGCGCGAGGGACGGTGGGGACCCGGAGCATGATGCGATGCGTGGAGGGCGGTAATCAGTAAGAGAGATGGTGAAGGCGAGTGTCCCGAGGGGTTCGAAAGAAATGATGTTGTCTGATCTGTCCGGTATGCAAGAGGGAAGTGAGAAAAAATTGGGATGCCAAGCCCGGGGTTAGTTAGATCGATGCACAACGAGATATTCTTCTTCCTGTGGCTGGTGGTGGTGAGTGAGAAAGGAGACGAGAGCGAGACGCGCTGCATCGGGGCGCGACGTCGGACGAAAGTGGAGACGGCGCCACGGCAGTCTCCGGAAAGTGGGGCATCTGCGGACTTTTCTTTGTCCGCACGGACGATGGACTTTTGTTCTTGAACTCGATCTTTTTACGCCGTAGATCCTCGATCGACCAGGGAGAGAGAGATACTGTACATACGACCAGGCACCTGACACTCACTCAGTATACCCATTGCACAGAGTTATGTCGCGGAACAGCAGCGAGAGAGAAGCCGGCAACAGCAGCACTTTCCAGAGCCCCATTGCCTGCGAGAGTTGTCGCCAGAGGAAGCGAAGAGTGAGTATGTTCCTCATCACACTTACACCTGACAACCAGGGCTCAACTGGGGAGTCCTATCTGTTGGTTTGCCAATTGACTAACACTGTCTCTAGTGTGACCGAAAGCTGTGAGTAGCGAGGGCCCCTGTCTGTCTGGCCAAGACCCTGACGCATCCCCGCAGGCCCTTTTGCCTCCAATGCAGCCACGAGCCCGGCAGATGTCAGTATCCCGAACAGAGCAAGAGGTGCGTAAAGACTTTTCTATGGTGCTGCATTAACTTCCTCATCGTCGCAATACTCATCCAACGTTACAGAGGAATTCCCAATGGGTACCTAAACAAGCTCGAGACTCGCCTGGCCGAGACTGAGGCTGCTCTGATCGGGGTGCTCTCCGGCACAATGGACAGTCAAACATACGATGCTGCATCGTCACCGGCATTGCTGTCGCAGGCAGCGTGGACTCCCAGACAGAACAAGGTCGATCGCGTCAAAGAATGGGAGAGTCTCCCGTTGCAGACCCCGACCGACATCCAGGTCTGGTTCCGGTCTAAGGCCACTGAGAGCAACGATGCAGCTACCGACTTGCCCGCAGCGAGTCCTCAGTCGCTGATGTCGTCTGTATCGGACCAGCTGGCTCTTCCCCAGCCGTCGGTTGAGCGGACGCCAATGTCCAATCCACAACCTGTCGTCGACATACCCATTGAGCCTCAATTCCTCGCGCCCATGACACCAGTCAACACAGCTCAGACCGGCAACAGAAACGCGCCTGACAGCCACAGCAAAGCCAAGGAGTTGTCAAAGTCTCACCAGAATCTTTACTTCTGAGAGGCTCTGCGGGAATTTTCAATCGAGTCCAACACCAAGACGGGACAAGTCTGCGCCGAGACGTTAGCTCCCGAGGATGCAACACCCAGCAGCATCCGTGGGTGAAGAGGTGCATCTTGCGGCGGAAAAACGACATCAAAGGACCTTGCTCGCCTACCTGCGGCTTTGCCTTTTCCTCATGTTGCTACCCCGCCACGGCGCCGAGCTACCCCGCAGTATTCCCCCCATTCCGCGGCGGCCCGGCTTCCTTGCCTTTCCGCTCGGCTTGCGCCGGAATTGGAATTGCGGAATGCCGTACCTGAGCGCCGCAGCAACACTCCAAAACAAGAGATGACCTCACATGTACCCAGGAAGCTTCAAAGCTTCAATCGCTCAGAGTCGCAGCTCAAAGGCCAATTCCTTTACATCGCCAATCCGACCCAGCAGAGGAATTGAAGAATCAATTACACAAACACAGTCGTCACAATGTCGAGCTCCTGGGTCACCGTCTCGCCAAAGAGCCACTTCTCCCTGGCCAACATCCCCTTCGGCATCATCTCCACAAAGTCAGACGCGACGCACCGCCCCGCCGTCGCAATCGGCGACTACGCCCTCGACCTCAAGGCCTTAGCAAAGGCCGGCGGCTTCCACGCCCTGCCCTCAATCCAAGAGCGCCTCTCCGTCTTCTCCTCGCCCACCCTCAACGACTTCGCCGCGCTCGGCAGGCCCGTCCACAAGGAAGTCCGCACATATCTCCAGTCCATCCTGGCCGAGAACACGCCGCACGCGGTGCTCCTCAAGGACAATGCCGATTTGCGCAAGAGCGCGCTCATCCCCGCCGCCGAGGTGACGAACCACCTGCCCCTCGCCATCGGCGACTACACCGACTTCTACGCCGGCAAGAACCACGCCTACAACGTCGGCGTGCTCTTCCGCGGGCCCGCCAACGCGCTGCAGCCCAATTACGTGCACCTCCCCGTCGCGTACCACGGCCGCGCCTCCAGCGTCGTCGTGTCCGGCACGCCGATCCGCCGGCCGTGGGGCCAGATCCTCAAGAACCCGGCCGCCGACCCGAAGGTGCCCGTGCTGGCGCCCTGCGAGCGGCTGGACCTCGAGCTCGAGATGGGCATGTTCCTGTGTCGCGAGAATAGGCTCGGCGAGCCGGTGCCCGTGGACGAGGCGGAGCAGCACATTTTTGGCTACGTGCTGATGAACGATTGGAGCGCGCGAGATATCCAGGCGTGGGAGTACGTGCCGCTCGGCCCGTTCACGAGCAAGAACATGGGGACGAGTATTAGCCCGTGGGTGGTGCTTGCGGACGCGCTTGAGGCGACGAAGACGGCGGGGATTGAGAACAAGACGGAGCTGCAGCCGTATCTGCGCGAGACGAAGAAGGATAACCTTCTGGGCATTGAGTTGGAGGTTGACCTGATCAGTGAGTATCCCCCCACATCACGAATCTCTCGTGATGTCCATGCTAACGTGCGATTTTCGCAGCCGCCAACGGAAACAAGACAACAATCAGCCGCACCAACTCCAAGAACCTGCTGTGGTCGTGGCCGCAGATGATTGCGCACCACACCATCACCGGCTGCAACCTGCGTCCGGGCGACCTGCTCGGCTCCGGCACGATCTCAGGCACCGAGTCCGGCACGGAGGGCAGCATCCTGGAGCAGACCAAGGGCGGCAAGGAGGCCGTGAAGCTGAACGGCGGCGAGGAGCGCAAGTTCCTGCAGGACGGCGACACGCTGGTCATCCGCGGCTGGAGCGGGCAGGACGGTGCGCTGGTCGGGTTTGGCGAGGTTTCTGGCAAGATTGAGGCCGCGTTGCCTCTTTTCTAGCTACCGTTGGTATGAAAAGTAATTGAATAGAATTGATTGAGATGAAATATCATGAAATTGCGAGTTCAAAGACGCTTGAATAGGGGCGAATCATACTGGGATCTCAGGCTTGGGTGGGAATGTTTAATTTCCGGTATTGCTATGTACTTCCTCTCACGACATGTGAAGCGTGTGATATCTATTTGATCCTCAACTCATCAGGGGTATCAGGCTGATTAAAATAATGTGCCTTCACCACTGCCGGATGCTCCTTCAACCCCTCCACCACCCTCCCAATCGTCGGGTACACGCTCAAATCCACCCCAAACCTCTCCGCATTCCACACTGCAGGGAGCAAACACACATCCGCCATCGTCATCTCGTCCCCCACAGAACACTTGCCCGCCCACTGCTTCGCAACAGCCTCATACGCCGCCAGCCCGTCCGCCATCAGCTCGCGATTCCACTGCTCCGCATTGCCCCCTAGCGCCCTCACACGGCGCATGATGCGCATGTTGGTCACCGGCTGGATGTCGCAGCAGACGATGTTCACCAAACTCCGCACCGCGGCGCGGCGCTTGGCATCTTGCGGCAGCAGCGGCGTCGCGTCCGGGTGCGTCTCCTCGAGATACTCGAGCGCCGCGACGGACTGTGTGACTTTGAAGTCCGCGTCAGCGCGGTTGACCAGCAGCGGCACGGTGCCGGAGGGGTTCAGCGCGCGGTGGGCGGCGGAGAGGTGCTCGTCCTTGAGGAGGTTGGTCGGGACGGTTTTGTAGGGGATGGCTTTGGCGTTGAGGGCGATGCGCAGGCGCGCGGAGCAGGAGGAGCGGAAGTAGGAGTAGAGGATGTAATCGTGCTGGTCGGCCATCTTGGAGGTCAAGGGGTGTGGGCAGTTGTTGATGATGTGATTCTGGTGACGGATGATGCTACCCGGGTGCGGCCCAGGAGGTGCCTGGCCTCGTCTTATGTGAGCTGCTCCTGGCTAAGACATGCTCAAACGACGGATGGCATGTTGCCTGGTGACGCCCTTACGAGTACACAGCGGAAAGCCCGCGACTAGCCTTTCCATGCCGAATGGGGCGCCTTTGCGGCGGGAATGCATGTACTCGGGAGGATGATGCGGGGAAGACGGATGTCAGCGGCTTGAGTCCTGCGGAGAATAGGAGACATACCGCAGTGTCAGATCCGCTTCAATTGGCACTTGTGATTGGTCAGTAGCTGTTGGCGGAACCATGACTTTGGCGGCGGAATTGTCGGAATAAGCAAACCCAGGAGCAATCATCATGGAGTGAATCTTGTGGCTCGACACCTTGCGGGAATTCCGGATAAAAGCGTTCGATCGTATTTCTTCAAAGTATATCTTGTTTTGTTCAGAACGTTGGCCAAACTCTTAAAGCAAGAGCTGTCATCATGACCGCCTTTGCAGGAGGGCGCGCATACCTTAATGTGTGAGGCTTTCGGATCGGTATGAGTCGCGATGCTTAATGATTTCTGCTGTGAAATGAACCAACCAGCTAGAATAGCAGCCGATAGATCTCTTCCATAATGCGAGACAAGACTGTTTCTTATCGATTCCCCATGTGGCCTCTTAAGCATCCAGGGTGTCCTTGTTCTGGCAAGTTTTCAATCCTATGTCCCATTTCAATAACACAAAAAGCAAGAAAGAAGAAAAACACGAAGCACCACGCAGGCTGGTCAGACGAGCAGGACTTTCGTCTATTCGGGACGGGAAATAGCTTGTTTCCGTTAGGGCGCCTGGACTTCGATTTACGTGAATTACACGTTGAAAATGTATCAACTTAGAGGTCATTGTGAATTCATGTGTAAACAACGCTCTTCGACGGGTTGAACATTGATACAGGCACGGCACAGTGCAAACCAAGGCAAAGAGCATCGGAATTAGGCTGAAAGAAAACTGGATTTCCTAATCTATTACGTATCAAGCCCCAATAGCTTTTGACGCGTACTTCTTCCTTAGGGCGTATGGGACGTAGCCTCGGCCGACGTGTTTCCAGGGGATGTGGCTGCTGGTGCTGGAGATGCCGCAAGCTCGCCCTGAGTCGGAGCCGGTGCCGGAGATGCCGCAGCCTCAGCTTGAGCCGAGGCCGGTGCTGGAGATGCCGCAGCTGCGGCTTGTGTCGGGACCGGTGCCGGGTCAGAAGCAGGGGGAGGGACCCACGAATTCTCCGGCTTGCGGCCGTACACCATGTGGCTGTGTTGTTTGGTCAGCCTCAATCGCAACCATGTTTCACGTCCCAAGACTGCACTTACTAATTGAAGTACGGCAGCGACTTCGAGCTCCTCAGAGCTATACGCATCTCCGCAACGAGGACCATAATCTCCTCGTAGGTCCATCCCAGGATCTCGCCAATCGGCTGGAGCGCCCATCCATCAAGTGACTGGTCCATGAAGAGGCCAGCGTAGTGCCCAACCTGCTTCAAAAATGGGTCCTTGGCCCAGCCTCCAATGGGCACCTTCCACTTCTTATGCACAATGTCAACAAAGCCAGCTTCCTTCATACATTTTACCATCATGATCTCTTCGTTCGGGCCTTTGTACTGAGCCTGGCGGAAGCTGCGGCCTATGATGTCACCCGCATCCCAAAAGAGACCTGCCCACTTCTTGAAAATATGGTTCGGGTCATTCTCGATTTCGGGGTTCTCAGAGCCAGCCAAGATGTCAAACTCCATGCTCTCGAACCAGCCGCCAGGCTTCAAGTGGGTGAATGCTTGTTCATAGAAACGCTGCCAGTTGTCGATGCCGCCGTACAAATTGCGAGCGTGGATCGCATCGAAGTGGTCCCTCTTGAAGGTCCAATCAAGCTGGGCGTCGTCAATCTGGAAGATGCAGTTCGGCGGAACCCAGCTGGGCTGCACGGCTGAAATGTCCGTCCCAATGACCTCAATGGCCGGGAATTCGTCCGCAAGATCACTGCGCGCGTTAGATAGGTCCTTGATGATGTACGGAATTGGAGTCATTGACTTACAGGGCCCAAAGACCCGATCCGGTGCCTACGTCGAGAACTTTCTAGGAAATCAAGTCAACCGTCGGTTCGATCCGCACTTTCGATTTCACTGACCAGGTCGCCTTTCTCCACCGGAACTGGAGCATAGAAGAGTCTGTCATCCATGAGCATCAAGGTGAAGTGATGCCTATCCAACCATTAGCCGCGCAAAGCAATCCAGGCCGTGACAAATTTAGCATACACTACGTCGAAGGTCTCCAGCTGCTTATCATCATTCGGCGCCCTAGCATAAATGGTCAGCACAATGCACAACCTCTCAAAAATCTTGCGGCTGCAGAAGCAGTCTCGCAAGAGGTAGAAGTCCTACTCACCAGTAGTCAATGGTGTTGGATGTCTGATAGGTTCTGCCCTTGATAGTACGAAACTCGCGTACACTGGAGCTCAGAGAGGCCGTAGACTCTCGAAGGCTATGTGGATACCAATTAGTTCCAAACTCGCTTCCGATTTCGAGCTTCGAGTTGACTCGCCTGTTCCTCCCGTCATCGTCGAGTGAGCCCGCTTCGGACTCAAGGTCAGCAATGACCTGAGGATCCTATGATTCGGCACCTCGCGTCAGCGAATCTGAGACTGCCAATCTGTAGCAAGCACGGTGATGGCGGCGAACTTACGGCCTGGATCTCGGGGACTTCTTCGGGTTGCTGCGACATCTTGTACGATAATCGACACAATTAAATAGCTTCAAAGCTTGAGTCGCACGAGTGAACAGTCGCTCTTCCAAAAAGACAACTGGGAAGTGAGAGGTTCAGAGAAAACAAAAGTTGCCACGAACGCCGTTGAAGAAAGAGGGGTAGGGAAAGCGACAAGCAGGCACACCTGTTGGTGTTGGTGGAGCTTGACGGCGGAGCGACATGGGCTGTTGGCCCGGTGTTCAACAGTTGCAGGGCCTTTCTGTAGCGTGATCATACCCATGTTGTTGTGCAAGAGGGCCAATCAACATTTCGCGGACACAGCATGCCTGCAGATCTGACTGCAGCCAAGGGCGAAGCGTTTGCCTGATGCAGTCCCCGAGGCATCGCAGAAATGCGAGATAAGAGGGGCACCCCACGGGTGCAACCACGTGTGTGTCGGCAAAGCCGTGATGGCCGGCAGTCCGAGAGTCCCGCAGCGTGAAACGTTCAGCCAAACACCAGAATCACTGCCAAACAGCAATCGGTATGAAAAAGCAGTCTCCCAAGTATTGCATTCATGATTGTAAAAGCTGAGAAGCATTTGAGCGAAAGAGGTGGGGAGCAACCCCGGTCGCCATACTCCTAGCAGAGCCTCCTGACGGGATTGAGAGGCCAAAGACATGAAGTGCACTATTTACAGCAGCTTGCTGAAGATATGAATTTACATGAACATCTCTAATACCTCATACGGGATTCAATTGATCATGTTTCTCCCTGAGCAAAACTTTTGTTGAGTTCCCACACCGCCATCCTCGTTAACATCGTTGCTTTAATCAAAAAGCTCAGCCTTGCTCGTGTTACTATGGAAGACGAAGTTTCTGCTCAAACCCTCTTGGAGGCTTGATGCTCGTAGGTTACGTGACCGCATGCTACGATGGGAATCGTTTTCAGACAACCTAGGTAAACAAAGATGCCTCGATTCAACACTATGGTCTCTGCCAAGTGCGAGAGCGATAGTGTCATGCCATTCTCACCACTATCCAGTTACTAACGAAGGCAGCAAACAACAATTTTGGAGGTATCCAGGCACTAACATCACGATCGTTCCTGGACGTTTACACTTAATCTGATTTTACTAATGGACGTTCTGGCCCGGTCCATAGAGAAGCTACGGCCGGACGCCACGACGCCATCCCACACACCACGGACTAGTAGACTACACGTTGGTGAAGGCGGTGCACATCGAGTACGCGTGGAGGTCGGACTTGCCGTAGCTTTTTTGTATTGCCTTTTCAAGCTTATCTTGAAAGTGCGTAGAATGGACGGCTAATCAACCATACTCTTCGGTATATGCCATTCCATTTACGGCTTAAAGCCATATCCCGAACTTCATTTCCTACTACGACTGCAGCAATGCTCAAGGAGCAGAAGTGCTTGAGGATAATAATTTCAGGCTGCAGGAATGGGACTAAATGGCGCATTCCTTTCCTACTCTTCTTTGGGATCTCGAAAGGACTGGCCGACAAAATCGGTCTACAAATTATTCTGGCTTGCATTGGAAGTATCACTGATCTCGAATCGTTCCGATCAGTCCCTGGACAGGTTCGGGAATGCTTCTGAATCAAGCTGTCTCACTCAATCATCGTGAATCTAGATGCGAACCTCTCGAAATGAATCGACCCGATGCCGTCGGTGAAAGAGGGACGGCCGGTCGTCAGGCCAGAAGGTGGACGCGATCGTCGAATCTGATAGCGATTAGAAAGACGGGAGCACCCGGGCAACGCAACCGCAGACAGAGATGATGACTCACGCAGGTAACAAGCCTGCCGGAAGCTCCCGTATGAACCTAGAATCAGAGGTGCAAATTCCGTGCCTGGTAGGGCGTCTACCCCTTTGAAAAGGAAAATACTGGCCAGGCCCCTATCGTTCGCCGAATTGAGAATGCGAGACTGGAAGACGGAGAGCAATAGCATTGTGTATATAAGAAAGATGTCTTTACTCCTCAAAAAGAATGACAACAAGAATCCAAGACACCCATAGCATTGTTGCCGGTCCGTGAAGCAACATTCCTCAACTCTCCCCATGTAGTCAGTCGGCCCGTGATCTGGATCACTTCCGGCCCGAGCATGATTCAAGATGACGGGCAAAATTGTACAAGAAGAGTGACGCAAAAGCTTTAGTCTGACGTCGCTTGAATTCCACAATACACTAGTTTTTATCACCGTGTGGTCGGTGATCGCGATACCCGAGCAGGCTTCCCGTAACAGTTCGGACCGCAAACAGACAGTCCTTCCCCGACGCAATTCAACGTCCACTTAGCCCGATGCAAAAAGTCTTCATCATCTTGACCCTCCGATCAACGAGTCCCTTTCCTCGCAGAGCTCTAGACCATCTCTTCGTAATCAGCTGCTCTTGCAAATCAGTCCTAGCGCCTGTCACTTCATCTCCCGCAAAATAAGCACCGCCTTTGACTACCGGCCGGATGCAGCCAAACCGTAGCTCCCGGATTCGGGGCTGTCGACTGCGGATCAAGCCCGCCTCTTGCGTAGCGCCCGTAAGGCCGAGCGATTAACCTTACGTCCCACGTAGGCTGATGGCCGTTCTAGCCCTGTGGCTCACGTCGGACCCTCGCGGATTGGCAGGAGCCTGGATGAGCTAGATGTGATTGAGTGAAACACCGCAGAGGGCAAGCGATGTCTCGGAAAGGCTTGTTGCTCGAGGTCCGCGGACGATTAGGGGTCATCGGGACGAAAAGCTGGCCGGCTTGGGGTTGATCGGCGCCTGCATACGATGATAAATACGGTCCTTCTGTCCCTCCTTCGCAGAGAGAGAGAATCACACATTCGATCAACTCCAGTTAACAGCCGGTTAGACAGATCTTCAACGCTCAGCTTCAGATCTTCCCGAAACCGTTTCTCCAGATACCAACAACACCACCGCTATCTCTTTGTATCTACTTCTCAGACAAGATGCATTTGTTCAACGTCATTACCTCTTTTGCTGTGCTCTCCACAGCTTCAGCGGCCGTCATTCCTCGGATACTGACGGACTTCAAACCCGATGGATGGAGCTCTATGCCCCAAATCACTCCAACCGTCGACACCATCAGTGCAGACTTGACCAATCTGGACAAAGCCATCACAAATCTCACCGACGTTCTTCAAAGCTCCTCCGGTGGCATCATCAAAGCAATCTCCGACGTCTCCTCTGTCATCTCCCACACCATCTCGATTCAGTCCGCCAACCGTCAGGCCATGTTGGACGTACAGGAGCTTGACACTGTATTCTCCGCCTCAGATTCTTCGACCATTATCAACAAGCTCAAGGACGATGTATACCCCCACGCCAAAACGGCTCTTGATTATCTTGGACAAGCCAAATCGGAAGGTCTCCTCAACACTTTGGCCTCGAAATTCGCCGTCCTACCATACCTCAATGTTCTCAGCAGCGAATACGACGGCTTCAGCACTGGGCTTCTCAAGTACATCGACTCGGGCTCCCAGGCTGACGCCAAGACCGTCTTGGACAACATCAAGAATCTCTTGGCCAGCACCATCTTGACCTACTCCGGTTGATTCCAGCTACTTGCGGATGACTGACTGGTGATGGGAGGGACTTTTTCGAGCAAAAGCTGCGTGTATCTTAGGGAGCTGATGATGGATCAGGCTTAGCCGAAGAAAATGGCACTTTTCTTTTGTGATTACGGTTTATGACTCTCTGCATTAGGCATTAGCGTTGATGTTAGCATACCTACCTAATAAGCGTTTCCATTCGTTCCATGCAATAACGTTTCGGAGAAGATGTCTTCCCAACGCTGCTTGTGAATATCAACCGGAGATCCCGGCCGAATTGCGAGGTCTAGACTTTTTCTGAGACAGCTTTCAGCTGGGCTTGGAAGGCTCGGAGTGGCCTTCTTGGAATATTTTCGCAACCGGTATGTGGCTGCCTCAAGTTGCCATTTCCGGCGGTAGTCACCACGGAATAAAAATTAGCTCCTACGCCCATCTCAAACAGTAACAAGATGAAAGGTGGTCCAGATGGAGTGGGAATTCATGTCGGAGAGCGTTGAGTCTTATCAGAAAATAAGTCGATTGAGAGCTTGCCGGAGATTTGGGCATTGTAGCTAGGCAAGGTCATGCCACAGCAGGATGACTAACTTCATACCAGAAAAACACAATATTTACACATACGGAATAGGCTCAGCAACGCCACATAGGGTAGACGAGTTTGGTTAGATATTATCCAGCAGGTATAATGGAGGAATAGAGAGGCTTTGGTGGCACCGGTTGTCGTACAATTATAGATTCATAAAACTGCCCGGTGGACAGCACAACAACTCGGTCGATTGATTTAAATTGAGAACTTCGGTATAACCGATCAAGCATGTTTAGAGCTATCAATGTTTGATTTCACTTATAATTCCTTAGAAAGTTAGCAAAACTATCGTACAGTTATTATGTATTGATTTAAATAGAAGCTAGCCTATTTGCCCTATTTCAGCGAGTAAAATATGTTCATTAGTAGCCAAACACGTCACTCTGTAGCCAGTTGTTGAGGCACTAGATCATATCTAGTTGATATGGCTTCATTTGAAGCCTCTGCAAGGTGATCGATACCACTGGTAGTTTATGTGATTGACTTGTTGAAGTCGGAGGCACCTATATCAAAGCCTTTGGGTAGACGAAAAATCAGCGAGAAAAGAAATCCCCACCGGTAATAAGCAACGACTGGCCAAACGAAAGCAAACAGCAGCGGAAACGGGAAATGGTGTCATTACAGCTGAGCATACATGTTCGGGTGGCCGGCGTTCAACCATTTTTTCAGCTACTTCTCTATGCTATGACATGTATGGAGAAACACCTCATTCGATAAATATTATTTGTGTCTGAATGACGGAGTGATTTGAAAGAGCTTTGAGTGAAGCTATGTTGTTAAGGTTGATCACCCAACTGCCGGTCCACACGACTCAGCTCAACCGTCAAGTCTCTTCATATTTGGGACTATGTCAATCCCCGCGAACATAACCCTGTTGGGAATGATGATACCTCTCATTCTTCTCTATGAGTGGAGGCTAAATTTGAAGTCATAGAGATAGTTATGTCATATCCATGAACATGCAGACTTGACTGACTAGTGATATGGCCAAAAGGACTCACCTGCAGCGGATGGGGCACGAAAACTCAGGTAACCCCAAGCGCGCAAGCAAGGCATCATACCGCCCCATCCCATTTGCCCACATCCCGAATTGCCCTGCTGGGCTGAATTACTTCCACCGGACGTCGAGATTATGTCCACAAAAGGAAGAAGCTTGATTCAAGCCAACTTGTAATTACTGAATAATAAGGCCACCAACCCAATGACGATGGTGATGTATCACTCAGCAGCACGACGGTGTTGACTAAGCCTGTGCGAGGCGCAGACTCGCCGACTCTCGGCACACACACATTGGACACACGTGTCTGATGCCAAGCACCGGCCACAGCAAATCAACAGCGGCAGCAGGAGATGACATGACGGGACATCATGCCACCAAGCCGTGGCCACAAGCCAACATCGCCTCGGGACAGTGATACTGTATGCGAGCAAAAGCGACAACAGCTTTTCTAGTTTGCCGTTGTGGTAAGACTAGGGCGGGTGGAACGTCGCAAGACCCGAAAGCGAAAACTCCAGAGACGAGTAAGTTGACCGCACATCTTTCGGTCCGCGAGATTGCCAAGAAATCCCATATCACCATACGTTATCGACTTTCATCAGGCTGGAGGCGGGTTGAATAGATAGGTTAGTCTCAGTTGGTCCCTCCAAGTTCCTTAAGCTTAACAAAGGTGAACCGGGCGATCTCGGCGGTGGCCATCTGCGGTGATTAATATCGACTGTGCAAGGGGGGGATTTTAATTGTCGCCTGGTAGGATTTTGATCATCGGCAGGCTCAGCAATACGGATTAGAGTTGAAGCGGTGGCTGGGCGTACAAGGCACCTGAGCAATGCATAATCCAATCCTTGACTTTATCTCTCTCTGGTGGAATTTGACGGTTCGGAACCTATCCGTAGGCAGGTCGCCCCGAATCATTGAGAGAGAGAAAAAAAAAATCAATTGCCGGAGCGAGTGTCCGGCCGCCGCGCTCTGAGCTGTCGCGACATGTCTTGGCGCGCAGGGCGATAGTGTGATTTAGTTTTTGCGCTGCTGCAAAGAGAGGTTGCAGCAAACATCTGGCGGTGGACAGGACGGTAGGCTCTGTTTGGGTGTGTCCCGTCCGTTACACTTGGCTACTTCTGACCCGTTTCCCGCTTGACTGCTTCATTACGAAGAAGATGATCTTGCCCATGTCACTCGTCTCAAGTCTAACGTGTCCTCTTTGTGATCCTGCTGCTCTACGGGATACATCGCTGAAGTTTCGTGACGGAGCCAGAAATGAACTCTGTCGTCATTCTGACAGGGGCCGTGGCTCCGAACAGACGGGGGAACATTTTTTGGTCAGTGGCTGGCTGCCTGTAGTGCGTGGGAGGCTGGAATGGAGGCGGAATGGAGGGGGGCACGGGCTCGCGGGAATTAGACGAAAGAAAACGGTCCATCACACTGTTCAGAAGCAGCGCCCGTTCAAAGGAGGACCGGATCCCCGATGGATGGATAGACCCAGCGCCGTTGGATCGGCAGGCGGCCCTGTGATGAGAAACGCCGCGACTTCGTGCCTGTGAGCTGCTGACAGGACCGGCCTCATTTGAACGTCCTCCGGGCCCGTGGAAGGGGATCCGGGGGTCCGAGTCAGGGGGAGGGCCAGGGGATTTAGGAGGTGACAAGACGGAATGACAAGACGGTGGACGAGAATGGGGATCTCGCAGGAGGGGACACAGCCTGCCCCAAGCAACACTGCGAGAATAAAAAGTCTCCAAAAACGCCAAGGGACCAAAGACGCCAAGACGTTGGACGTGAAAAACGTGGAAAGAGGCGTTGGGAGACCGAAGAGCGAGCAGTATCTTGGCCCTTGGGGCTTTTGGGGAGGGGGAACTGGAGAGGGGGAACGGAGTGCCCGAGGACGAGTGACTTCAAGCGCCTTGTAAAGCGGAGGCCTCTGGCGGAGAATGGGGAAGATCTTGTACGCTTCTTGGACATAACCACCCCGCTTTTCTTTTTCATCGGTGGCTCTCCCATTGCTCTTGGCAGACAGTCAAGCTTGGCGGTAGAGTCACCGGAAGTCACTGCCTCAGCGTGTGGACTGGGACGAGTGACTTGTGTGAGCTGTATGCTTGGCTCGAGTTGAGGTGAGCTAGTTCTATGAGTGGTGAGTGAGTGGTTGTGTTGCACACTGCGACCCGCGTCCTGCATCTGCGTCCTGCGGCTTCAGTGTCCTGCGTCTGCACCTCGTCTCGTTCCATGTCAACAGACAACCAGCCTACTGCTGGAAATGCGACTACTGCGGCAGGCTGCTCTTTCTGGGCTGACCGGCTGGGTCCCTCACCTCCCAATCCGCATCGCCCGAGTCCTCCTGCTCACCCATTTCTCGCCTCTTCAGTTCAAGTCAGACGGTTCCCGTCACCGAGCTGGACTGCAGTCCCGGGACGGGCTCCCAGCGAATGGGCATGGCTGGCTGGGGCGGCACAACGTCCGTTTTGTGGGTTGATAGGGTCCACCGATGCACACACGGAACGAGAATGAAGAGGAGAAAAAGAGCAGCTTGCACCCGCGGAACGGGCGAGGGCACTCCGATAGACGGCCGGGTAAAAAAGACCGATCTTACGGCTTGTTCGTCAGACGAGGCACGAGGGATGATTGTGGTTGATGGGACATAACATGGAACATGGAGTCGACGAGGTGAAGGATGAATGATCGTCTCAATATGTCGGTGACAATAGCGCAGGCGTCGGCGAATATCATCAGCCGGTTGATCGCTCTAGGATCACAATGCCTCCTCGCACATATGCTCCTTTAGAACGGGACAAAATATTGCCAAAATTTCGATCGGATATGATAATAGGTTGCGGCAAGAAACAAGGCCGCCACCAGACCCTCAATCGCATTAATGCCAACTCCGCTTGGCAGGCATGTCTTAAACGTTGGGTGAAGCCGCTCATGATGGGCACCACCCCCAACCTCTGTGGCGCCACACGCACACACACTTTCAGGTGTATCTGGGTCTTTCTCTCGCTCTCTTCCCCCCACCGCCTTGGCGAGTGTTGCTCTGAGATTATCCCCGAGTGCATGTGTGTGTGCATCGTGACATTGCCAAGCGGTGAAATGTAGCTGGCCCGGCACTGCAATGTTTGTGTGTTGATGATCACCACACTGTCTCGGTTTTATTGCGAGTCGCACGAGCCTCAATTTACGGGCGGCACATCAGTCTCGCGGGTTCATCAAGCGAGCATCTTCCTTTGACGAGGCACCGTCTTGGACAGTTTTGAGAGCATGCAAACAAAAAAAACCCCCGGGAACACCGTATCGGAAACGATGGAACAGTTGCGTCCCATTCTGAGAAAACCCCGAGGAGAAAATCGAAGCATTTTTCGAGGTCCACCGCCCGGCATGCACAGAACCGTCCAGGAACAGCTTGGAGCCGGCGGCAGTGCAGTGTAGCGTAGCGGTACGCGGGAACTCTGACAGGTCGGCCTGGAGCGCGACAACCCATGAGCGTTCTCCATTTCTTCGAGCAGTTGGTCTCCATCGAATCCATGATCCATCGTTATCCCAACCCCATGCAACCTCTCTGTCTGTGTTCTCTGGCCCTCTGCGGCGTGGTGATCGATGGCCGGAGGAAGTGGACGATGTCCCTCTTGGGGCACACCGGCTGCGGTTTGACGCCGGTGATTGGGCAGGGCGAGGGCTTGGGGGCTGGACGATGGAACCAGGAAGACAAGCACTATCGTGCTGGCCCTGCCCACCCCACGCATCTCATTGAAGAGGACCTGGTGGTGAGTGGTTTTGGTGAAAGAGCAAGGGCAGACGAGAGACCTGAAGCGACGTCTGGGGCGGTGATGGGGGTCTGTTGGGAGTTGTCTGGAGACTCAGGCCGGCTCTTGGGTCTTGGTCGCTTCAATTTTTCAATATTCACGAGTCAATTGTAACAGCGAGATTCTCATACAACACTGAAGCATTCTCTTTCTTCACTGACGGAGGAACATTGAGAGAGAAATACGTACCGAAGAGTCGAGTGTCCACAGACTCCAAGGTGTGCATCCGCTAATACTGTTTGTGTCTAGCATCATTTTCCTTCCACCTTCCATGATTCCACCGCCATGTACCCCGTCGCACAACCAGCAGCGAGAGATACCTCATTCCGCTCCTCCCACAGCTTCCATCGAATCATGACGTCCTAAATCAGCCTTCCGCTTGGTATTGCGGGGCAGGTCTGGCCACTGTAGCCCAATAACAACGGCGTCTGGCTGAGAGGGAGACTCTGTTTCTCTGTTTTGCTCGTGCCGCTGGACGCTAGAGAAAGCAGCAGAACAGGTTCAGGTTCACTTCACTCTACAGTCTACACTAGCTGGGTCTGCTGGTGTGTCTGGAGTCTGAGTCTGAGTCTGGTCTGGTCTGGTCTGGTCTGGTCTGCTTCTCGACACTGCATTGCATGCCGCCTCCTCTTCCTCCTCCTCTGACCTTTGGATCCTTCTTCTTGCTTGGTCTCTTGGCTCTCGTTGAAGCTTGGCAGCGGTGCTCTTGGCGCAATCTTTGGGAAAAGGTTGGAGGGCCCAGCTCCATGGGCCGTTGTCATTGGACATTGTGACCCGTTTCTGGGTCCAAGATACCCAGCTTTCCTTCTCTTCCCCCCTCCACCCCGGTCACCACCGACGCCAGGCCCTTTGCCAATGCCAGGTTGCCCCCCTCGCTCTTTGCTTTTGCCCCATCCACCGTCCCTGCTGGTTCTGCTTCTGTTGTGTTTCTCTGTCTTTGCCTCTGTCTGCTGCCCCTCCGCCGGCTGCTGCTGCTGGTTTGCTGGCGGCGGGCGGGTGATCCTGTACATACACAAACAAGCCCAGCCGGCCCAGGTATTCATTCGTTCAGCCAACAATATCAGCGTAACAGACGCCTCCAGCCATCATAATCGTTTCTTGCATGCTCTGTCTGTCTGCCCTTGTTTGCTGCTGCTGCTGCTACTGCGGCATGGAATCGGGATAAGCTTGTCTGTGTCTCTCTCTCCGTTCCCATTCGTTCAATCTTCCATCTGTCCCTCCATCCACCCAGGTCCCATTCCAATTCTCATCCATCCATCCATCATTATCCCATCCCATCCCATCCCCATCCCGCCCATGACCACCACCACCGCCAGGCCCTTGTCCATGTCCATCATACCAACCGTATCTTCCGATACCTCGCCCCAAGGAACGCTCTCCGCTCTCCGCCCTCTCCCACCACCCGACCTCGACCACGCCCAAACCGAACCGTGCTAGACTCAAATCTGTGCTCGTCCCAAAAAAATTAAACGGTTCTACCCAACCCAACCAACGGAAGGGAAACTCAACCTTGAAAGCAGTCCACCACCAGACGAAACCGAACCCGCCAGGCGACCGGTGCCAACTTTCTTTCAAGCTCCTCCCAGCCCAGCTTGTCCAGCTTATTCCCAGCAATCACCACCACATTCGTAGCATCGAACGAACGAAGCGTTGCATTGGGGAAAACATCTGCTCAGTGCGCTCAGCCCTTAGCCTCCGCTATTCCGTTCCGCCCTTTGTGACGTCGATTGGCGAAAAGGAAACGATTCAACACCACCACCGCCAGTCCACTACCGGCTGCACACACGACCACCGCGCACCCGAAACATCATCCCATACCGCACCCTCCGCCGCATCGCGACTAGACGCAGAAAACGTCTATCCCTCTCGAGTCGAACATCGCGAACGACGACGTCGACGCTCGAACAGCTGTACCGCAGCTCTACTTGCGCGAACTCTCCCCGTAAACCGCCGCCGAACCTGCCGAACGAACCTCGAGTCCCGCGCTTCCCCCTCTCTCCCCCCTCTGGTTCGAACAAAACAACACCCAACACGGCCGACAACATAGCGTCTCGCCAGGGATCGGGCCAGACGACGAGGACTCTTCCCCCCGAACCCAAGGGGTTTAAACACCTCACCTCCTCGTCGATGGCTTTTTTGACCAAGAACATCTGGCCCAAAGATGGGAGGAACCGATCGCATATCCCGGCCATGCCGGTGTGGATTGCAGGCGTCAGGATAGCACAGCTCGTAAGGAAACACCGCCACCACCACCCGTTCCGCTCCGCTCCCGGCCTCGATGTGCAGCACGCGACATTTGCACAGCAAAAGATCTCGGAAATGCACGCATCTTGGGAGCTGGAGCTTGTTTTGAGGAACGTCATGTTGATGGTTTTATGTGGAATTGCAGGTCCTTTCGATTGCGACATTAGTGGTGACCGTGTACGGCCTGACCACCATGCAGAAAGCGACAAACTATCGCAGGATAACGGTATGGCTCTTGCACATGAACAAAACTATCTTGCGCCTGGACAAATGCTCCTGCGCGCACAGCCTAAACTTTTTGGCTAACGTATTGCGTCTTGTATCTTGCAGTCCTTCAGCGGCACTGAAGGTTTCCGTATGTCACACCACCCACATCTGCTCATCATCAATTCGTGTACTGACATTCTGTTGGCAGCGCTTTCGTGGTTTGCTTTTGCTTGGACCTTCTCCTACCTGGCATGGCTAGGCGTCGCAGTAATGTTCATCCCTATGATGTACAACTGCTGGGTGCATCTGTGAGTTGTCTTCATCCGTGGTCGCTGCGCCCATCTCTAACGAATCACAGTGGTCTTGAGCTGCTCACCGTCGTGTTTTGGATGATCACTATGGCTCTACTGGCCAGCCACGCCGACGACCTCGACTCTCTCGATGCCTTCATTGTCACTTTCGGCCCCAAGTATGAAGTGTACTACAAGATGAATGTTGAACCTTTCGCCGAAGGCTTCGTAGCCGCCACATATGCCGGGACTGCCCTATCGACCGTCAACTTTGTTCTTTTCATCCTCACCATCGCAATCTTTGGTGAGTTCATGCCCCACGCTCATTCAAAGACCTGTCGCGAGATTCGGTCTCATTCCCTTGGCATTGAGAACACCCAACTGACCTCTCCAGGCCGCGCCCTCCACGCTTACCGCAAAGCCAACCTCGAAAAGGCCCCCAGCACAACCGACTCTCAGAAGACGATCCAAGCCGAGGGTGACAAGATGGTCGCCTCACCACAAATGACATCCGCAATCCCCGCATACATCCACTGGCAACACAACAACAACCAGTACCACCCGCAACACCAGCAGACATACGCCTACTACGCCCAGCCATACGCGCAATCGCCGCACTCGCAAACGAACCCCTCGCCGCCGAATTCCGTCCCGCCGCACGGGTTCCAGCCGGCGTACTTCCCCAACCCGCAATGGCTGCCCCAGCCACCACCACCTCAACACCAACCACAACCGCAACCGCAGCAACCGCCCCCCGAAGGCGGCGTCTGGCCACAGCAGAACTACACCATGTACCAGCAACAAGTGCCCATCGCCCCCCAGCACACGGGCCAGACGGGCACCGACCTCGGCACGCCGCAGTTCCCGATGGTGAGCCCCGTGGCCGCCACCAAGTCCGACTACCAAGGCGTCTACCCGACGCCGCCGCCGGGAAGCACGACGACGTCCGGAGGGGTACAGCACGGCTACATGGCGCCTCCGCAGCCGCCGCCGCCGCCGCCGCCACCACCGGCGCTGATACCCGGGTCGGCGCAGTCGCCGGTCGAGTTGAACGACGGGTTGGGCGAGCCGGGTATGCCTGCGGAGCTGCCGAACGATCCGCCCAGGTCACCGAGATGACAACGATCATGAGAGTTTTTATTTCACAACTTTGAAGAGCAGCTGGGATTTTGTTTGATTTTCTTTTTCTCCGGCCTGTATCAGGTCACCCGGGACACACGAACTTTTAACGAATTTCGGAAAAAACGACTTCTACGGCGCACAACTTATTTTCGTCTTCATTATTTCATTGGGCGCGGCAAGACACATGCATAGAGAACGGCGTTCTGGGAGATTACTGGGGGAAACCGGCGCAAATAAGAGCCCGCTTGCACAGCAGCTTAAGCATGGTTCTGGATTCTCGCCAACCTTTTTGATCGAATTCATTTTCTCATTTTCAACGGCCGGGGAACAGGGATCATCGAACCTCACCCTTTTACGACGAACCGAGGGCGGAGCCGACGGAAAAAAGAAGCGGGACAGGGGGCCTCGTTGAGTTTTTTTCTTTGGAACCAACCGCGGCGAAAAAGAACGGTTTGCCTTCGTTGTATTTCTAGTTTAGATGGACGTCCCCTTTGAGGGGTGACTGGGGTTCATGATGCTTAATCCATGATAAACCCTCCCGATTTACGACCGATCGGGGGGACCATCTTTTGACTGATGCTGCTGGTACGATTTCAGTGACGTTCGCGCGATTGAATACGCCGTACTGAGTGATTGCGAGACGTGACGGAGGGAAGATTCATTCAATTACAACTATCATTACGACTGTCAACTCAGCGACTATATTTGCCGCAGGTCCTCAGTAAACATAGCGGAAGTACGGGTTCTCCTTATCAGTCAAATCCTGGAACGCAAGCTTCGCCCTCTCCTCTTCATCAACCGGCAATGCATCGCGCTTCTTGTTCTCGCTCCAGAGAACATAGTACAGCGCCCCCGAGGCCAGGATGCAGATGACGTAGCAAATAATCAGACCCAGCCAGAGCTCGGGGTAATGCGCCGCCTTGCTCTGCGACTTGACCAGCTGTGGCCCGACGATGTTGCCCACGCAGTACGCCACGAAGATGGTTGCGGCCATGAAGCTCTTCTTAGTGTGCCCGGCCACATTAGACATGCCGAGCGTGATGATGAGGCTCACCACACCGCCGAAGAAGCCCGTCAGCGAGTAGCCCACCACAGGCGCCGCGGCGTGGCGCGTCCACGCGGACTTCCAGATGAGCGCGCAGCCTGCGATGACGGGGAGGCAGCACACCACGAGCATGAGGATGCGGACGTTCGGGATGCGGGTGCCGAGGTAGCCCGTCGCGAGGATGACGAGGAAGCACAGCCCGCCGAGGGGGAACTGGAACAGGATCGACTCGAGGGAGGTCCAGCCGAAGGTGGACACGATGAGCGGGCCGAAGCCGGAGACGGCGCCGTTCATGGTGTAGGCGGAGGCCATCATCAGCGCGACGAGGTAGACCTTCACGTCGGCGAGGGCCTCGCGGAGCTGGGCGGGCTTGAACTTTGTGCAGCGGACGCCGGTCTGGCCGTAGCGCAGGCGCTCAACAGCGGCGAAGCGCTCGTCGCGGGTGAGGAACCAGGCTGAGACGGGGGAGTTGGGCAGGACAAAGCAGAAGACGCCGAAGAGGAAGGTCAGGCAGCCGGCGAGGAGGTAGATGTACTGCCAGGGGCGAAGGTCGCCGGCGCGGATCTGGGCGAAGGCGTAGTTGAGGGCGCCGCCGACGATGGTGAAGAGGCCGGTAGAGGAGAACCACCAGCTTTGGCGGAGGGACTGCTCCTGCTGGGTGTAGTAGCCGGAGACGATGCACATGAAGCCGGTGGGGATGATGGACTCGACGAAGCCGAGGAAGAAGCGCTGGGCGTAGAGGCCATGGTGCGAGGTCACGGCGGCGGTGAGCATGCAGATGCCGGACCAGAAGATGACGACGGCGCCGAGGATGCGGCCGATGTCCAAACGCTGGAGGGCGTAGGTCATGGGGTAGAGACCGGCGAGCATGCCGAAGTAGAAGAGGGAGGTGGCCCATGAGAGGCGGGATGTGTCGACGCCGCCGGGGGGGGTTGGGACGGAGAGGTGGAGGTCGGAGGTCATGCCGAAGAGGACTGCTGAGCCGAGAATGGCTTTGTCGTAGTACACGAGTCCATCTGTTGAGATGTTAGATGAGCTGGTTTGAGATGAGACGGGTGATGGGAATGAGTACGAACATCCGAAGATCATGGCGGGGATGAGGAACCAGTCAATCTTGCGCACCGCGCGAGCGGCGACGGCGGGGTCAAAGTCTTGAGCATGTGTGCCGACCATCGCAAGGGCATCGTCGTCGCCGGCACAGGGCGGGTGGCCGTCGGTCGGCGCGGGAGCCTCGACATCGGCGCCCGCTCCGGCGTCTAGGGGCCCGGCGGCGGCTGCTGTCCGGGCGGTGGTGGCGACATGCTTTTCGGGGGCCATCGCGGGATGAGACGAAACCTCGCAGCGAGGACCTTGTATCCGAAGGGGAGGGAGGATACGTAGCCGACCTCGTTACTTTTGGAGGAATCGAGACGGATTTGATGTGGTGGATGAGTGAGCTGAACTCTGGCTAGTCCGTATCTCACTTTGTCATTGGCGAGGGATCCCTTTGCGTGGATTGTAGTATGGCAAAAGTCGCCTCAGGACAGGCTGGGGTGGCGGTGGTTGTGTTGGTGGCAGCTTGAGATGAAAAATTTCATGAGCGAACCATCTTGGCGATGTGGTTGACGGACTCTTCCGCCGGTCTTAATTAACTCGCGGCTCTTTTTCTTGACATTCAACCCCACGTCACATCTGCTTCCGCTTCGACGATCGTTGGTTCCCAGCGGAGAGGTAGCGAAGAAAACCTGACGACCGGGGGGTTGCCAAAGCCATTTCCAACCGCCATCCTGGACCATTTTTCTCGCACTTGATCCGCTAAACGGGTCTGGGAATGAGCGGATTTGGGCAAATTTCTGCAGCGTGCAGATGTCTCGCTTGGGCTAAAGAGGGGACTGGAGAGAGACGACGATTGGACGCGGGAGAGAACACGGTCTGGGCCGCGGGTACAGTCGGAGATGGGGGGCCGAACTCGGCGGGTGGGATTCGCGGGTTATTAGGATTGCGGCGAGTTGGGTGAATTGCCGGGGGCTACGGGGCTGAAAGTGAGTGGTTTTGTGTCTAGAATGTGTGATGGGATGAGGCTGTTTTGTGTAGGGTTTTGAACCATATTAAACGCGGATATGAAATGTCAGAGTCTCACAGTGGGATGGAGGCAGTTGGGATGGATTGGGGAATCGGGGAGAGCCGCCCGGGATGGGTGAGTGAGGGATGCTGAGTGAGATTGGGCTTGGTATCGTCGATTGAGTGGCAACGGCGGGTAATCTAAAAAGATCCTGAGACTTCAATTGCTCTCTATGACGGCACAGTTCTTGTTTTATGTTCAGTCGAGATCATCAAATGAGAGAATAATCGTTTTCATGAGTAGTTTGGTGGTACTGAGTGAGAATCTGGAGTGAGACTGAACGCTCTCGGGAATCGCTGAGAGCTATCCACCGCGGAAACATCTCCCCACAAGGGAAGCTTTGATCATAAACATGATGTGTTCAGCGTCTTTTCCGACATGGGCAGACAACTCAGCAACGAGCTTTGCTCACTGCGCAGCAATGCATTTGTTTGGCAAACACGGAAAGTGACACGAGCGGCTTACTCCATTCTGACTCTCAATGAACCTCGGCGGAGTCTTGACTTTTTATCTGAGGTTTTCCGGACCGTTTCCCCAACAAATGACTAAACCAAGTCCGGATCTGCAGTGACTCCTTCGCGCTGCCGCCCCAAGACCAATCGCACCCTCCCACCCATTACGCCGCCGTGTCCCCAAACTCTCTTTCAGAGCGCGTCTTGCGGTCTATGCTGTGCGAACGTGAAGCCCATGCCTTTGCTTGGCTCGTCTTGGCTTGTCGGGAAGGTCGGCCACCCATCAGTCTGAACGCCTGGGGGAATTGCTGGCTCGCTCACTCGCTAGAGGCCGAGACCGTGGCAGCTGCACCAGGTGCAGACTGTCTGACGGAAGCCGACCGTGTTGAAGCCATCGTGAGACGCGTTTTTCGTCAACCTCACAATGATGTTCACATCCACATTTGCCATCTTCTTGGCCGGCTGGACAAATCTTATGAAGCAACGAGAAAATTGGTTTACTTATTAATCGCAGAATTCTTCCCTCTCGGTATCTTTCCTGGGTCCGACCCAGGCCCTCTTGCCCCCCGTCTTTGTTGTTCCCAACCAGGTCCGCCATAAGTACAAAATCTTGCCCATGCCGATATTAACACTAGGTTACAGTACACGAGAGGTCGTTTCCGCTCCTTGCTGACGCGGCATTCCGTCTCGGTTTGCGTCCTCCGGCAAAATACGGAGGCGCTGTGATTATACACTAGGCTCATTGAATCTTTGCCGCTTCTCTCTCGGCCTTGTTCTCTTTCCACCACTTCTTTTCTCTCTTGATCGCATACTCAATCCAAAATCTCGCAGTCACACCCCAGACGATGATCCAGCCAAATAAGACGCCCAACGACGTGCCAAACGCACGCTCAAACTCCAAGTCCCAGATAATCGCGGCCACATAGCCCAGGTAGCACGAGCACCCGCCGATCCAGAACAGCGTCAGCTCGAGGATCATCTTGCGGAACATCATCGACTTCTTGTACCGCTCGACGTAGCGCTTGCGGAACTCGCGGTTCTGCGCGCCGTCGACGGCGAAGAAGTCCTCGGCGGCGTAGTACACAATGGGCTTGAGCCGCTCGCCCGCCGGGTCCGAGTTGATGCGGATCGGCATCTTGATCGGGATCAGCGTCATCAGCGCGATCGCGTCGAGGATCATGAACATGAAGCCCGGTGAGTAGAGGTACAGCCACTCGACGACGAAGGGGTCGTAGACGGTGGTCGAGCAGACGAAGGGCACCAGCGCGGCGATGAGGCCGAGCGCGTACACCCACGTCGTGGCGTCCAGCTCCCACCAGTGCTTCGACAGCAGCGGCGCGCACTTTTCGTACTTTGCGATGAGGCGGTAGACGCGCACGATGAGGATGTACACCTCGCCGAAACCGAAGGCGATAATGGCAAAACCCAGGATGCGAGACTCGACTGTCTCAACGGCGGGGAGGCCGCACTCGACGCCGGCCTCGTATGCGGGCGCACAGGCGTCGCGGCGACGATTGCGCTGCGCACGGAGCCAACTGTAGTAAATGCAGACTGGGAGAGCTAGATCGAAGAAGAGAATGATGAAGGGGCCGATGGAGATGGAGATGTGCTCCTTCCAGTCCACGTACTTGGTCAGCGGCTCAAGCTCGTCATCGTCGTCGTCATCATCAAGGCCTCTGTCGCCGCCAGGCGTGGTGCCGGCCAGGACTCCTGGGGTCGCCGGGTCAGTCGTTGTCTTGGGCGGCCCTTCGCGTCCCAGCACCTGTGCCGTGCTCTCGCTGACGGCCGTGATGGTAGAATCACGGAATGCCTCACGGTTCTCATCTCCAGGGGCTCGATCCCGGGCAATGGCAGCTTCGGAGGCCGTGTTGGGGGCGTCAGCGACGCCTGGTACTGCTGCCTCGTTGGATCCTCGTCTGCTTCCCTGCTGCGAACCCGTCCCCGCCGGTACGGCTGCCCTGCTCTGCTCGCCGGAAGGTTGCCTGCTGGGTGCCTTTTGAGACGGCGCCTTTACACTCGGTGCCTTGTCTTCTGACGGAGCCTTCGATTGTGAAGTGCCGGGTCTCGTCGGGGCGTCCTCGTACGCCTGCTCCCCCTCGTTGTCGCTGGTGATGTCCGATATCAGCGCCGTCGAAGCGGCCGGATCATTGTCTCCTGGCATTGTGGCGTCTTTGTCGTTGGTCCTGTCTTAAACAGTAACCTGGGTATCGATGAAAAGGGAACTGAAATGGGGGGGGTATCTTGTCAAGAAATGAAATGACAGAATAATAGCTCTTGTACGCGCGCGCTAGACGGACTGCAACGACGACGACAGAAAAATGATTAAAGCTAGCTCAGCTCGGCTCTTGGGGTATGACAGCAGAAAACCAGAGCTCACACCTTACCGTTCGCTCCCAACACAAAGGCCCTGGGATGAGAGACGTCGACTACTTCATATGGAAAGGTGTTCACTGGAAACATGGGAGCAGTGGGCGCAGATCCAAAGCGCACGTCCGCCCGCGCCGTCGCAACACGAATCATGAGGGGAGCATGAAATGCATCGCGACATCAGACGGATGCCTGACCGGCCGGTCCCTGGTTTCGAAAACGTGCCCAGGTTGTATCTGAGCCCATTATTCCATAGGGTGTTCCTTTTCGGGCCCCGAGCAGCATCAGCAGCGGTGTCCTCAGATGCCCCCCCTCAACGCCCCTCCTGGGCGACGGCACTGCTTGCTCGTCGCGTGATTGGCACAGGTCAACATGTGGTGTTGGCTCTTGGTGGATGGTTTCTGCCCCTTGCCAGCAAACTTTGGCCGGCATAAACCCAGAGCTTCGTCTCAATAAGCATCAGCAATGCTACAGACTTTACTTGTCTGTGTTTCTTGTGCAATGTGTGGGAGGGGGGCGAGGGCGAGATGGCTAGGAAAGGGGAGGAGGGAAAAAGGGGGCTACTAGTTTTGACAAGATGGCGCCGTCTACCATCCCCTGCGACGACGGACGCGGCCAAGACCTTTCAACTTCTGTGAGACGACATGTTAAACGTATGGTTTTCCCGGGATCCAGCCACAGCCGGAACGTGAACTTTCGGGGGCATTTGCCTCTCCACGATCGGCACCGGACTCCGTTGCGGAACGTCGATTAGCTCCCGACACAGGGGCCGTCCCTGATATCCTGCTTTGGCCTAGCCCCGGCGCAAACAGCAAGCAACAAGATACAGCCGCGCAGCAATTGGCCAGAAGCACTGAGAGGGAAAACGAGACCGGCGAACCCGGGGCTTCCATGTTCTTGACTCGAGCCCAGAAACGTCTTTGCTCGGTTGTATTGGTGTCTAGCGTCAAACGCTAGTGCGGAGTCAAGTCCGGACATCAGAGCACAAACTGCGAACCCAGCAGCAAACAGAACAGAGCGCAGAAGAGACCAAGCAACTCGCAGTTCAACTGAACGATTTGCTGAATTGGGGGCCTCGCCTGACGGGAGCTCTGGCATAGACGTACGTACCTACAAGGCGTGAGCTGAGCCCAACGGGTGGTGCGTCAACCAGACGAGCTCCATTCATCCCAGAGCTTGCCCATCTTTCCTGGCTGCAACCTGCGGGCCAAGCTGTAATGCAACAGTTGCTCCCATTCCTCCGTCGTGTTCCTGCCATTGTTCCATGACCCCAATTCTGCATTTCCCATGCTGCGAGACTCTCCCATGCCTGCTTCCTCCTCCATGCAGGCATGCCACGACTTCCGCCAAGGTTCTGCCCTGCGCCAATTACATAACGTGCCGTCAACACCCAAGTTGCTGCAGCTTGCAGTGGTCTGACCTTCAGGAGCAGACAGTCGTGTGTGTTGTTTACCTGTGTTGGACAGCCTTCCATCCTTGAACCCAGCCCAAGACCCTCAACCCGCTCTCGCGCCCGTCTGGGTGTGCTTTCCCACGTTCCGGTCCAGGATTGGGCCAGTACGACGGGTTCCAACGCAGGCAAAGCTACGCTACGGCCTCTGCTCAAACAGTGGCCGAATCAAAGAATTGCAGCAACGACGATGGACATTCGGGCAGAATTTCGGACAGAAACGCTGGCCTTCTCCCGAGTGTCCGTCCAGCCCGCTGGGCCGTTACATCCCACCGCAAACCGTGAATCCGTGATCAAGATCTCTAGACTGGGTGATGAAGACAGCCATGAACGTCCGCCCCGTCACAACACGCATGTCCTTCTTCCCCAAACCGAGATCAACCGGGGACTGATGTCGTGGTGACACAGGACACGCAGCATGACTCTCCTGTCATCCAAAGCCCCCTTCCCCCCCCCTTCTTTTAGTCGCGAGGGAATCGTCTCGCATACCACATTACCGGTCCAGGCCACCTGGCACCATCATCACCCTGGGATGCGCCAGTCATGGACCATGACGGCTGCCCCGCGGGTCCCTAGGCCTCCGCCTTTGCAGGTCTCGGAGTTTATAGCTTGATCGCTGTCTGTCTTGTGGGCGCCCGCGTGTAACAGGTTTTACGGGGACTTTCGAGGATCTTGAAGTATGGATAACCCAGACTAAGAAACACGCCCGTCGCTCGATTGTCGCTTGACCGTCGCTTGACGGGCGCCACGCGCAGCCGCCCCCCTTCCGCTAGCCGCCGCGCTTAGGATCTGTCAGATTCCGCTCCTATCAAACCCTGCAGGCTTGCAACCTCACCTTGAAGGATGGTGGTGGCTGATTCGCAGCGTCGCCATCCATCTGACACTTGATCTCGCATCCTCATTCCAACGACCATTTCCCCGTTCCTACGTATGTAACGATGCAATGCACACGTGTCCGGCGGCCGGCCCGCTCGTGACGCTGGCAAGACAAGCTGCAGCCATCAGACGCTCCGCCGTCGCGTTACCGCCATGACACTAGCTGATGGCTAACTTGCTCCCGACATCTGCCTCCGATGCGTCAAGAATGATTCCAAACCCGTTCCATGCCTGAGCGAAATGCACTTTCGTAGCTTTGGCCGCGTTCTAGATGGACGGGAGAAGACTTAGACAGGCTTCAGGTGTACAGACGTGTGTCACATCGAAGATGGGCGCACGCGACTCATGGAGACAGTCAACGTGCAATGCAGTCAGAGCACCGCTGCGCCGGGTCGGGTCTCGGTCGTTACATCCTCAGGGCTGAGTTGCAGCACAAGCGCAGTTTCTCCTTTTTCGTTGAAACCTGAAAACTTATTCTTCGGGAACGATCCCCTTCGTGGAAGTTAATCGTCGCAATGAAATCTTGTTCTCGAATCGCTTTCGGCACGACTGTCAATATTGGGGAAAGTGGACTTGCGGCACGGCTTCATCTCACGGATCCATGGACCGTCTGTGAGATGGTTCATCGCTTCAGACACACGCTTGCCCTCGCACCCGCACAGGGCAAGCGATCTCTCTCCAAACACGTGTTTGGACCTTTAGCGTGCAATAACTTGGGCACGTTGGGCAGCAAAATTTCAGTCCTCCTTTCACCGACTCAGAAAAGGGGGATGATGTCGGCTGCTCCGAGGATGGGCGGTTTCACGACGGGAGGCTTGCGGGCTTGACTTCACTCGAGTGGGGACTGAGTCGGGCGAGCCGGCTTGGACCGACGCCGTTTCGAGTCGGAGGCGGATGCTACCTTATGCTAAATGCATACATAGTTTGGCATATGCTGGCTGTTTGCTAATTAGCGTCGGCATCTTTTCGTCTACTCTTCCTTTCGGATATTTCTAAAACATTTCGTGACATTGAGGTCAAGTAGGATGCAATCCTTGACTGTTAAGTATACGTCAAATTAGGCACCGCAGCCAGATCAGATTCCATTCTGCAGCATGCTTGCCGCGTCGATCCCGCCCGTCGTGCCGTTGACGATGATCCACAAGGCTTGTAACCCGAAGGTCAGGACCCATGCTCGTTCCAAGTGTAATAATTCTAGTATCCTTGGCGTACGAAAGTCGCCTAGCTTGAAATTGCCAAGCAACACATTTAGAGGCCTGTCGGATCCGGGCTGCATATCTCAATGTCATGCAAGAACTTTCTGACGAATATCAATTGCGATTGTAGCACGTAGGGTTTCTTCCCATGTGCTTGTTTGGAAACCTTCGATAGCATTCGCAAGTAGTTAATTTAACACATGTAGGGACACAGTCCGTAACACAGCCGCATATGCCAGGCGCTTCGCAGGCGGTTGCAACAGGCAGCTATCGATACTACAATCAGTAGCCAATGAATTTGACCGGGATGTTTACAGCTGAACAACAACATGCAAGCCACAACAGGAATCACCCAATCAATCACACAATGACTTCCTGCCAAGGCATACTATTGAATGTGCCAAATGGCTCAAATACTCGAGCTTCTGTCTCTCTTTAATAACTTCAATCAGTTTTCTTGCGCCATATTTCTATTGATCCATCTGGAAACAAGTTCACAAGCAATCATGAGCTCTTGGCCATCTGCGGACTCATCACTCGGTCAGACACTTGACGACGTATCAAATCTTCAACCCTTTCAATATGCCCCGCTTCCAATATCTACAAGCATTCGACTCATTGAGATCCTGCCCTCGACTACAGGCACCATTCGGTGCAGAATGACAACCGTAGATCTCGGCGAGCAACCTTCGTACGTCTGTCTATCTTACACCTGGGGCAGCCCGACAACCATCATCGAGGAGCCAGCGCCCGAACCAGAGGGGTACAGAAATCCAGAAGACTTCATCAAGCTGCCGTTTGTATTCGAGTCCAAAGGACCGAGCGGTATCACGATACACAACACTGACTATGCCATGAAATATTACGTCGAGAGACACCCATGGATTCCCCGAATGAGACTCGACACAGCTCCAAAGGAACGGCAGCCGATAGAGCTCGACGGCAGGCTGATCTATGTGCAAGAGAACTTGCATTGCTTTCTCGAGGAGTATGTTTCTTGGAAGCATGGGTTGCAGAACAGGCCGAAACTTGAGAACGAAGAAGAGGCGAATTGGAATCAACACGAGCTTTTCATGAATCCCCTCTGGATCGATGCACTCTGTATCAATCAAGACGACCTAGACGAGAGAGCGTCTCAGGTGCAGTTAATGAGGTCCATCTTTCGAGGCGCAAAGAGGGTCCTGGCTTGGTTGGGGCCTCCAGACGGATTGACCGAAGACGTCATCGCAGGCCTTGGAATACTTTATATGTCCGACCTTGGTACTCGCGAAAGGGGGACGACACTTTCGGACATACCCGGGATGGATCTTGTTCACTGGTTCGCCATCTTTGCGTTCTTCCAACGCTCTTGGTTTCGGCGTGCGTGGGTTACGCAAGAGGCAGCTTCATGGCGCCAGAACGTCATTACCGTCATTCACGGTGGGCATTTGCTACCCTGGGAGTGGATCTGTGCGATCAGCGAAATGTTGAAGAAGTCCGGACTTCAACAGGAACTGCTCAAATTCGGATACAACTTCCTCGACGGCGAGCCTTTGTCTGACAACGTGCGTCAACTCCGAAAGCTATCTGCGTTTGGCGACGGAGTTAGCGAGGACGTCAACACTGACGACTTTGTAAACATTCACGGAAGGGCGAGTGAGGGCATGGACGGCCTGTCTTTCACAAACGCAATCTGGAGCCTTGTGTTTCGTCTTCGGAAGGATGGAGAGAGAATTTACATGGAGGTTCCTCCTCTTCTGCGCGTCCTGGACTTGTTTCGAGGCACAGATGCAACCGATCCGCGCGACAAAGTCTTCGCTTTTCTCAACATCGCGTCAGACGCAGATCAACTGTCATTGGTGCCGGACTATAAGGCCAGCGTACAGAGCGTCTTCAGGAAAACCGCCGAGGCGATCCTCAGAACGACAAAGTCGCTGTCTATTTTCTCGCAGGTGCAAGAGCCCTGCGACACACAGATTCCTCATTTGCCAGGGTGGGTGCCGGACTTCAGCGCCAGACTTTCCTGTGCGCCCCTCGACACAGGAGATGACGACGTGCCGTTCTGCGCTTCAGGGTCTGATAGCGAAGCATGGTATAATATTCATGATGACGATACGATTGAGGTCGAGACTATCGAAGTGGATTTCATCATGACGAGCGAGATGGCTGGCGATAATGCCGAAGACCTACTCCTGTGCGTGTTGAAATCAATGCTCAGAGTTCCGCACCAATACCCAATTGGGAAATTTGAGATACAGCAGGTTGATGTGCCTGCTGATGACGAAAGTTTGTCGGAACGAGCTGAAGCAATACCTCCTCGAAACACACAAGTGAGTCCGAATGATGTCTTGCCAAGCAGGAATACTCCTGAGGTCCAAAGCAATCAGCTCGACTCGAGTGCAGTCGAACATCTGCAAGAATCCACGCTACATCAGTCAATATTGCAGAACAAGCAGCCTTCTCATTTCGAATCTGTCGGTGAGTATTCCGCAACCCTTGGTGAGGGGGACAGAGTCGACACCGAGGCTGGACAGGGTCTCGATGATATCGCGGTACGAACTGCGGACGCTAGTTCGAGAGAGGTCGACGGGCTCGACAGCGTACATTACAGCGTGGGGCGAAGCGAAACATACGAAACACGACCCGTCACTCGGATTGAAGCTATGTGGCGAACGTTAGTCGGAGACATGCTTCCTAGCTCCAGGATAGGCTTCAACCCTGATCCCAAAAGGTTGATGACCCATCCAGCACCACCTTCCCTCGGACATGGATTCTCTAGTTGGATAGAGGCCGGCGTCCTTGAGATGTGGTATCTGTGCCAAAACTTCGGCGCAGACAGCCAAGTTACGGGTGCTGCTTGGCGGCGTGTACTGACGACCCTATCTGCCTATGCCGCAATCTATCGTGAGCGACACATTCCTTTAACAAGAGAAACAATTGAGTTCAGCCTTGAAGCGGACACAATCGAAGAATTGGCTGCGCAGGAGGAAGAAGAGGAGAACTGGATTGGCTTTGCTCTCAGCAACCACAAGTTCTTTCCTTCGGCGTCCAGGCTCAGAAGACTCTTGAACGGAACAAAACCGGCGGGCGACCTCCGGGGTTACGACGGTGACCCCCAAGCTGCCATCAATGGGCAGTGGAGGGAGCACGCGTTAAAAGCCTTCACCAAGGAGGAAAGAGAAGACATAGACTCATTTGAGAAAAGAATGAAAATCATGCTCAAGGGCAGAGGATTGTTCACGACAAGATCAGGCCTTCTAGGAATTGGACCTCGATCCTTGTTTCAGGAGACGAACTGCATTTACCAAGTGCATGTTATGAAGGGCGCCAAAGTTCCGTACGTTCTCGCAAGCTACGATGACGGAACGTACCGGTTGATTGGTGAAGCTTTTGTACATGGGATTATGAATGGAGAGTTGCTTAAACATATGAGCGATCTGCCATGGTGCAAGTACGAAAGAATTCGGCTTAGATAGCTAGAAATAGAAAATGCTCTGGCAGTGCGCACACCATGAACCATCTTCACCTGTAGGTGACAAGATTGCTGCCAACAGACGGATCCTCTGTGACGCCTATCCTTTCACCATGCCGCGTGGAGAATCGCAAATACGCATCACAAAGGCTTTACTGCGGCATGTCCTTCAAGACCTTCTGCCAGGACGGTCGGATCGACACCCTCTTCCACAAGCCTTCAAATTTAGGCCTAGCGGGAACTTCGTCATACAAACCGAGAAACTTGACGTAGGGAATCCAAGTGAAGACGTAGATGTCGGCAAGACTGAAGCTCTGTTGGAGGTTAGAAATGGTTCCGAACTCACGGTGTAAGGTATGGTATATTAATCTTACGTCGCCAACCAAGTACGAATTGGAGCCAAGCAAGTCCTCGTAATAGTCTAGTGCAGTCTTGAACATGGCTGTCGCTTTCTCCACCTCGAGAGGATTGGCAGCCTCAGCAGGACTACACGGCATGGTCAGTGTAGGTCCTTAAGTTGAAGTTGCGTGTTTTCCAATCTTACTTCTTCCACAATTTCTCATTGCACAAAGTTCGAACAGACGGGTCAAAATAGGAGTAGTCGATGCTGAGTGCTTTCTCAAACTTCCCAATCATGATAGGGTCGCCGCTAGTGATGACATCCAGCGAACTGGAGGCACCAAACTTGGCCACGATGTAGCGACAGATGGCCCGAGATTCGAACAACTGAAGGTCCCCATCTTGAATAACGGGGATGCGACCAAATGGGTGGTATTTCTTGATGTAATCGGGGTTCTGAGCCATGTTTTGAGAAATATTTCACAATATGAAGAATTCGTTAGTCGCATACCTTTTGCTCCCCCTTTTGAAGGGTGATCTGAGATAGATCGTAATCGATCCCTAGCTCATTTAGAGTAATCATCACTCGGTGAGTGCAGCCGGACGTCGGAGAACCCCAAAGTTTGAGCGCCATGATTGGATAATCTTAGTAGTATGAAGCTTGATTCTTTTTTCGAAGGCAGGGAGTTTTCTGAAAGGATTGGATGGCAGCGAGGTAATTCATCGACAATGAGGTTGAATCACCACATTTTGTACAAATTTCAGGGTGAATCTTTAACAGCACCTGGTCGTCCAGTGCGCCTATCAAAGTCTTCGGCACCGACTTGAGTTGTCGAGACGTCGAATGGCTTCCTAAGCAGCGACCTCATTCTACCGCAGTCTGCGTCGACCTAAGAGAGATTAATAATTCGGTCCCGGTCAGAACCTAGGTCCGCGGGATTCCAGAGATAAGACCGCTGTTCTTGGAAGCATGCTCCCCAGCCAAAATGATCGTGTACATTAGTCTCGGGAGGATATGTGTGATGATGTCCGCAACTGGCCGGCTAGGGGGTTGCAGCACGCCCCCACGATCTTTCACCCTGGTTCTTTGCAAGGACCGACTTCCTTATTTGTAAGCCGCGAGAATCTCCGGATAGCCATCAGATCCATTTGTTGTGCTCGTCCAACTCAATGTTCATGTTTAATTTTGATAAATATGATACGGAAATGTGACCGTGTGAACGACCGGTGAATTGCAATGGAAAACGCCAAGTGAGGCCGTCTAATTTCTATAATAGGTGGAGGCAGGTACAATACGGTTATTAGATCAAGTGAACGTTTCTTGTTCCCAGTGATAACATTATGTACCAGGGAATAGGAATAACTTGATTGAAAGAGATTAGGTATTAAGAAACTGGATAGTAGTCTCTTTTGGGCAAGATGAGTTCATAGGATCACACATGCCCTGGAATCTTGACATTCAGGATAGCTTGGTCGGCGGCTGTACTCTTTGCCGGCTGGGACGCTCAATTGGCACCAACACATCCTAAGCCCACACGCGGAGGGGGCCATTTAAGGTTTGTGCTCAATGTAGTTGACTCGCTAGGCTAAATTGACATTTGTAATCGGAACCAAAAACCATTTTCACTTTCTTCGATGGATTTCTTATGCCTTTCAGTGTACGCCGCGTTATTCTATATATTGAGAATGTGTAATGAGTATTGCTTTACGATGAGAGCTATCAATTCTTGGACGCACACCTCGCAATACTTACAGATTAATCAACCACTTTAGCCTTTACCTGACAATTTTCCCTTCGCAAGTTTCACAATGGGCGTCATTGCAGTTGCTGGAGGAACCGGTGCCATGGGACGCACGATCGTCGAGGGTCTTGTTCGTGATGGGACTCATCGCGTGGCCATCCTCGCGAGAAAGGTCAGAAACCGTTGATCACCTTTTCGAACGTGAATCTTCACCCGCAGGTATCCTGATTTTGACCATAGACCAATCCTGAGAAAGAAGCTAAAATCGGCGCTCGTATTGTTGCCGTCGACTACTCTGATTCTGATCAGATCAGCACTGTCCTAGAGGCGAATTCGATCGACACCGTCATCTCGACTCTTAACTCCTCCTTTGGCATCGAGTCCAAGCTTAACCTCATCAGGGCTGCGAACCAGTCAACCGCGACGAAGAGATACGTCGCAAACGTGTGGGGCATCACTTACACCCCAGAGTAAGCCTTCCCTAGCCAAGCTTGTTTAACCGCAGATTGACATAGCTGACCAGTGAATATCAGGGAGTCAAAGGTGTTCCCCGCTGCAGAGGGAAAGGTTCAAGCGATGCAAGCTCTCGGAGCTTCCTCGCTCGAGTGGACATGTTTCCTGACTGGCTTTCTCTCTGACTACTTTGTTATGCCTCGTGGCAAGTCGTACATGACACCCTTGGTCGTTCTGGTCGACATGGTTCACAACGTCGCTGCCATTCCAGGCTCTGGCTCAGTCCCTGTCGTATTGACGTACAGCTTCGATATTCCCAAGTTCGTGATCCGAGCTCTCGCTCTTGATCACTGGGAAAACGAGATGTACATCATCGGGGACAAAATGACTCTCAATGAAGTCGTGGCTCTGGCAGAGGAAGTCAAGGGAACCAAATTTAGTGTCACACACGACTCTATGGACAATCTTAAAGCTGGGAGGGTCACCGAGCTTCCGTCCCATGAGGCGTATTATCCGTATTTTCCTAAGGAACAAATGCAGGGCCTCTTGGCTTTCTTTGGCATCATGTGGGAATCGGGGAAATGCAATCTTGAACCTGCTTACACCCTCAATCAGAGATTTCCCGATATAGAGACGACCAGCGTTCGTACGTTGTTGGAATCTGCATGGAAGGGGATCTAAAGGTCTAGGATGAGATCGTGGTATTTCAGGTACCCTCAATTGCAAGGCCCTCCTTTCTTCCTCTCTGAAGTATGTAGTGATCTGATAATTGATCCACTGTGCTTACTCTCAAATCATCGGACCGTGCCCAAGCAAGTCTTGAGTGGCTAAAAATGACAAGGGCCTGTGCAGATCCGAGGCGTTGGTGATGGCGGCCCAGCTTCAATTGGATTTTCGACCAATCAACTTTTTATCGTTGCCCGGCTGTGCAGTGCAACAACCCGTTGGTTCTGCAATTCAAACACCATAACCCTGCTCCTAATTTTGAATCTCCATCAAAAATCCATCACCCCTGTCTTCTGCCGAGGGAGCTCAGCCTGATTGCTTTTGCCATATTTACAGCTGCAGCCCGCGATCGCGGCGATGGTCTTCCATCACCTCCCAAATGTAAAACTCTACTTCAACAGACCTTCGATCGTCTGTCTCTCATTTTGGCAACCAAATGCCTTCTATTACAAATCGGCCAAGACTTTCCAGGCTTAGTCGCATGAGGCTAGAGCTCCCGACTGGTTGGCGCCGTGCAGCGATTGTCAACATCTGCCTCATGTCAACCTGCTTCGTGGTACTTTTCAGCATATTGATCGCAGCAATATCAAAAACCAGAAATGTGGCACAAGTATGGAATTTCTACACAGCAGACTGCAGAAGTAGGAGTTCCAGCGTTACCAACACCATGCTACATCTTCTACTCAATATCCTCTCCACCATTATCCTTGCCTCGTCTAGCTTTTTTATGCAGGTCCTGAACTCTCCGTCTAGGAAGGAAGTGGACGAGACACACGCCACAGGTGATTGGCTCGACATTGGGATACCTTCGTGGCGGAATGCATTCCGACTTTCCCGCTTTAAGCTGTGGAGTTGGATTATTCTTTTTCTAAGCTCTGTTCCTGTACATGTCTTTTTCAACAGTTCAATCTTCCAGGTCGACAGCCGAATGGGCGACTTTCACCTGACGATTGCTACCGACTCTTTTGTGAAGGGGGAGCCCTTCTTTCTACCTGGAGCGAGCCTGTACACCGACGACCTATTTTCGAACTACACCCGTCACGAATGGTCGAGTGATTTGCCTCCCTTTGGGGATCGGCGATCTTTCAAATTCGAAGCATACTCGGCCGACCACAATTCAACAGACGTAGTGAACGTCACAAAAGCGGCAAAACAGGGGTCCCAATGGCATAGATTAAGCACAACCGAGTGTAGTGCCCTCTACGTAGGGTCCAGGTCGGATTGCAACGGGCTTCGGGAATACCGTAACGTTATTTTTATCTCTAAAGGCTCTGGGTGGCAAAGATCCGATCTTTGGAACCTTTCTGAATCGGCAAACGCCCTTTGGGAACCCGTGGTGCCAAGCAACGAAATCAACACTGTGTGGCTCTCGACACCTTGCAGCATGAAAGGTATCATCGTGGAGAGCAACCCACTGTGCCAAAATACTTGCGCCGACTTAGTGGACACACCGAGTTCTTCAGGACTCTGGCGAATTCCGACGTTTGACTGGTATGAGGCATCATCAACTCCGTACTTTCCGCCTATGGCGTGGAATATTACGGATCCCCTGAGCTTGCCCAGAATCCCTAGATGGAATTCGACATTGTACGCGGCGCCAGGCAATGAATCCGCACCAGTCTTTGGATATCGAGATTCCTCGTATAACCTAGATATCGAATACTGTCTTGCAGAACCTAGGGATTTGAGCGGTGCTTGCGGCGTAGCCCTCTCAAAACCTCTCCTTCTCGCTGTCGTTGTTTCAGTTTTGATCAAGCTCGTTGCCTGCATCATCACGATACAGTTCCTGGGTTCCGAAGAGCCCCTTGTAACCCCCGGTGATGCTGTTGCATCTTTCATTTCTAAGGCTGACGTCAACATTGAACAGCCTGGCTTCTCGAATTTGAGTATATTCACAGAAGCCAAAAAGAGAAAGAAAGACAATGTTGCGTATGAGCATGCGGGACCTACCCAATGGGTTAACGCCTCTAGGACAACAGGTGCTTGCATATCTTCTAAGGCTTGGATTAGTACTTACGTCATCTTGGTCTTCGGTGTTGTCGTAGCGATCGCCTGCTGCGCCAAGCAACTTTCTAGCAGTATCCCACTGTGAGTTAGCCCTTGAATGGCAAATAAATATCGGGCTATGATATGATCTGGTGTTCATGATGGCTGATATAGTTCTAGGAGATGGATAAAGACCAATCCTGCGGAATCGATAAGCGTCCTCTCTGCCATAGATGGTGGCGTGGCATTCATCTCATCGGTACTTGTCGCCAATATACCTCAATTGTACCTTTCATTTTGGTATCTCGCATATAATACACTGATCACACGGATGGAAATGGCCAGGGAATGGTCACGCTTCTCTACCGGTTATCGCCCGTTGCGTGTATCGTCTCCAAGGTAATCGAATAATCGTCCTTCTGTGAAGCGGTCCGAGAACAAAGACTTACGGTTTGAAGGGGCCAACAGATTGATACATACAGGCTCCAGCTACCTTACAGACAGAGCATCCCTCTCATCACAGCGAGTATAGTACTTCACTGGCTGCTTTCAAACTCCTTGTTCGTCATCGTGTCTCAAGGCAGTAAGTCATTTTTCTCTCGTTGTTAAGTTTAGTAGAGATACTAATGCACTGCAGACTACTTTGAGATGAGCCTGAATAGGTCAGATGGAGGATACAAAGGAGACCCCATCAGCCTTCCTCCGAACACAGTCGTCGGTCTTGGAACAGCATCTTTGCCAGTACTGCTTCTCGCAGTCATTGGAGGCATCATGATGATTATACCCATCATTCTTTCGAGAAAACAGCTTGCTGGATATATGCCTATTGTTGGGTCAAACTCTATGGCGATTGCCGCTGCATGTCGTGTCTCACCCATAGCCAAGATTCCCACTAGGATTGACCATGATGATGAAGGCCAAGCAACCGAGCTGGAAGAATTGAGACCAGCATCAAGCATTGCGGTTTCGGAGGAAGGACCGAGTGCTCCCAGCCAGTCCACCGACATGCCTCTCTTTCTCCTGAGATGGGGCGAGGTGGAGATGCCGAAGGGCTGGTACGAAAGGGTCGACTTGGATGGACAAGAGGTAGCAGAAATTGGGCATTTGAGTTTTGGTACAGTCCTAGACGAACCTAAGCCCCCAAAGGAAGGTCGGTTTTATGTCTAGTAGGAGGATTTTCAAACATGAAAATTTGTGAAACGAATCGCGGACCTAGTCCGGTAGATGTTCGACTAGAGATTCGATAGCGACAATGTGCTCAAATGTGATGCCCATTACGGCCGCGGAAAGTATTCACGCGGCCGAAGTCCGAACGTAGCTTGTGTTGTCGACCGTGCGACTTTCACCCCGCCGGAATGGGGAAGCGACACGATTGACCCAATGGCGCACGCTTTCGGGGATTGCTATGTGGTAAATTTTGTACATCTAGCATAAAATCGCCGGAGGAGCCCTTGCCGATGCGAATGCACGCGACGTAGCATTCTCCCGGCAATTCTTCAGCAAGTTGAGACGGGATTGACACGGCTTTTGAGCAACCTAACCCCTCACTTCGTGACATGAGCAAATACACCATAAATAGTCCTCGACATCAAAGATTTGGACAATTGTCTCCTAGTCAAACATATTTGACCTAGACTTTCCAATAATGGGTTCCAGAATCCAGTACTCTGTGCCTCAAGAGGCATCGAGAGTCTTTTGCCAAGGGATTCTCAACAACCCCTTGGTCGGACCCTTGTCACCGGAGCTTTTGGCCTTGAGCAAGCGCATTCGATTCGAGGGTTCTGACCTACCGAGCGTCCCTGTCAATTGGCGGTTTGCAGAAAGCATTTCGGCACTGAAGGCATACGAAGCTCTTCTACTGATGCAACTCCTGTCTAAGAAATATGGTTTGAGCAATACCGAAGTCACGATTAATACGTGAGTATCCCGATCGCTGATTGCTTGCCGATGGCCACGATCTCATGAGCGGTCTAGGGACCATGCCACGTTATTCTTCATGACGCCAATGATCGCTTCCGTGGTCCAAGACGGAAAGCGCATCCCATTCGGCCCAATGTCTCCTGAGACTCAAAAGCTTTTCCCGAATGAGGACAAGCATCGTGCCATCGACGGTTTGCATAGAACATTGGCGACCAACATCTACAAGGCACGTGATGGCCGCTATTATCACATCCACGGTTTACTTGCACCCTTCACATGCGTCGGAATCGAACCTTATCTGACTAGAATAGGTAGCATGAACCCGGAGCCGACGCTGACAGCGCTTGGCTTACCGTTAGAAGGCGAGCCCGACGATACGTATGAGTCCGTCGTCCGCAGGTTCCAGGATGTCATATCCGAACTTGACTCGTCTGATCTTGATCAGCTCATGAACGAGCAACATCGGCAAGCCGGCACTATTGCCTATACCGCAGATGAATACTCGGCGACTGAGCAGGGACAGCAATGCGCCAAAGTTGGACTTTACGAGCTTTCAAAGGATACAGAATCTGGTCAGCCGGCAAGTTGGTGGCCTGAAAAAATTCCTCTAAGTCCAGACTCGACCACGATCAGACCGCTCGCAGGCCTGAAAGTGGTCGACTTGACACGCGTCATTGCCGGCCCGGCTATTAGTCGCAGTCTTGCAGAGATGGGAGCTAGTGTGATGAGGGTGACTTCACCCGATATCACAGATCTCTCAGCTCTCCACCAGGATTTGAACTGGGGCAAATGGAACTGCCACCTAGACTTGAAGAAGCCTGGTGATAAGGACAAGTTACGAGAGCTGATACGCGACGCTGACGTTGTGGTGGATGGGTATAGGCCTGGTGTCATGGAGCGCCATAGTTTCGGTCGCCAAGCCATCTACGATCTTGTCAAGGACCGCCCCCGCGGCATCATTCATGTTCGAGAGAACTGCTACGGTTGGCACGGACCTTGGAGCCACCGAAGTGGTTGGCAACAAATTAGCGACGCAGTAAGTACGCGTTTCTCTTTGGCAATTATTGCTCCTCTAAACTGACGTAGTGTTGTGGTGTGTCTATGGGCTACGGTAGAGCCATGGGTCACAACGAAGCGGTGACTCCTGTGTTTCCAAACTCAGACTATTGGTAAGTTTCCTCCGCATGCGAATTGCATATTTCACTAAACAGTAAAATAGTACCGGCGTATGTGGTAGCGCGGCTGTTCTTGATGCACTGGTCAGGCGGTCGGAACAAGGTGGCAGCTACGGCATTGACGTAAGCAATCCAGGCTGGAGGTCACTTGGCACATGCTGACCATATTTCGAACAGGTCGCACTCAACTACTATTCGCAGTGGCTTGTTCGCTCATGCGGCACGTATCCAGAGGATGTTTGGGCGGAGCTGTGGCAAAGACACGGCTCACCTGTGTTCCGTCACTATCATGCGATGAGCTACTTGCTCCCATCGGTGATGAAGCTTCTTCGAGAGCACGATGCCGCGACCCTATTCAACCCTGCGTTCTTCGAAGAACGCCATGCCAAGTTCGTAAACACCAACTTTTCTCAACTGAAGCCAATCGCTCAGTTTGCGACGGGTGGTGTCCATTTGGGGTATCAGGTTGGGACACGTGGTAATGGAGTTGATTGTCCGAGATGGCCGACAAGTCTTTCCGTGGAAGTGGTGACGGATAGCAACTAGGAACTGGTACCGCGGATATGAAGGTCCATTTACTTTGACTAGGGTACAAAGTATATTTGAATGTTATCTGAATTACCGAGCAAGAGTAAGTCGCGAAGAATGCTCGCGTCCAACGTAGAAGAGAATCAAAGCAGGTCGAGACCACCGCATCCAGCACCGTCGTAAAGGTCTCCAAGCCTAGCACCCGAGAATAGAAATTGGGGTTTGTCAAATGAGAAGATAGACAGACATCGCGGCCCATCTAGAGGTGTCCGTTGACACACAACTTGCAGTTGTTGGACTGTGGGGAAAGTCAGCAATTTGAGTAACGGTTAGACAACTAACTAACTCACAGCAGACAAGATGCTAGCAACGACGGCGGCCGTGCACTTTGAGTCTTCCTTGACATCTACTCCAGAGTCAGTGTTTGGTGGCCCCTGAAGACAGGAGCCATTGCTTACCAAGGCCACGAGCAGCAATTGCCCACATGCAGGTAACACCACCTGGAGTAAGGGATCCAAGGCAGCCTAGAACTCAAGTTAGATAGGGCACTTGAGCTGATATTTTGGGTCCTTACTGAAGAAACGGCGCCAGCCGCAGTGCATGAAAGGCACATCGCTGCGCTTGTCGAGGTCTCTGGTCTCGACATCCAGCTCGGTGTCTAGAACGGTGAATCATGTCAGTTGCGTCTCTAGTGAGATATTTGTGCAGAAGTATGCATACCCTTGAAATAGGCTTCGAGAGCAGTCTTCCAATCCTCGGGAAGATTATCCGGGATCTCAATGTTATCGGCAGCCCTAAGAGCAAGGGAGCTTTCCTGGGAAGGCATGTCGGCTGGCACAGCCAGGGCCAAGGGGGCCATGATCAGGCAGGCAAGAACAGAGCTGAACTGCATCTTGGGTTATTATAAGAAGAAGTATGATTAGATGGATGCTGAAAAAGACTTGAATTGTTGGAGTGTGATTGCTTCTGATGACCAAAGCCCGAAATCTGGGAATAAGACTTCTACTACTTATACAAATCAATTGATGCTCGGGAGTACGTAACAGGACTAGCTGTGTAGACGTCATGTTGCCTGTAGTTGACGACTTCTTCCAGTTGAAGCCTTCACATTCAACTAACCTAGATGCATCTCGACTTTGATTGTATACCACGCGGTCTGTAACCACATCGTCATTGGTCAAAATCATCAGTCGAGTCCTGGGATATCTCGCCATACCAGAGACAAGCACCGTTCTTTCGGAAAAATAAAGGCTTGAGTTCGATTAATTTACTTTGACATTTCGAAGCCCCAGTTAGTTCGTGGCTAAAACGTGTCATTGAGTCACGTCGTAGCCGTGCTGCCGAGCATCCGAGCTGGAATTGATTACTTGGGGTCCACGCACGAACTCAAATTCCGGTGAGGCTAGCAAAGATCCCATTCTTGTTGGATGATTGTCCACTCACACGCGGTGTGAAATCCACGAGGAGTTCGTTTCATTAAACCTTGTCAGAGTTGTCGGCTCGTCGGAGGCTGGCAATAGCATTTCCGCAACACCATCGCGAACTTTTGTCACTAGTGAGATATGAGAAATCGTGGACCACGAAAAGAACGTGAAAGATCCTAGGGCTCTCATAGGGTAGTTTCAGACATACAGGAAACACGAGGTCTCGATCAGCGGCAACATCTAGCGTAATCCATCTTGCGGCAATGAGGCCATCATCGACTGCAAAAGCACGTCAGTCGAAATGTATATAATCGCAACCCAAGAACGACTGTCTTAGCTATCCCATCTCATCACGCAAACACTTTCGCTCCTTCAATCACAATCTTCAACTCCTCTCACTCGCTCGGAGCTTACTACAATCACAATGGCAACCCTCAGCCGACCCGTTCTCTTCCTCCTCACCACGCTCTTCCTTTTCTACGGATTCAGCGCCGCCTTCCCCTCCTTCCCCGGCGCCCTCGAGCCGCGCTGCTGGAAAAAGGGCTGCGACCACTGCGAGCGCTGGACCGTCACCATCGACCACCCCGGCTCCTGCAACAGCGTCAACCGCGACAACCTCAAGGCCGCCATCGACAGCACCTTCGTCAACTACGCTGGCAACTGCAGAGGCGAAGAGGCCGCCTTTAACAACCAGGCTATCCCTGGCATTCAGGGCATTGGCTGCAGAGTCACTGTCCACTTCCCTCGTGGCAACAAGGGCGTTGACTGGGGTGGCTTGATCGGTTCCAACCTGGTTGGCACCGCCAGCTGGGCCATCTCTGGCACTTCGAATGATGGCAGTGTTCACTGTGGTGGCGCTTGCCAGTGGTGATTACTTAGTCAATGCCTTTGCTTTGGCGACCGACCGCAACAATAACGACATGCGGATATGGAATGAACGGGGATGAGGGCGGGTGGTGTTTCTTGTCTGGTCTAGCTTCTCGGCTGCTTCAATTCTGTAGCGATGCTCTCAATGGTCGTCGTTCTCTTAGTTCTATTTTTATTGGTTCCAACCTGATGTTTAATTCTAAGGTACGACCAATTCTCTTCGAAAATCTAGAAATTCCAATCATATTGAATCGTCGAATCGTTTGGCAATTGTAAAAGTAAGTGAGTGATCAGTTTCCGACTGGTATGATAATCCATGACATGGGTGACAGACATTGCGATTGACTTGGAAAGAGCACTGCGAATGTGTTTCTGCAACGATATTCTGCGAGCCTACATGTAATTAGAAGTAACCCAATGATAAAACAACCCATATCTACTCGTTTGCAAGGTTGCAGGCAACCTATTCGCCACCATCAGCTGATTGGATAAGGAACCATATGCCACTCCTAAAATGGTAGCATGCAGCTCCACTGGCAACCTGGGCTGTTTTGCAATTCACCACCTCGTCTCAGTATGCAGCACACGAAAACGCTTGCTCTTTATCATGATTTTAATTTACTTCGCCCTATGGGCTAGCCTCAGAAACGAAGGCCATAGTCGTTACGCATTTTTATACAATGTCATCAAGTCATTCATCAGAGAGCCTCCCATCGCCATTCTTCCCTTACAACTTAGCCGCATCCTTGGGGTTCTTGATCTCAACAATCAGCTTGCCCGTGTTGATACCCTTGTACAGGTCAACCAGGGCCTGCTCGGCCGCCTTGAGACCGCCCTTGATGATGGTCTCCTTGCGCTTGAGCTTACCCTCCTCGAGCCATTGGGCGAGCTCCTTGCGGGCCTGGGGGTACTCCTTAATGAAGTCGAAGACGATGAAGCCCTGCATCTTGATGCGCATGGTGATGATGTTGGCGTAGTTCTGTCACGTGTCAGTTAAAACGTCCTATTCAGCGATGGGAGATAAAGCGACTTACCCTGGGGCCTTGAGGGGTGGCAGAGTTGTACTGGCTAATACCACCGCACATCACAAAGCGGGAGTGCTCCTTGGCGCGCGCAAGCGCCATGTCGAGGATCTCTCCGCCAACGTTGTCAAAGTAGACATTAATAAAGTCGGGCGTCGCCTCCTTGAACTTCTGCTTGAACTCGGGGTCCTTGTAGTTCAGCGCGGCGTCGAAGCCGAGCTCCTCGGTCAGCCAGCGGCACTTGTCGTCGGATCCGGCGATGCCCACGACGCGCGCGCCCTTGAGCTTGGCAATCTGGCCGGCGACGCTGCCGGTGGCGCCCGCGGCGCCAGAGACGACGACGGTCTCGCCGGGCTGCGGGTCGCCGACGCGCAGCATGCCGAAGTAGGCCGTCAGGCCGGTCATGCCGATGGCGGAGAGGTAGTCGACGGGCTGGGAGACGGCGGGGAAGGCGGAGACGGGCTCGATGCGGCTGTCGTGCAGGACGGCGTACTCGGACCAGCCGCCGAAGACGGGCAGGACGTCGCCCTCCTTGGCCTTGGAGGACTTGGAGGCGACGACGCGGCCGACGGTGGCGCCGCGCATGGTCTCGCCGATCTGGACGGGGGGAAGGTAGGATCGCTTGTCTGCATGGCGGAGGTTAGCTTTCGCAACGCTGATGGGAGCGCTTTGGGGGTATGCATACCATTGAGCCAGCCGCGCATGGCGGGGTCGAGGCTGAGGTACCAGTTCTCGATCAGGATCTCGCCATCCTTGAGGTCTTCGGCCTTGGGGACGGGCTTCTGCTCAGACTTGAAGGTCTGTCCGGGGACGATCTCGGCCTTGGGGCGCTCGGCCAGGACGATGGAGAGGTTTTGTTGAGACATGTTGGGAGGTTGTATGGGCTGTACTACAAGAGAGAAAGATTCAAAGGAACTTGACCAGAATTTTGGGGGGGTATCAAACAAATAGTAAAATTTAATCAACACAGAAGACTTTGAGTTTCATAGAATTAAATTGCTCGTGCTAGAAACGGGTGGCCGATGGGGGTTAAAGTAGTTTCTTGAGTCGTTCGGTTTCCCACGTTCCTCGGGCGGTGTTACTTACCCCTCCAAGACCATCTCACCGTGAATCGCCGCCCTTTTTTGCGCACCACATATTTTTTTTTTTTTTACCTTTGGCGCTCATGCTCATGACTTCATGCCCCGCGCCGGAGCAGTATGACGAAGAGGGACATTGGGCCGCACGAGCTCCGAGCCTCGACGAACGATCGAGGAATGTTCTCCGGCGCACGGAGCACGGACTAGTAAGGATGGGGCCTGGACGCGTCTTCAATGTCTCTGAGCTTCTGGCGGGCGAACTGCTGGCCGGTTCCCCCGGAGTCGCCGCGCAACCGCGGGGCCGCACCCTTGGCGGCGAATCGTGTGTATGGGGACGGAGATTTTCCCCGTCGGGATGTGCACCTCAGGAGGGGTCTTCTTCGGAGGGCCCATACAACTGTCAATCTGTGGATGAAGAAGAGGGCTGGGTATCCAGTCCGTACGGATGAATAACCTTGAGGGATTGCTATACCACCACAACAAAGAGGGGGGGCTGGAAGGCACAGCCGGAGCCTGGATTGCTCCGTGTCGATGTTTGACATGGTGGTTGCACACTTGATTGAGTCTCTGGCAATCGTTAGGCACCGGCTTGCTTTGTCTTGGACTCCGTATCCGTTGGTGGGGCTGAATAATCGGACATGACGCCATGCCGAGGCATGAGGGGCGGGCGTCGCGCGACAGTGACACCTCAGCGAGCTGCGAGTAATCAGTCCTGTCAGACATGGCTGCCGACGTCCTTCGGGCCTGTCGCTGCTTCAGCTTCAACGTTCAAGGGACCCTCATGCGGGAACGGGGACGTCGGGACGGAGCAGCTGGGATGTCAGGTGGGGTGATGGTGGATGAGGCGGCGGGCCTTGCATGCCCGTTCTCGGGATTAGCAATGCGTTGTGTTGCTGTTTCACCAAGGGTAGAGAACCACAGAGACTATCTGTAACCTAACAAGGAAGCCTCCCGATGTTGTCGGTGTATATAGGTACTATACTCTATTCACATAAACTGGGGAGCAGAAGGCACTAGAGATGCCCGTAGAGCAGCCAATTGAGTGATTTGCAATAACGAATGCGAGTGCTGTTTGAGAGAAAGAGACGGAGCTGTTGACGTGTCCGATTGGACGCCCCCATTCCTTTGGGGCTCCGTGTCTCGAAGCCGAGGTACGTTGCTAGAATTTTTCCTTTTCTTGGTTCACCGACGGTCGACGCTCCCAATGCGGTCCGGTCGACGATGCAGTTCGGCCGATCGGCCGGCTCATGGGCTGTATCAGATTCAATCCCGGTCCCGCCAATCGTGCCTCGGTATGGGGGGATCTGTCAGCACTTTGTTAGCGTCGGTCATCCTGAGCATGGGTCGATCAACGGGCGCCCACTTTGCCTCACCGAACATACCGAGGGTATTTCGGTCACTCCCGGTCAACTCGGTGTACCACAATGTCTTTCTTTCATGACCCGTCCACATTTCCCATGGCTTCGAACTCAAACTCAACACCCCATTGTTTAAACATACGGCCAAGTGACACCAGAACATCTCGTTCCACGTCTTGCCAAGCTGGAGACAGGTACCTTTCGTTCGCTAGATATGTCGTTCCTGTCATGTGCCTAAGCAGCTCGGCGTGGGGATTCTCTCCATGCAGATAGACCTTGCGCAGGCGAGGATAGCATTCTGCATCTCTCGCAAAGCGAAGCAACCTCGGTGCCAGATCTTGGCTTACCCCAGTGATACGGAGATCTTCGAGACAAGATGGCAGTACCTCGACCAGCCTTTCGCCTTCTGGGTCATCATTCAGGATGTTGACGACCGTGCCGGTATTCCTGCCGCGATTGATGCTCCAGGGGCATGGACCAAGAATGGCGTCTTGGCACAAGTGAAGAGTCTTGAGGTTGGTAAAGTGGCGAAGCGTTTTGATGACTGGGCTTTGGACCAGCAAGTCCGCCTTTTCTTCACGCATGAGTGGCCAATCGTTTCTTGCTTGGCTGTGTCTCTCCCAATTAGAAAACGGTTTCAGCTCGAGATGCTTCAGGGTGTTTCTGTGTGGCCACAAGAGTAACACAGCTTGCCACGGTGTGAACTGCTCGGTGGATGAATAATGAGTATTCTGTTGCTCGCTCATGATGCGGTCCTCGCGAATGTTTCCTCTTGCAAAGATGAAGGTCTCAAGAGTCTCTCCCTGAGTCAAAAGATATCTTAAGTCCGCAAAACTGAGCCGGCAATTGACGAGTCGCATGGTTCTGATTCTTCCGAGGTGCCGAGACTTGATCTCGACCCCGCCTGCACCATGTACGCAAAGCTCTTGCAGCCGTGGGCAGTGATCCATCAGAGCCGCCTGGATATGCATGTCCCCCAGGACGTAGCTGCCAATATGATGGCCGGCTTTGAGCTTTGGGCGAAAACCAAAACTCAGCTTTTTGATGCCTGGTACCGGAAATTCCAAGCCATGTTGATACAAGACCTCCTTCTCCCTGCCATAGGCTTGATCCTGCGTCTGCCGATGGGAGCAGTCCACAGTGACTTCGAGGTGCTCGAGGGCAGGGTATCGAAGCATCCGAAGAAACCACTTGGGGTTTTGGGGGGCAGGAACTCCTGAGAGATCAAGCTCAATATGTCTAACAAAACCGAGAGCGCCAAAAGAGTAGAATGGTGTGCTCCTTGAAAGGATGCTATCCGTATTTCTGGTGTGTCCCTTGACTCCCTTCTTCGTTCCTGAGGATCTGTATGTTAGTAAAGTTTTATCAACACACATTTAGATGCGACTGACCTTTTTTCCCGTCAACCATTGTCCAATCGGAAGCAAAGACATACTCGAACATATCCGTCAACTTCCCGCGCCATACTCTAGCACCGAGAATCTTTTCACAGCCATAACGGTCATGACTCAGATGAAGGGTATGCCATGCGTATGGGCCGACCAGGGAGCGAAGCCGGGAGCAGGTCTGAGACAGGTTGACGAGGGTCCTATGATATGTCCAGGCATCATCATCGTAGGCGGCCATGTTACTGTGCCTCCGACGGATGCGGTCAGCACCAAGATGGCCGATAATTTCGATTATGAGATCGTCGCCAAGATGGGTAAACCGCAACCCCCATATGCTGGGACGGTTAGGTTCTTTCAAAATTATCCGGAACTCAGATCCCCAAACTCCTCCATAACGTTTCCCGGCCGCAGGGTGTGCCAATCCCCAACGGCAGACCTCAGGCTTTGGATTGGGCATCTTGAGTAAGCTACTAGGTGCCTGGCCAGGACGACGGGCGATATTCCAAGTCGACGTTGGGCGGCCGGATTGAGAAATTGTTGCTTTTTCCCTACTGAAATTGTAAAGTGCTTCATATTATGACTTCATATCATATTTACAGTTTTTCTTTTGAGTCACCATGGTACCTAGATAGCCATGCACCTTGGTGATTTTTGGAATCTTTCTAGGCTTTCACGAAGACTTGATAGACCACAGACGTCCACAACGGTTCTGGTCGACGATTCAGTGGGATTAATTCCATTACTTGATTCTTTCAATGTACTAATCAATTCCCAGCTATTAAATATCAGTATCTTCAAATGACTATATTGTTGGAGAGGGGAGTATGCAGATATGCAATATCGAGTGTATCAGATTCGATATATATACGTATAAGATGGTATGCTAATAAGCAGCAAGACCCACTTCATCCGAACGCACCTGCCTCCCGTCGCATTGACAACCTGGTAACCATCGTCAACAAGCTTAGAGCTTCATTTTTTCGCGCCCGCCCATCGTCCTCCAAAAACGCCCGGGTCGAACGTGCTGAGACTCCGCGATTCGAATAGCCAGCAGGCGTCTCTTCCGATCAGGCGGCATATCAACATGGCAAACGAGTGTGGCTGTGCCCTGGATTGAGCCGCCGGCTGATTTTCTGAGGGATCATCCCCGCGACCGAGATTACCGTCGACTGTTCCTACGGTCCGAAGAATCTCGCCGACCGCAATCTCGATAGAAAAGCTTGCTCGAACTCTACGATAAAATACGGATCAGCTGTTTTGACGACGGCTGCATTCCTCTCCAGGTCCATCGTGCATTCCTGCGACCACCCAGCTCGAAGTGAGACATTGCGCCACGCCCAGCAACGACAACAAATTCGACGACCACCCTCGGCTCGATACGATGAGATGACCGAGAGACCAGCATCTATATAGAGCCACCCAACAGTTGGTCATCGCGCGAAAGCAACCCACGAGCGAGCCCTTCTACCGAACCGCAATCCCACTACATTCGCCGAGACATCCGGTCTCTCCGTCCAGATACCAATCGTAGTACTTCGACATCAACCACCACCACCGAGCGAGACCCGAGACCCGTTTGCCAAGATGCCAATGACACCACAGCAGACCGCGCACCTTAACCGGCAGGCACGACGCCGGGCTGAACGAGCAGCAGAGGAGATGTCCTTTGGCAAAGTCAGCTCAGAAGATTATCTCATGCGACTGCGATCGAGACGACGACCAGGGAGGCCATATGAAGTGGAAGATATACCTGCTGCAGTGGAGATCGAGGACGATGACGACGCGCCCGCTGTCCCGTCTTGCGACTCCAAATACTCGTCGAATGCCAGATGGAGTTTTCCCCAGCATCGCGAAGCGCCTCCGAGGATGGGCGCCACAGCCCATGTTCCACGAACGCTGGCGGCAGTCAGGGCAAGAGATGTCTCTAGCCCCAGCCCCATAGCCAGATCCTCGACAAGATTTAGTGCCCCCTCGCGGGGATTATATAGCGAGCGCCCGAAGAGCCAACACGACTTGCTTTCCATATCCCAACATACCTCAGTCACCACATTGGGCTCTGGGACGCCCTCCAGTGCGTCACAATCTAGGTCAACGTTGAGTCTGATAAGTCCAAACAAATCAGTCCGTAGGGCAGCAGCGGATGCTGCCCTATCTACGAAGCCAGACGCCTTCGAAAACGATAGTTCGCAGCGTCGAGGTCATAGTCGCAGCCAATCAACCCAGACTGTCAACTTTTCCGACGGTCCTTTGCCACGGGGCACTTTGCAGAAGAGGAGCTCCCTACGTGTGCTCAAAGACAAAATTCGGCGGGTGGCGAGCGCCTTCGAACTACGTTCCGCACGAGATGATGAAGAGACGTCTGAGAAGCTGGACCTGAAGCACAACAAGTCCACCAGAAGCCTCTTGCGATATTCAGGCACGCGAATCCGTCGTCGTCGCCTAGACACAGTGAACGAGGAAACCTGACCTCTTGACGGAGCACATGCCGATGCGCCTGATTTAGTTTGCATGAGCAAGGAGTTTTTGAACATTCATGTCTGTGCGGTTCTACTTGGCATCGAAAATGCGCATTTGGGAGCTCGATGTTTACGCTGGAAACGTGAGACGATGCTTATTCCGGTTGATGAAGACGCGCGCTGAGGGACGCGGTGCAAGATACCCTTTTGGTGCTCTACTGCATAGCTAATGACACTGCGTTTCAATGCTTCCTTCGTCAACTTTATCAAGCCTTCAAAGTAGCCTGGAATTGAGGGGAGAAGGGGTAGTCAATGTACCCTTTCGGCAGCTTCGGGGTGTAGAAATACGTCCGCTCATATTTCTCCAGGTTGATACCCTCCTTGATCCGGAAGACGAGGTCAGGATTCGAGATGAAGAATCGACCAAAGACGATGGCGACGTCGTAGTCCTTGTAGGTTTCCTCGACAGCCTTCTTCGCCGTCTCCGCGTTCAATCCCCCGGCGAGCAATACGGGACTCGTGTTATCCCACAACTCTACGAGCCACTTGACAGTCCGCTGTCCACCAGTGTCCGTGTCATCGTTGCCGCTGATTCTCGCCTCAATCAGATGCAGGTATGCCAGGCCCAGCGGCTTCAGCTGCTCCGTCACGTACTTGAACGTCGGATCCGGGTCGCCCATGAGCATCCCCTGAAAGTCGCTGTACGGACTCAGCCTGACGGCGGTCCTATCCGCTCCGACAGCTTCGATCACGGCCTTGGTCACCTCCAAGTGAAAGCGCGCTCGCTTCTCGATACTCCCGCCCCAGGCGTCGTTGCGCTTGTTGCATGTATCCTGGAGGAACTGGTCTGGAAGGTAACCATTCGCACCATGGATCTCCACGCCATCGAACCCAGCCTGGATAGCGTTTCGCGCAGCCTGCGCACAGTCTTGGATGATTTGTGTTATGTCATCCTCCGTCAACTCCACCGGTGTCGGACTGTCTTCATTGATGGGGACGGCACTCGATGACTCCAGGTTAAAGCCGAGCTGCTGGAGAACATCGACCCTACCGCCGCGACCGAGATGCCATAGCTGGCAGTAGATGAACGAGCCCTTCGCGTGAACGGCATCCGTGACCTCTTTCCAGCCGGCGATGTGGGCTTCGTTCCAGATGCCGGGTACGTTCCAGCGGCCGGCGGTGCGGTGGGATATCAGGGTTCCCTCTGAGATGAGCAGTGTGCCGGGCACGCAGGCCCTCTGTTCGTAGTATTCTGAAGGTATGTCAGTTGTGTGCTTGTGAATGAGGGCATTCACGCTCACCCTTCATCATCGGTGTTGGAGTCCATTCATCGTCCGCTCGGTACCGAGTTAACGGCGCCAACGCTAGCCGGTTCCCCAGCTCAATACCCCCGACTTTCAACGGCTTGAACAGTTTCGACATGATTGTAACTGTCGTCGGCCGGACTTGGATGAACTGACAACCTGACAAGTAGTTGAGATTGAATAGCTGCCAGTGAGTGCGTTACAAAGCGATAATTCCATGTCGCCATCGAGGCACTCATCGGCCAGCGCTACGCCGTAGGGCGCAGGATTCCGGTCCCCGCCACACCACTCGTGCCGATGGATGCCGCCGTCATTCATTCCCCCGCCTCCATTCCATCACCACCCGTGTCTGCTTCTAAAGAGTTTATCTTAGCACTTACCAGCTTTTCATCATGAAGACCAATTTTCGGGCTCCAGCAAGCCAACCTTACATATTCCTACACCCTTAAACCCGTGCAATACCCGGAACAGCCCCCAACGCCCATCGTCCAACGCCGCTGAAACTTCACGTCCACTCACTCACTCCACGGACGCGTATCGGCTCAAAAGATGCCGACAAAGAAACCCGGCCAGGCGATCGGCGAAGGGGGCTGGCGAATCCGCATCGGGCTTCATGCCGACATATCCTTTTAGTGGACCTCCTCGCTTCGGGCAAAGCTCTCTCACTGCCATTTTCCCACCCTGCTGCAACGGGTTCTCCCCCATTGGCAGGTTTGACGCAATGGACTTTGTGTAAGCAATTGGGCGGCGGCGGTTTGCGGGAGTCGAGACCCGGCGATTCGGCACCGAAAATCTGGAGCACCGTGTTTGGGGACTCTTTTTCGTCGGTTCTTGATGCTTGGCACTCTTACGTTTCTCTATTCACGGAATTTTGGGAGGTTCACGGCATGTCAAGATGAAGGACGACGCGCCCACGACGGGCGTCAAAAGCGCCTTGCCTGAGGGCAGGGAAGCCGGTTCGAGCAGCGACGAGGCTACTGCGCCGTCGCGGACGCCGCCGCCGGCCAAGGACGACAGCGACGTCGAGAGCGTCGGCGGGCAGAGGAACACGATGTCGCGAAAGCGCATGCTGCTGGCGTTCTCCGCTCTGTCGGTCTGCTTGTTCGTCTCGTTCATCGACCAGACCAGCGTGTCGACGGCGGTGCCGGCGATAGCGGGCGACCTCGACACCGGGACGGCGACGTCGTGGATCGGGACGTCGTTTCTCATCGCGTCTACTGCGTTTCAGCTCATCAACGGACGGCTGTCGGACATCTTTGGGAGAAAGAATTTGCTCATGATTTGTTTGGTCTTCATGGCGGTGGGCGACATTCTTTGCGGGTTCTCGAAGACGAAGGAGCAGCTGTTTGCGTTCAGGGCGATTGCGGGTATTGGTGGAGGTGGCATTAACAGTATTGTCATGATTATCGTGAGCGATATTACGACGCTGGAGAATCGGGGAAAGTACCAAGGTTAGTCGGGATATTTCGTGATAAGTGAGATAGGATTCTGATGATTGGCAGGTGTTCTCGGAGCAGTCTTGGCCCTCGCCAATGGCGTTGGCCCTTTTGTTGGCGGTGCCGTCGTTCAGGAGTCGACATGGCGGTGGGTGTTTTGGATGGTCCCAATCATCAGTGCTCCAGCAGCTCTGACGATACTCTTCTGCTTACCTCTGAAGCATCAATCCGGCAACTACGGCGAAAAAGTGAAGAAGATCGACTACGGCGGCATCGCGCTCAACATGGCTTCGGTCTTGCTGCTGCTGATTCCGCTGTCCGGTGGAGGTGTGACTTACCCATGGTCGTCGCCCTTCGTCATCGCTTCTGTCACCATCGGTGCTGTTCTGGGAGTCCTCTTCGTCCTGTTTGAATGGAAACTCGCAAAGCTACCGATCATGCCTCTCCGGCTATTCAAGGACTCGAAATGTAGTTTCCTGTACGGCCAAACATTCCTCATGGGCCAGGCGTACTTTGGCAACCTGTTCTACTTCCCGATCTACTTCCAGTCGATACTGAAGTACACCCCGCTCGTGGCCGGCGCCCTGATCCTACCGGTCATCATCTCGACCTCGATTCTTTCGATCCTCTCGGGCCAGTACATGCTCCGCATCGGCCGGTACATGCCCTGCATCCTCGTCGGCTTCTTCCTCTGGACAGTCGGCAACGGCTTGACAATCATGTTCGACCGCGACACGGGGCTGGGAGAACTCATCGGCATCCTCATCATCGTAGGCTCGGGCATCGGCTTGACCCTGCAACCGACACTGGTAGGAATGTACGCCAACTCACGAAGCGAGGACCGAGCCGTGACCACCGGTTTGCGGAACTTCATCCGCACCATAGGCGGCGCTTTCGGCCTCGTCATCTCGGGCGTCATCTTGTCGAATACACTGAGGCGGGACCTGCGCGGTCGCGACTTTGTTTCGGATGCGATTATCGCGGAACTCACATCGTCGACGTACACGCTCGATCAGAAGGGGTTCTCGGAGGACGAGAAGACGGTGATATTGAAGGCGTACATGAAAGGGTTGCATTACATCTTCATCTACTACGTGGTTTGCTCGGGCCTCAGCTTGGTGCTGACGCTGGGCGTTGGGAATACGGGCTTAAAGGCGAAGAAGCCTGCGCCAGCGGCGGAGGCTTTGGAAGATCAAAACGAGCCGGCGATCGCTCAGGTGAACGAAAAGGCGGATGAAAAGAGAACCGGTGCATGACAGAAGTCTCCTTTCAGTTGCACAGAGATGTGCGGGCTGCATACAGCATTGGGTATTGCATCAACATCGTTCGAAGCATACAGCATTCAACTACAGGAGAAACTACACATGATCATAAAGCAGAGTTCTAATAAATACCACGCCACGCGCGCCAACGTAAAATCTTTAAAGGTTGTTTGACAGTTAACTTTCTCGACGGAGCGGGCCGATGATCAATCACTTCCGCCTCGGAAGTCAACTAAGCTGCTCCCATCTCCCGCAACCCACATCCCCGCCACCAAATCCGTCCATCGACATACGCCCATGTCCAATACTCCTGGGCATTACATCAAGCTGCATCTCCAGGGCTCGCAGCTCGTTATCTTTTACATAAGCTAAAACAGAACATCCATCGGCGCCCACGCCGAACCCCACCATCGGCCCTCCGCCTTATCAGCACTCCCTCCATGGGGCATAATCCCCCGAGCTCCAACGGTTCGTTTGAGCCGATGCACCTCCAACAGCTGCCCGACCCCTGCAATGATGCAACCCCCAAGACCCTCGACCGCGACGCGCATCGCGATAACGAGCTGCACGCTCAGTCACACCGATAACGAGAGCTGTGGCGGGGTACGATGTGGAGGGGCACTCGTGCCGGACGCGCATCACGGCTGATAGTGCGCGATGCGACGGCGATAGGCACAGATGAGCACGCGGGTGAGACATGCCGATGGAAGTGGCGTTGCCAGGTATTTGTACGCTGCAGAACGGATGCACACAGACGCTGCGGAGTGAGGTGAATGATTGTTTACTCTTTTTCCATTGACATCACCACTTGGACCCTGTTTCAGGACATCTTCATTCATCTTACAACAAATCAGACAACCTTAAGCTGAGAACCAACATGCCTGAAGCCTACCACGCGCATCCCGACTACGGGTTCGACCGCGACTTCAAGGGGTACGGCGAGAAGGGCCTGGCCTGTCCCTGGCCCAACGACGCCAAAATCGCCGTCTCGTTCGTGATCAACTATGAAGAGGTCCGTCCGCCCTCAACTCCCCTGCTCTGACACATGCTGACAACCTCTCAGGGCGGCGAGAGATCCGTCCTCCTGGGCGACGGCGTCTCCGAGACCAACCTGCGCGAGAACCCCATGGGCGGGCCCCGCGTCAACGAGCGCAACTACAACGTCGAGTCCGAGTACGAGTACGGCTCGCGCGCGGGCTTCTGGCGCCTCTTCCGGCTCTTCAACTCGCGCAAGATGAAGTTCACGCTCTACGCCGTCGCGCAGGCCGTCGAGGAGCAGCCCGAGGTCGCGAAGCGCTGCGTCGAGGAGGGCCACGACGTCGCCTCGCACGCGTACCGCTGGGTCGACTACCACGACTTCCCGATCGAGAAGGAGAAGGAGTACATCCGCAAGGGCATCACTTCGCTGAAGAGCCTGACCGGGTACGCGCCGAAGGGGTGGTACTACGGGCGGCCGTCGCCGCACTCGCGGACGTTGATTGCGCAGGTGTATGAGGAGATGGGCGAGGAGCTGGTGTGGGCGAGTGATACGTACGCGGACGATGTGCCGTACTGGACGGACTTGCCCCTGGAGCGGGAGAAGGAGGATCCGAAGGGGTGCTTGATGGTGCCGTACAGCTATGACTGCAACGACTTCAAGTTCCACATTACCGGGTCGGGATTCCGCGACCCGAATGGTTTCTACACGCACTTGAAGAATGCCTTTGATGTGCTGTACGAGGAGGGTCAGGAGGGTCAGCCGAAGATGATGACGATTGGGTTGCATTGCCGCATCATTGGACGGCCTGGTCGATTTGCGGCGTTGCGCGACTTTGTGGATTACATTGCCCAGAAGGAAGGTGTTTGGGTTGCGACGAGGACGGAGATTGCAGAGGCTTTCAAGACGAAGTATCCTTACAAGAAGGGACAATTGGCATAGATGGCTTCCGACGAGTTGGATTGAATGTAAAGACAGAGGGCGCTTAAGTAACGAATCTGATACCAACGCATGACCATAGCAAGCAAGAACATGGTAACCATCGTTAATAGTGTCCCTCCAGACCTCCGAAGTCCCATTCCGAGTCCACTGTTCCTATCTGAAGTGCCTCCGGGATAAATACTGAGTCGTACTCCAGTGCCTTTCCGTTGCCTCCATCCCCGGGTACAACCTCCTCATGTCTTATCATTTCCATATGCTCAGGTATTGCGTCGTCGTGCACCATCTCATTGAACATCCTCCACCCTTGCCAACCGCCCGGTGCTTCTTCATCCACTTCCATGAACGCCTCTTTGACTGCATCGGAAATAGCATGGCTCATAATCGGCTTACCTTCGTGTTGCGTCTTGGGGGACACAGCAGGACTCGTCGGTGAGACCCCAGGTTCGGCTTCAAGATCCACCTTGAGCGGCTTCAACCCCGAAACCGAGGCGGAACTTGGGTTGACAATGGTCTTGAACAGACTTCCGGAGAGAGCATCAAATATGTCGCGATACTTGACTGCCCCGGGCCACTTCTCGCCAAAGATTGTGAGCGACTGGGAACATGCACGAGTAGCTTCCAGCGCGTCGTATGAGAAGAGAGAGCGGTCTCTCCACAGGCAGTACACTAGCGTGAGTCCCGCGATGAATAATGAGTGCAGCGCCATCATCGTGTAACTCAGAGTCTTCTGCTGATTGAGGCGCTTGTATGTTGTGCAAACGCAGGCTGCCGATCGTGCGCAGGTCACGAATCTCGGGTCCGATGTGTTCAAAGCGGGTAGTAGAACGGTAAAGAGCGACAGTATGGACTTATGGTATTGTCTACACAGTGTCAGCTCAGTCATATCTCGGGGGCTTGGACTAAGCTCCGACTGACAGATTGAAGAAGTCTCTTGAGTCGTGATACGCGCTTTCTGGGTCATACATCCACGTGATAGACTTGGAGTCTTTCGGCGGATGTGGGATCGTTTTCGCCCATTCGTCTAGCTCATCCCGAATCTCCGTCATTTTCAAGTCAAGTTTGGCCCTCTCATCTGGTAATCCCGCAAAGACATCTTTGTCGACTCGGTACACGCGTCTGTGAATTCTCGACTGTATTCGACGGAGTTTGATGATGTGAATGAACGGCTTCATGTTTGACCAAGCTGGTTCAGGAGGTGCTGGCGGGCTGCCCAAGGCCGTGAGGTCCCAAAACGCATCATCGGCGCTAGGCATCTGCAAGAGTCGTAAGTAGGGAATCCCCGAGTGAAACAAAAGCTTGCCTCACCTCCACGTTGATGTCTCTGTCACCAATGGCAAATGTTCGACCCAACACCACGCTCGTCATTCTATCCAAGCAGTAGCAAGCCCAGAATGCCCGTCTTCTTATCTCAACGTCGCGCTGACTGTGTGAGGACGTGCCTGCTTGCTTCCTGTGTAGGCCCAGTTCTATGCATAGCGTCACAGCGTATCGAACCTGCGACCAACAGCCGGCACCGAAAGGGCTTCGCTGGCCATGGACGGCGAGCAAAAGCAAGAATTGGACAGTTGCCAGGTTATGCTGCTCCAAGATGAAATCCATTGGCTCGATGGCTTCTAGGAGATGACGCTGAACTGGTTAACACCTTGTCTAGCTAAGCTCATGGAAGGTAAACTCACTTCGGGATCAACGTCACAGGGCTTCTTCATCAACTGCAGAAATCTGGCCGAGATCGCATAGATGAGGTGCATGATGCTTCTTTGTTGTATCGGCAGAGCTCCCTGATGGTCTTGATTGTCGAACAGTATAGTAAACATCTTTCTGTCTAAAATAGGCCAGCGGGTGTGAAGCCGGTCGAAGAACACGTCAAAGAGCATTTTCGCCTGACCCGAATGGGGGAACTCAGACATTGGCTCGTCGGAATGTGAAGATGGGGAACCTGTCGGCAGCGGTGGCCGAAGGACTCCAGGCTGAACCGCAGCCATGGCTTCATTGATCGCTCTTCCCCCGGCTCCATGGAATACGGAGGACTGGATCATTCTGGCGATCGTGGCCCCAGAGCTTGAGCCAAGGTAGAACGGCTCTGGCGCAGTGTCAGTTGTGCCAGAGGCACAGAGCGATAGGTACGCGACACCATCAACAAGAGATGACGGCTCTTCTTCCGAGAAGGAGTCTTGAGACTCTCGTCGCTCAAACTTGTTCTCCCGTGGTGCCTCGGTTGATGATGTCGCTGTAGTGAAGTGATCCTCGGCGAAGTCTGGCATGCGCGCCTCAAGAAACGCGATGCGCTCTTCCAAAGCACTGATGTACAACGACTTTCCTCCGGGATAATGCGGCCTGAGTGTCTTCTCATACACACATAACACATTGGCCTTGTCGCATGACTTACAGCTGGGATGGCCTCCATCGCACTATTCAAGACCTCATCAGTCCAAGTGACCCCATGAGCAAAACCGGTTCACGTACCCGTTGTTTTCTCCTCTTACAACGCTTGCAAGCGAGAGCGACTCGCGATTTACGGGGCGGCGGAGGTCCTCCAACGAGCGGGGCCGCGTGTGGGCTCACAGGGCTGTCTGGGTGAAATCCGGACCTCGCAGCCGACGAATTGCCTGTGAAAGTTTGACCGAACATTACTGCAGTCAGAAGTTAAGCTTGACAGAACAAACAAGTTTGTTTCAAACTCTGTGAATTGCAGAAAGAATCGATACAGGAAGATTTCCAGCCGATGGGCAGAGATAGGAGAGAAGAGGGCCTCCAACTGTCCATGAATATCCCGATACATGGGGACAAGATTAGCATGGGGTCATTCCTGTTGGCTCGTTGGAGATTGGAGCACGTTAACCCCACAGATTAGCTATTCTTCTCCAGGTGATTCGGACGTCCATCGCAGATAAGAACCCTTGTCCGGCAGCCCATGAGCCATGTCATCCTTATCGACCGTCATATTCCCGCCCTCCGCAAGATCTGGCTTACAAACACACCCGTCTGTTTGCGATTCTACCCCCGCAAAGTCGGTAAAAGAGACTCAGCCGTGGAAGGCACCCTGTCTCCTACAAGACATGCGGGGGATGCAGCCCGGTCTATGCTAAGGCCGGATGCCGGAAATATGGGTCCATTGGTTCCGTCCCGGTGTTCTCAGAGTGAGCCAGCACCCCCAAGATTGACGCGTTGCCAAAAAGCTCTTGAGAAAGCGCAATTTCGTTATTCAGTCGTTGCTCCCAACTCTAAGTACCGACTACGATGGCGAATGATTGGTATCCCTCCCAGCCTTGGCATCGTTGGCCGGATGACCTGGTCTTGTCAAGGATTTACCCCTCTTCGCCTAGATTCTCAACGACCTGGCTCGACATTCACCGAATTGACGGCAAGGGTGACACCTTTTACACCACTAACAGCCGTACAAAACATCAGCTCGTCATTGTGGTCGCGAATAAGGATGAAGACCAAGAGCGCCATTTCTTGGAAAGCTTGGCAAGCCAACTTGGCAGTGCGGGGAGGAATGGGCTAAGCTTCGATGCGATTAGAGTCCTTGGTGGCTTCTTGGCCTCGAAGGAAGTGTAAAGAGCGCATATATAGAGCGCGAGATGATGCCCTAATCGATTTCTAGCATGGGGTTTTTGTCGTACTATCTCGAACCCCTCTATCTCAAGCTGCAGCCCAGTCGATCTTCAATTTCAACAGCCATGCATCGGAAAAGTCTCGAAAAGAATGACGGGCTTCCCGGCGTTCTTGAAGAGGTCGAAAGCACTCTGAAAGTTGACCCAAACATTCGTGATTACTCTGGAGCCCACGAAAAGTCAGATCCTCGCGAGATTGCTCTCGTTCGGAAGCTTGATTGGTGGATCATGCCAATGTGAGTGGTTCCCTACGCTCACACAACTTCGGAATGGAGTCATTGTCTGACTAAATCGACAGATTATGGTTGATGGTAAGTATTGTCCCACCAGCGCACATTTGTCTTCGGTATTGGAAGCTAAGCCCATCTTAGTATTGGCTTAATTACCTTGTGAGTAGACGGTCGATGCCACTGAGACTCTAGCAATTATTCACATCAACTAGGATCGAAATGCCATCGCGCTCGCAAGACTCAACACTCTCGAAGAGGATCTCAATCTCACCCGACACAATACCAAACCTGCGTGGCAATTCTTTTCGCGGGATATGTCATCGTGGGTATTCCAGCCAATATGGTCGTTACTCGAGGGCGCCCGAGCTGGTGGATGGGCTCCTGCATGGCAGTATGGGCCGTCATCAGCGGCCTTACAGCTGTGAGCAAGGATTACACTGGGCTTCTTCTTACAAGATTCTTTCTGGGCATCACCGAAGCTCCATATTATCCCGGCGCTCTGTATGTGCTAGCGACTTTCTATACCCGCAAGGAACTAGCAACCAGGATATCGATCCTGTATACGGGCAATATCCTGGCTACTGCTTTTGCTGGCCTCATTGCACTTGGAATCTTTCAGATGCATGGAATGGTAAGCTTTCGTTGCCCCAAACAACTGAATGTCGTCTTGCTAACGATCTAAAGGCTGGGATCTCGGGATGGCGATGGCTTTTAATCATGCAGGGAGTTGTTACCCTGATCATCGCCATCATCGCATTCTTCATCCTTCCCGACGAGCCCTTGACGACCCGATGGCTAACTCCAGAGGAGAGAATACTGGCGAACGAAAGGATCTTACGAGACACCGTGGGCAATACCGGACAGACAACTACCTGGAGTGGTCTCATCGAGGCGGCGAAGGACCCAAGAGTCTGGCTGTTTACGGCTATGCAGCACTTTCATCTCGGAGCGAACGGGTTCAAGAACTTCTTTCCCACTGCAGTGGAAACGCTTGGTTTTAGCGAAACAGTCACACTCATTCTCACATGCCCGCCGTATCTGATTGCCGGCATCGTTTCCATCGCCTGGTCATGGTCATCTGGGAGATTCAATGAGAGAACCTGGTAAGTAGGAAGATTTAGCTGCTGTTTGTGAGTCAACATCGAGGGTTCTGACATCAGGATCCCAGGCACATTACCATCGCAAAGGCGATTGCAGTCTTCGGCTTTGTTCTAGGTTGCGCCACGCTTAACACAGGTGCTCGGTATTGTAAGTCTTGTACTAACAGACGTTTCGCCCCTGCCATTCACTAATGGCGGGTTATCAATATTCGCAATGTGTGTTTTCTCTATTGGGTATGCCTTCCAACAGACCCCTAAAGATGACCATCCTGGCTAAAACCTGCTGCAGTACCTACGCCGTCGATAGTATCATTCTTGGCTGGGTGTCAGCAACGTGCTCTCAAACGAAAGAGAAGAAGGCTTCATCCCTGGCCATAGTCAATTGTATTGCTGTCAGCTCTTTCATCTGGACTCCTTACATGGTAAGTCATTGTTCTCAAGTGCACATTCAGCATACTAACGACAAACGCAGTGGCCCAAGTCTGACGAGCCTCGGTACGTCATGGCGATGTCAACAAGCGCGGCTTTGAGCGTCGCAACAGCTGCCGGGGCATGGTCGATGCGATTCTGGCTGAAGCACGAGAACAAGAAAATCCGGCAGTCAGAGGATGAGAACGTATTGTTTTACGCCTACTAAGCATCCCGAAACAGTTTCAGGGATTGACTCCCTATATTACTTGCAACCAAAGATTTGCGCCGTGTTAGTCGAGGGGAGTCCTGGGCACGCATGTTATTAGGCGGCAAGTGGCGTGTGGGAGGTTTGTGTTTCGATCATTTGAAAGAAAGTCCCAGTTTTCAGCAGGAGCCCTGTCCGGATTCCATCATGTAAGAAGGTAGTTCTGGGAACTTTGGTACCAGCACGAAGGATTCCATGCCTGTAACCTTGGCCTTATCTCATTGGCTCTGGTTACGGGGGCCCTAGTTCAGCTAGACTACAAATGCAAGTGACGTGGCAATTGAATATCACACGGCCTTTTACTCCGTCATGTTCGAACTCGACTTCGGGCCGTTGAATGTCACAAGTAGACACCGTTCTACGTCGTGATCAGACGAAATCCAAGCTTTGAGAAACCCATCTTGAAAATCTCATCCGTCACTTGCATCTCACATGGTTGCTAATTGAGCCCTTCCAACATGGCGGAATCAACTTTGTGCTCGTCATGCCTTGAAATCTTCAGTGGCAGCTACATCACCGTTGGGGAATATCTCAAGCATCACTCCGATCAGATCCCGCACAGCCAATTACTGTTCCCCACTGAAAGACATCACTGGAGGCTTAAACTCGACGTACCCCTAGCGTCACAGCAAAGACCGCCACTGCATCTCCATCATTCTATCCAAAAGCTTGCCGAGGCACGACATGGGTGCTCACTCTGTGCCATGATCTACGATCAGCCGAGGGATCTCAGCGACGATTACGAGGACCACAACTGGGCGATTCCAATGGTTGTTCCGCAAGAACGTTTGTTCCCTTGGGGCACTTTCAAGTTGTGCTTCCTGTATGTCCAAAGCGTCAAAGATGGCATCTACACTCATCGGGGCATTCGAGAACTCAACAACTTTGAAGTTCTGGGTAAGTCGTCACTGAGACTTTAGTTTTGACGCATGATTTGGGCTTATTGAAGACTGATTGAATGAGGCAGATATGTCAATTCCCGGAGACACCAATAGTTGGTTGCCGGAGCTTTCTCGTCAGGATTCACTGGTACGCATCAAAGACTGGCTGCACGTGGAAACACCACTCCCATCGATTGGTCTGACCTCCACCCTCCCAACGAGACTCATTCATTTTCTGCCGGCAAATGCGAGCGAAGAGTCAGAAATGGTGAGGCTGGGAACGGATAATATGAACGCCACCACTGAATATGCTGCGTTGAGTCATTGCTGGGGAGGGAAGCACCCTCTTATGCTGCGCCATGAGAACCTGAAGGAACTAGTTGGCGGAGTGCCCCTGACCACTCTTCCAAGGACCTTTCAGGATGCCATCAAGCTTGCTGCGTCGTTAGGCATCCATCATATCTGGATCGACTCTCTATGCATCATTCAAGATTCCAAAGAGGACTGGGAGGCCGAGGCAGCCCGCATGGCGTCCGTGTACCTTGGTGCCAAGGTGACAATTTCCGCGACTGCCGCAGATGACTCGTCAACGGGTACGATGCCCGACTCGATGCTGCGATATCCTACGTACATCAAGCCCACCTGGACTGGATTTGAGGACACCCCAATGCTCCAAAAGCCATTCAGAATCATCGACAACACGTCGTTCAGCCGTCGCGTCCTCCTCCGAACGATATTCACTCGCGGTTGGGTGTACCAAGAGCGAATCCTGTCGCCGAAGGTCATTCACTGTGCCGACGATCAGTTGTGGTGGTTCTCCATCTCCGACGCTAAAGGATATGTTTTCAACGAAACCTGCAAGGGCCACGAGTTCGATGTCTTGCGCATGTCCAGCCTTTCGCAGTCCGTTTCCCCATCTGAGCTGTATTCCGTGCGGCCGAACTCGGAGGCATCGCCTTCAAGACGTGTTTGGTGGAGTCTGGTTGAAGACTACATGACGCGGCAATTTACGTTCGACTCGGACAGGCTTATTGCCATTGGAGGAGTGACATCTGTCTATCAACGACTATCAGGCTTGCGGGAAGACGCTTACCTTGCCGGGTTATGGAGGCATACACTCCTTGAAGATCTTCTTTGGACCGCGCGAGAGGGCCGACGATCATCTCCTCCACAAGGCTACCGTGCACCATCGTGGTCATGGGCATCCATGGAGCCGATTCACTACCACACCCACAAATTCTCACTAGGATCGGTGAACGTGCAGTCTTCGTCCGACGGTCTCCGAACATTCGGTTTGGTAGCCAGCGTTGAAGATGCCAAAGTGGAAACCACTTCGTCGAGGTTCGGCTCGGTGGTGGACGGGCACTTGGTTCTTCACGGCCCTTTAATCAGAGCCAAGCTCTCATCACAGATGATCGACGTTCCAGGGGCCTACATGTATGCCTCAGGGATTTCGGAGTTCTTTCCTGGCGGCATATCGAAGTACCAGTTGAGCACATTGTCGCTGCCCGAAAGAGAGGACGCCAAGGACAAAGAGATAGCTGATGTGATTGCGGACGTGGACCTTGTCACCAAGCCTACCTTGGACGACACGTTCCCCATTTATTGTTCGATGGGAGACTCTGTCGTCTACCTGGCCGTCATTGAGCACCACCAGTTCACGCGGGACAGTAAGCTAAAAGCGGATAGGGCCCACGCCCTCGTGCTTGAGAGGGGCTTGTACGATGGAGAGTATCGCAGGATTGGGTATGTCTACATGGCGCCAACTGTATTATATCCCTTATCCTTGCATGGGACATTTGGCGCTTTTGATCCCCTCAACCAGGACGAGTATCTGAGGGTTGGGGAGAAACCCGGGTACTACGTTTATCGAGTCGTCTAATCGGTTTGTGGGGATTGAAGCGATAAGTTCCGTCATGACAACATGCGAGCCAGTCACGATTCGAGACAGGCTGGTCTAAAGCCGGGGGCGATTCAGTAAAATGTCAGTTCTCTTGTTACTCTGGTTAACACCCTTGCCATCCTCGCTTCAGAAGGTGACAGCACCTTCCAATGTCAGCTGAGGGAACTGTCGTGTGTTGCAGGGGTCTGTAAATTACAGTAGAGGGTCGCCCACGCCAACCAACTAAAAACCCGCTCAACCCTTGCATTCAAGCTTTTGGTAGGTTGCCACTGAGGATCTTGTTCTGTTAAGGTTGGGTGTGCCTTAACAGCCCCAGTACCGAAGGCTCAAGCGGGACATGGGTCGTTTGGCGATGTTTACCTTAAGCGTACATTTCCGCCGTGGTTGCAGTGTGAAAACCTATCATTCCGCACTTATATTTAGCATGCAGTTGAAGCCAAGATTGACGATGTTTGGCCATGAAAAAGTACCAGTGCACCAGTGCAAAAAATCTCTGTAAAGATTGAAAGTTGAAAAGAAACATAAAATCTTCGCATTTGCTTTTCGGTCTTGCCGCCTTTGATGAACTGTAAGTTGTGTTCCTCCTCGCTCTGAACCCACGTGGATCTGTAGTCCGAGTCAGAATCGTCAGTTGTTCGATTGAACAGCCCGGGGTAGGCGAGATCAGGGGGTCGCTCTGCCCCAGTGCGAGTCATTACCTGTTCGAGAGGAATGTGGGCGTGGTTTCCCTCGCGTGAAACTGAATGCAACCCTACCCCGGTTGTTGTCCAAGACATCTCGACTTTAACATGCGGTTGTCCCCTCTCTCACCATCTCGGAAGATTCTTTTCCTCTCTTTTCCCTTCCCACTTGGATTCTCCGCCAAGTCAGAGGCACGTTCTCAGACATGCAAACTTCAACGACCACGGTCGCAGGATGATTCCCTACACCAACATGGCTATGTTACCAGAGGCTAAGGTGTATTTGATCGCAAATTCGGTATTGGTGTTTGTTACGTTGTTGGTAGTTGCCCTTCGAGTTGTCTCCCGTGTTTTGGCCGGCTCAAAACTTGGTTGGGATGATTACTTCACTCTGTTGGCCGTGCCCCAGGGCATTGTCATGTTAGTGCTACAAGGACTTTGTAAGTCTCACGACATAGCGCGCATTTCAATGAATATTCGTCTTAACTCTCTCTCAGGGACTGCCGCAGGTCTTGGCTACCAGTTGTCGGAAATTGGTGACAACTGGACTTTTGTAGACTCGGTAAGTGACTGTTCCATACCGACAGTACTAAGGACTTCCCTTATTAGAATAGTCTACTAACAGCAGATTGCCCAGCTTTTCCTTCCCTTCGAAACCATCTTCGGCGTCGTCAGCCTGACAACGAAGCTCAGTGTTCTCTTCTTCTACCTTCGAGTTTTCACCAGTCGACCTATGCGTATTGCGACTCGATTGACCTTCGTCATTGTCATTCTTTGGGGCATTGGAAATGTCCTCCAGACTCTCCTTGTCTGCCACCTTACGAACGGAAAATGGCACGCCACGAACAAAGATATCTGCCGCGATCACGAGGCTAGCATTCTATCGACCGGACTTTTCAACTGCATCAGCAACACCATAATCATGGTCGTCCCACTGTACACGATTTGGACGCTGCGAAAGGTCAGCGTCTCGACACGATGGGGCCTCAGCGCGGTATTTTTGTTGAATCTCATGTGGGTACCCCTCGCCTTGGCTCTCGGAGATTGATGCTTGTTCCCGATGATCACCGAGCTAACGATCACCAAGCGCGATTATCGCGTCCGTAGTGAGACTCGTCATCATGATGGATGTCCACAGCCTTTCGCAGGTCATGAGGAACCTGGCCGTTACAACATTCTTGACTGTCCTCGAGACCCACTTGACGATCCTGTGCAACAGTCTCCCAATGCTTCTGCCATTGTGGGCATTCTGGAAACATAGACGATTTGAGACAGACGAGTATGTATCGAGACTCGGCGGTTCGACCCAATCGGGCAAGCACGACCACCTGGTGGAGGATCTTACGAACGGTATACCACTCGAGACCATGTACGGCAGCAACATCACTCACTTCACGACAACGGTTGGAACCGGGGGCATGAGAAGGGGTTCAGGGAATGACGGTGACTCCGATGTCTCGGAAACGGAGTCTACCCAAAGGCTTCCGAGGAATGCGCAAGCTATCACGATTGAGACAAAATGGTCTATCAAGGAGGAGACAACGAAGTAGACTTAATGACCCCTGTAGTAATTGTAACGAAAACATTCTCCTATCTCAGTCGTTTACCAATGGGTGATGTTTAATTGCATCTGCTTATCGCATGGCAACGAAAAGCAAGATGTTTCCCTGTCTCGCTCTATGACTTGGTGTGGAAAGCCACAACTCATGGTGATCACAATTCTAGCAGATGCATTGCGTTCGAGTCAGATGAACTCAAGATATGCACAACCTAAGGACAAGCAATTAGTCTGAATCCTGTCCCAAAACCGTCGGTTCCTTCCGTCCTGCTGTGGGGTGGTGGCTCGTATTGCCGCACGGCTCGTAAAACAACCCAAAAAGGGAAGTCCGAAGGTCTACATCCCATCGGCTACCACATGACGCCAGAACTCCCGGGTCGGAGTAGAGCCAATCAACGTATAAGAAAATGCATCAAGAAACATTAGCTTGACGATGATTCTGACGAAGCAAGAAACATTTTGAGCAATTTAGCCGCTCTTAGTTTAGTGTACCCGAGATGACAAGCACTCCACGTGGCAGCTGCATTGTCTGTGCATGGGATCCAATCCTTGCGGCACAGGCTTATCGAGGGCCTTACGGTAGAGGGCTCATCCGATAGATGGTTCGTCATTCAGGAGGTCAGACAGCCCCCGACTTTTATCCCGAAAAATTTCTCAAATCTGGTGTTGCGGTCGTTGTCTACGAAAGCCGCACACAGGGTAGAAGACGCCCATCTTGGACCTGGATTTACGCAGCCAACCATGGATACCATTTCGACACTCGAAACTGCGGGGTGCATTCTTAACGCAAATTCGTTTATTGAGACGACTTTCGCGGTTGCACAGAGCTCTAAAGTACAAGCGCCGTATGACAACGGCGACACCATTCTGAGATCTCTCAAAACTTTCAGACTAGCACTGTCAGATACACAAAGGCGTCTAGCGACCAGTTTCACACGGTCAGAGGATGCCCTCCCGCTGCGAGATCTTGTCTCTTCTCGGGACGCAGCCATTGTCCTCCTTGAAAGTATCGAGGATGTGTTTACACGATCGACCGACAAGCCGACAGGACGAACTGGACACATCGCTACAGAAGCCATTTTGAGGTTAAAGCTCGAGGAGTCCGCTCGCCTCAAGAGTAATGTAACGCGTGAAATCGCCCATGTTCTTAGGTACGTAACGAAAGTCTCGCTTCAGCATACCATCTTTTCATTCTAACGCCACAGCCTAGCTCTCGGATCTCCCAGCTCAGCCAATCCTTGACGATGCTCGAAAGCCAGAACCGTTACGCTAGACCAGAACACGAATCTCAAGTCGATCTCATGTCACGAGACCTACAACACTTAGGAATACAAGCACAAAAGCATCTGTCGAATCCAGATGCCACCTACACGCAGGCCGACATCGAACAACTCAGATTCCTGCTTGTCCGACTAGCTGAAGCAGAGGATGCATTGCTTGCCGATACAATTGTTTCAAGCCTCAATTACACCAGCAGACCCATCCGTCTCGATTCCATACCCCAGGCGCACCAAGATACTTTCCAATGGGCCTTCGATTCTCGGCTAGCAAATTGGTTCCTTTCTGGGAGTGGCACTTTCTGGATCTCCGGGAAGCCAGGTTCTGGCAAGTCCACGTTCATGAAGTTCATTTCCAAACATACTCGGACCAAAGAGCTGTTGGAGACCTGGGCGGGCCCAACCGGCACACTGGCTATTGCGACGCACTGCTTTTGGATCGCGGGCACGCCGATTCAGAAATCTTGGCAAGGGCTTCTTCAATCTTTGCTCCACGACCTACTTCGCGGACACCCGCACGCTGTCTCCATAGCCTGCCCGAGTCGCTGGGCAGCTGCTAAAGTTGGAAAATGGCAGGCGGCCGCAGAACCGTGGTCGGTGGACGAGCTTGCTGTCGCTTTGCGAGCGCTATCAACCGCGGAGCGGATGCCATTGAGGATGTGTCTATTCATCGACGGCCTGGACGAATATGACAGCAATCACGCGGAACTCTGTCAAGTCCTCCTTGATATGGCCAAGTCTCCCCACGTCAAGATATGTCTATCTAGCCGTCGGTGGCCAGTCTTCGAGAGGAGCTTCGGCCAAGATGGTCAGGAGAGTCTTGATATCCATGAGCTGACGCGGGACGATATTCGGAAATTCGTCAACGACCAGCTGCAGACTGACCAACGATGGACTGCCGAGGCGTCCGGTGGCGTCACCCTAGCGAAAGCCGAGCTCGTAAACCGAATCGTCGCCCAAGCTGACGGCGTATTTCTCTGGGCGTTCTTTGTGACTAGATCCTTTCGAGAGGGCCTGTCCAACGGCGAGATGATTGAATATCTCGTTCGACGCTTCAGCCAACTACCGTCAGACTTGGACCAGTTGTTTCAACACATGTTAGACAGTGTGGATCCTGCCGATCATCGCACGATGGCAGGCATCTTACAGGGCGCGGTGCACGCACTGGAACCGCTTCACATTGATCTCTACCACCAGCTGGAAAAAGAATTACAGGGCCGCCATTCCATGTTGCAGAGCTCGGAACAGCTTGGGTCCGTCCAGAGCGTTGCCCTCCGGAGAGAGCAGACGGTCCGCAACATCAATCAGAAGACAAAGGGCCTGCTCAAGCTGGTTTATGATCGATTTGAGTTCCTTCATAGGACCGTCAAGGACTTCGTCTCGACAAAAGATGTTGGCGACTATCTCCGCAGCAAGCTGCCGTCCGACTACAATGGCTTCACATCCATCGCAGGAGCGTACCTCGGGTATCTCAGAGGCACAAGACAGAAAAGCTCGCTTGTCGTAGACGTTATCAGGCAGGGACGGGGGTTGAACAGCGGCCCGCTCATTTCGCATCTGAACCAAGCCCTGTTTTACGCGTCGGAAGCGCTCAAACAAGCCGAGCAGCCTGGTTCTACCCAGTGCCAGCAGGTTGAGAAGCTCCTAGATGAGTACGAAGCCGCCATCGTGGAAATGGTCAGCTTCGGCCATGTGACTGTCAGGGGCGTCAACTCTCATCGTCTTGACGCGAGGCTGTTGTTTCGCGAGGAGCTCCTTCGCCACGAGCTGTCGCCTTATCTGGCAAAAAAGATCGCCGAGCAGCCAGATTTCTTCGACGCATTCGACGAGTCGCCGCTGTTTGCAGCGCTTATGCCCATGTCCCGTGACGGGGGTGAGAGTCCTGGGCCCTCATCAGAAGTCCTCGACATTCTTCTCGGAGGCGGTGAGGATCCCAACTTGCTACCTCGACAGTTGGATGTTCCAAGCGCGCTTGATGCACCCTCGCCGTGGGTGCTTTTTGCGCGGAGTACAATGTCGGTTTTCAACATGCTATCGGGACCGTGCATGTTCCCTGCCCTGCGATGGAACGACTCCTTGAGGAATGCCACCTTCAGTCGATTGTTGTCCCACGGCGCCAATCCCAATCAACCTCTACTGGACCGTCCTGCGGCACGTACCGTCTTCTCGCATTTCCTGGATATAGCTCTATCCAAGTTCCTTGGCGAAGAGTGTTTCGAAGACTACCTCAGGACCCTGGACACCTTCCTGCGAGCAGGTGCTAGTCTTGGTGTGCCAGAGATCAACAGATTGGAGAGTCCAAATTTTGAGCCGGCGTTTGGAAACCTTGCGAGAAGACGTCCAGAGGAAACGGTGCTGGCGTCTTTCTGTAACGAACTGAAGGGACTTACAGCGAAGTTGGCGGCCGATTCACGGAGAGCCACTTTTGTCGCCTCGGTATTGGAGAAAGTCATTCTGCACTGTTGTCGTAGAGAGGAAGATCTGGAGAAGTTGCGTTTGGCAATTTCTCAAGGTTGCCCTGCAAATGTTGCCGTGCCCCTACAGCAGTTGATCGATTCTGAGAGCAGTCTCTCAGGAGAACGCTCATCAAAGCGAAAGAGACTCCCAAAGCAATCCGAGGAGGCTAGTATCGAATCGTATGTCATCAAGACGAAGCACTTAAAGGGGGAGTAACGGCACTGGTTCCGTTGATGTTTTCGCCCACAGTTCCGTTTGGGATGACCTAAATGCTTCGGGTTTTGTAGAAGTTGGGTGCTCAATAACACAGGGCGTCAATGCATAGGTTTCCCAAGCTTCTCTTATGCAACTCTTAATAGCATTCTCCAAATATGTGAAATAAGCGGTGACTATTTGGATTGTCTTCAATATTATTTCTCCGCACGCATTCATACTGACAGTGAGCAACACTCGGCAGCATAAATGATTTAAAACTACTACAAACTAAGTAAGTCAGAATAGGTCATACTGTGAAATTTCTCAACAGCTAGATGATTGTAATGTGACGTAATTCTCCATCAATTTTGAAGTCTTCCATGATACCGACTGGCCAATTTAAACATGTTAACCGATGTTCCTCCTCCGTTTGTGGCCTTAGAAGGCGTGTCATTTCGTTCTCGCCATCCTTGCAAAACCGTGACAGCCCTCGCAACTCTGCCATATCAGGATGGATTTGCGCCCAAAGTGTCAGTGACAAAATATCAAACGCCACCCAAAGGTCCTGTCCCTTGTGCTCGCGAACCACGCTGTCGTCATATAGCCATCCATTGCTGTTCTGGCAATGGGAGCCTCCGTCAACAGGGTCTTCGTCCACGGCCTCATCGGACCAATCAAGCGCGTGACCGCTCAAAGCTTCCGTCTCGGCTCGATCATACAAGAGTCTCTCTTTGTCCACAGCCTTATTGATGGCATCAAGAGCATAGAATCCGTAAACGTCTTCATCATTCGCACTCGGATTCTCGGAGGCCTCGTTGGTTTGGCTCAGCGCCAGATCGCGCCATCCGATTCTCAAGAACGGGGGGTTGAAATCCTTGCCTCCATGTATTGGCGGAGGGGGAGGCCACTGTGCAGACCACTCTTTAGACCTTCGGGGCTAGAGTCAGCTAGATTACTAATGCTGAGGGCAAGTTTGATTAAGACTGCACGTGCATGTGAGGATTCAGGGTTCCTCAGCAGCCAATATCAAATTGAAGACAATGCATTTGACTCACTTTTTGACATCTTCCTGAATCATATCAAGGATACCTTCGAGTATGACATATTGATTCGGCTCGAATCTTAACTGCACCAGGTCTATGATCTTGTCTTCGTCATCGTCTGAATCCCTTCGTCCAGCGCTGCCGCCAAAGCCAATCTATCAAACCTACTAACAAATATACCAAACAATTGAAGCTATTCCCAACTGTCAATTAAACAATTCCTGACCCCTCAGATTTGATATATTGGGTTGATTTGGCTTGGTACATTATATAAGCATACATATAGCCAATAGGATGCCATTATCGCGAATATTCACGCCCAACACGGTCAGCTTTCTTTTTCCTATATACAGCACCATTAATCCTAGCAGCTCCAGGACGTTATTTTCTACCCTTCTAGCTAGAT